TTAATTTTCCAGTTATTTTTTTTTTCCTTTTCTCTTGTTTGTTAATAAAGCTCCGAAAGTGCTCGACCGTACAGTTAGTCGTGTGAGGACAATTTTCACAAATACTACAGTTCTTTTCACCTCTCAGATTGTGCTAGTTCAAGTTATTTTCAACAAACAGCTAAGAAGTTGTTAAGATTAAAAAGCTTCTGTAATTTAAACTTGGAAGGCAGGGGAAGGCTATGAAACTCAGTAATTTCTGCCAGCAATTTTAACTGTGAGTAACATTGTTAACAAATGGAAGTTATATGGAATAGTTGAAGTCAAGACAAGGTTTAGAATATATAAACCAACTTATACCCCCATCTCCTCTGCTAGAAATGATCAGATCTGAACAATAGAACTCACAGGTTACTTGAGCCCCTGTAGCTGACACTGGAAGAATATCCACCATCTGTTATTCAGTGTTGCTTGTTCTAGTATTTCTCAGCCTTCACAATTTTTCTCCAAGTTTTTTAATTTTTATAAAAATATCATATCAATGTGTGAATAATGTGGCACTGGGTGTCATACATTCTAATACAAATAAAACTAATCAGGTTAATCATAATCATTCAATCCGCTTATGTATTTCTTATATATTAATATAGTCTTATCGTTCAATTATTCCACTTTTCTCATTATTACTTTCATTTTATGATATAAAAATGTATACATTAATATTCCCCCTTCTCTTATTTCTATAACCTATTCTATCTTTTAATCATATCACCCGTAAGAGACTTTTTCTTTCTTTCCTATCTAACTTCTAATCATGCCACTATCTAAAAAAAGGAAGAAAAAAAGGAAGAGAGAGAGAAAAGGAAAAGCAACTCAGAACAACAAAAAAGAAATCATCCATCTATCATCTCTTGCCCGCTTCAATACTTTAATTGCTATGCTTTAAAAGAAAAATAGGAAAAAGGAAAAGCAAATCAAAACAACAACAAAAACAGAAATCATCTATCCATCATTTCTTGTCTGCTTCAATATTTAATTGCTATGGGTTTTTTTTTACTTGCTTCCCAAATTCCTCACTTAAATCTTTGTTTCTGTCTCTGTCTGCTTCTTGAATGTTCAATCTAGATATTCCTTCCATCTCTACCCTCTCTCACTGCCTAATTTCTAAAATTTCTACCCAGGCCCATCTTCCTTTCAAACATATCTTCCCATTCTCTTAATATATTTTCCCCCTGGTTTAATTCATCAATCACTATTTTCATTATTGTTTCCTCTTTCTCTTCTTCCTTCATTTCTTCTGTTGATGCCTCCCTTTCCTGAGTGTCTTGGTCTTTACTTATCATCCCTCATATGGTATTTTCCATTTTTTCCATAATCTCCTTAAATTAAGGAGATTATGGATTATAAGAGATTATAAGAGCCTTGGTGGTGCAGCGGACTAAGTGCTGTTATGTAGCACTTAGCTGCCAACTGCCTACAATTAGTACGAGTTCAAATCTCACCAGGCTCAAGGTTGACTCAGCCTTCCATCCTTCCAAGGTAGGTAAATTGAGGACCCAGACTGTTGGGGGCAATAAGATGACTTTGTAGAAACACCGCTAATGGGGGCCCAAAAGCCCTAATAAGCAGGTATATACAAAAGAATGAAGGCTATTGCTATAGTGCATTGTAAGCCGCCCTGAGTCTTCGGAGAAGGGCGGCATATAAATTGAAATAATAATAATAAATAAATAAATAAATAAATTCTTTCTCCATAGTGTCTTTTGTATTTTGAAAAAGTAAGCCCATCTCCTTCACAATTCCATTCATTTCTTCCTTCTTAAGTATCTTGTTTTGTTTTTAAAAATTCATTTTTTATCCAGCAGTCCAAGAACTATTTATTCAGTCTTTAAGTTACCCTTCAAGGAGTGCACTATTCCCAGTTCTTTGTGTCCCATAGGTTAACAATCAGTTCCATTTAAGTAGTCCAAGAGGTTATCAAAAGCTCCTTTAAGTCCCCTTTACAGATTCAGTCTTCTAGTATAACACTCAAGTGTCTCTTTAATTGAATAGCTTCATTTTCATATTTGGATCTCAGTAGTCATAGAGTAGCTAAAAGAAATCCAATGGGTTTTCACTGTTCTTCATATAGGTATTCCCAGATTTGTAATTTTTCCTTTCGTCAGCAGGTGGCATTCTCCACTTAAATTTCCATTTACTAGACAATCATCCATGTCCTTTTGGTTATAAAACAGTTATAAAAGTAGAATAAGTTTTGAAAGTAAATAATTCCAGCATTTAAAATGCCTTCCCAGCACCACATCTTCCAAATTTAGGAGTCCAATTTCTATTTATTTCAAAATATATGATTTTACTCTCTTGTGCCTTCATTTTTGCTCAGGTATTTCCTCTGAATGCCCCAAAATGTTTAGATGCCATTTTAACACATAGTTCTGAGCTCTAGATTGTTTCTTGGGGTTAATTTAGAGCAAAAAAAAAAAATCCTCTCCCCCAGTTCCAGCACCATTCACCTACTTCTCTCCAGCACCAGTCTTAGTTGTTCTTTGGTTGTCCCAACTTTGTGGCAGCCATCTTTAGCTGCTTCTTCTTCTTGCCATGGCTGAGAGGGAAAAAGAACCCCGGGCCAGAGAGGAGAACTGCAACTCTCCTTGACCTCACAGGGTACCCCTTTTTTGCTTTACCGCCCCTACAGGGCATCTTTGGCTCCCTCCGGAGCCCACAAACAGGAAGAACTCGGCACGGGAGCATGGAGACCCACCCCGCATGTCCCATCTCACCACAATATCAACTGGAAGTCCAGCCTTCACAATTTTAATATGTAGCCTTCAACTCCCAGAATTTTGGAAGCGGAAGTCTACAATTCTTAAGATTGTTAAAATTGAAAGACACTGACTTTTATTCAACAATCTGTGTAGAACAATTGTCAGAAGAAAACCATCTCTGTGACCTCCTAACAATTGCCATCAGAAACAGAAATTTTCAAACTTACATTTTCCAAAAAATAAATTCCTGATCAAGAAAGCATCTGCATTTGAATAACATTTTAATGACCTTAATCACTCATGGAACATCATGTTCTTACGTAACCCTAAAGTTTCACAGAATACAGTTTTATAAACCCCGACCATACCCCGGACTATAAGACACACTGGAATATAAGAAAATCCTAGTTTTTGGGGAGGAAAATAAGAAAAAAAACTGATTGGAGGTAGATTGGCCTCCTGGAATACCTCCAATCACCTGTTCCCAGAGGTGAACTTTAGTAACATTTGGTTGTGAGATCTGCACCTTGCTTTTTTTCAGCCTCTGAAACCTTTGTTTCAGAGGCTGGGTACGGCTGCATTCGGGCTATAAGACGCACCCAGATTTTCACCCTCCTTTTTGGGGTAAAAAGGTATGTCTTATACTCCGAAAAATACAGTATGTAAAAGAAAAACGTAATACACCTGAAATACTTTGGAACATTGTACTTTGAACTGATGAAACAAGAATCAGTTTCATCAATGTTCAGCCACAGCCACATAAAATGCATTTTGAATAACAAAGAATGAAAAATATGAAGAAAATATCATTTTGTACTAACTGTTAGGCAGGTGAGTTGCTCTGTTATGCTTTTGGAGCTTGTGGCTTCTTGTGTAGATACAAGGAAAAATAGATTCCCCAAATGCCAACATATCCCAGTGATAAAATTGAAAGTGAAATTGAAACCACACATCTTGAAGTTGTTGATGTTCAGAAACACTAACGTAAAGAGCAACACAAGTACCTGGGGAAGATTAACTCCTGCAAATAAAGTAGGCCAGAATTATGGAGAGAATGGAGAAGCCATTTCTACCTCTTAACAGACTGACTTCCTTCCATAGGAATGGAGGGAACATAGCTTGAAGCTGGATCCAGGCACGTGCAATGAAATCAGACGTGCATCCCTTCAGACTGGTGGCATCCAAAATGAACCATTCTTAATTTTGGGGAAATATGATCACTTGACAATATGTTCCCTGTTTTCCTATTGTTGAAAGTGTCATAGAGCATAGGGCACTATTTATCGCATAATTTGTTCTAGGAATATATTTTGATAATACTGGTAAATAGAAGCACAGAGCAACAGGGAAGGCAACCAAACGTGTTTAGAGGAAGATTTTTTTTTCCAACAGAAAAAAAAAGACGTCTCTTGCTACTAGTTGAAAGCTGTGGCACCAAGCATGAAACAAGAGATTAAGAATACTAGTTAGTTTTCACTATTTGTGTCTTGAAACCAATGTTTCAGGGAAAGTCAATCACAAGGACTTGTGGCATCAAATGAAGTAGATCCATCATGGTATTTTCAGTTTGCTAGCCCTGGAGGGAACACTGGCCTCGAAATGTACCTATGAGCTGTCTCAAAGGTGCTTTTTTGAAAGGCAACTGGACTATGTTTTTTCCCTTGAGGAAGAATAAGTTTTGCTTCTCATCCCAGAAGCTTCATCAGTTCTGGCTGGATGGTAGAGTGGGGGACAAGGGAAATGGAAGTGCGGAGTGGGGGACGGGAAATTCTGACAGGATGTTTGGGGGCGATGGAAGGATTATATTACATTGTACCCCCCGTCTACAACACAGTCTTTTCAGCAGTTCCAAGAAGATTCCACATCCATTCACATTCAGGTAACCCTGAGGGCACAGATTAAGCCCCCAAGTGGCCTCAACAGCTCTGAGAGAGAGTACTAACAACCAGATGACTGCAAAAAAGTATAATCCTTCCATCCATCAATTCACCCTCCACATCCTGTCAGAAATAATCTTTCCATTCCCACCACCACCACCACCAGCAGCCAGCCAGAACCAATGAAGCGTCGTGGATGAGAAGTGAAACTACTACTCCTTCTTCCTCAAGGGAAAAACATTTTCCAGTTCCCTTTTGGAAAAGCACCTTTGAGGGCAACCATGACCTGGATGACTGAGAATCTCCATAGACATTTACCTATGAGTTGTTTTCGGCACCCTCTTAAACAAGATCAGAAGAGAAATAACTGAAAAACAAAAACTAATGTTTTTCCACCCAAGCAGAAAAGTTTATTAAAAATATAGATTAATACAAAAATGCAAACAACTCCCCCATCCCACCCCGCTATACCTCAATAAAACCCCAGTAAGTCTATCCAAACTTGGAATACTGAAACAGGATTCACAGCCATTTATGTTTTAACAATCCTTTCTGAGTTTCTTGACACGTCTTCCCTTCCATTTTTTCCCCTGCTCCATTACAAGCCTGGTTTTGCTCTTTCTCTTCTATCATCCCTTTGCAGTCAATGGGTTTTCTGGTTTAGTCAAGATGGCAGCCATAGAAAATGAGTAACCTCATGTCCACATAGTTGGATGCATCCCTTGCTGTGCTAGATCAGATGATTCACATCCTCTCCCTAACTCAGGCACTGAGAGTCTGATTGTGCGTTGGAAGCAGAATGCGAGGAACGGACACCACCAATTTTTTGGACCTCACCCAGTTCTTCAGACTGGTGAGCCAAGAAAAAGGGGACTGGCAAAATAAAGCATCAGGCAAGGAGGAAAGTTAGCTGAGGGAGGCTGCAGGGTGACATCCAGACCCACGTTCGTAAGAACAATGTCTGTGGTTTGGAGGACAACCTAGGATCCCTGGATGATGAAACATCTGTCACTGGAGATCAAGAGGTCGGGATGACATGGAGAAAAAAGAGGGTCAAGGAGTGCTCAGGGTGACTTGGTGCTTGGGGGAAAAATATTAGACAATTCATGAGTAGTTTGAGGAATAGGTGCTTTGGGGAAAGGGAAAAGATGAGAAGGAAAGGGCTCCTGTAGATATTTTACTGTAGACTCGGGTCAACACTCTTCCTCCTCAGACAGGGCATCCAGTTCAGCCAGTTTTTGCTGTAGCATCTCATCCAGTTTAGCAGACTGGGGCTGGGCCTGTTTTCCCTTTGCCCTACGTCCCTTCCGGAGGCGGGTTTTGCGTTGCTTGTGGGGAAGGCCCACCTCCCGGAACTCTATTGCCCTCTTCAGCTTGCGTTGGCTGGTGAAGACAAGGGCTCCCTTGCGTTCCAGTGGTACCTCAAATATGGTCTCAAATAATCTGCAAGGAGAAAGAGGAGCAGACAGGATACCAAATTTAAAAAGGAGAAGCTGTCTCTGAAGTTCCTTAACAGGGAGACCAGCTTTAGGCTGGTAACTATCAAACAGGCTAAAAGGAAGACAGATCTAACTGTAAAACTCCCAATATTTAGCAGCAGGGGGGAAGTGATGTCAGCGTTCAGGCCATCATTAAGTGCAGAACATGTTCTGGATGTAGGCAAGGCATGTAATTGCGATGTCATCAAACAATTTTGGCAATCTTCTTAGTGGGTGCCCAAAAGGTCAAGAGTGAAAGAAAAGAGGAAAGGGTATAAAATGCGAACCCAAGGAAAAATGTAAAACACCTCCATAGCAAAATATCTACTGTATCTTTTTGAATGTAGAGCATTTTGTATTCACTGCTTGCTTGTTAAAGAACTGCTTGACCCCACCCAAGAATGAGAAAATTCTAAAAGGGGCAACAGGTGATTTATTATAGTGCAGTAGTTCTCCACATTCTCTTCACCACCAGGACTCCCTTTAAATACCTTTTAGGCCACGGACCACCAAGACTTAACTCAGGATAACTTTTATTGTTATTTTTTTACTACAAGCACACCGGCCCACATTAAAAATGAAATGAAAAATGAATTCTATTGCCTGTTCTCAAGAGTGTATATCTACCCAAACACATAAATAACACACATATACACATGCTATATACATACATACATATTTACCATCAGATTTAAATAACATTTCTTCATGCCTTCGCAGACCCTCATGACAACATCGCAGTCTCCCGGGAGTCTGCCGTCCCCCAGAAGTCCGCAGTGCCCCAGGGGTCTGGGGACCACAGGTGTTATAGAGAACAGCACAGAAATTCTGCATGACTGCAGTAAATGGGAAGCATGAAATGAACCTAGGCTGGAATAGTTGCTCCATGATGAATTCCGTAAGCCCTCCGTGGTCCATCAGTTAGATGGGTGTGGTTCACTGGTGCATTTGAGTCCAACACAATCAATGTTAACTTGCATGTTGCTTCCACAACAGGGAGCAAATGCTAAGGCAGTGTTTCTCAAACTCAGCAACCTTTTAAGATGTGTGGATTTCAACTCCCAGAATTTCCACAGCCAGCATTCTGGAATGAAAGAAATATGGGCTTCAATCACACTGGCTGGGAGATTTCTGGGAATTCAAAGTCCACGCATCTTAAAATGGCTTAGGGTGAGAAACACTGTGTTAAAGTAACACCTGGTTGATACTGCATTTATGCTCTTTCAACACTACAGTTGCAAAGCAATTGTCTTCTACCAGTCTAGTACAGTGGTTCTCATCCTGTGGTCCGTGGATCCCTGGGGGGGCTGGAGGGGGGGCAGCGATGTCATTGCAGGAGGTGCAGGAAGGCTTGAAGAAATGTTATGATTTGAATCTTGAGTTAAGTCTTGGGGATCTGTGGCCACAAAAGTTATTTTAAGGGGGTTCATGGTGAAGAAAAGGTGGAGAACCACTAGTCTAGTATTTTTATATGCATTAGCTTTCTTCCACTGTGTACCCTCCAAATCATGTCTCAACCATCCCAGCCAATATAGCCAGAAGATCTTTGGTTAGAAACTGTCAAAGCATTTCTTTTTCAAGCATGTTGACTCTACTTGGCTATTGTGAGTCCTAGATTGAACACAGACTTTGTATTGTGGTTTGTTTAACTATGGTTTGCAGAACTCATAATTGATTTCACAAAGCTGCTGAGCCATAAACCAGTGTGTAGAGATGGTCAGGTCCCACCACCTTATGAGTCCACCATGTATCAGCCTGGCCAATCTGGACCAAGGACCAAACAATCCATTAGCAGGGCCTTCTCACCTCTTCTCCTTAGGTGAATGATAGTTCTTGTTCGTGTAGATCTCCTCCAGACTGAACACCTCCTTCTTCAGCCTGAGAAAGGAGAAAAGGGGAACATATTACCTTGAAATAAATTGGCCAAGTAGGGGAAAATATCTGTGAGATGGGAGAATTGTTCTGCAGAATAATAAAGCATGTTCTAACAGTGTATAGGGTAACATTTTGCTCAATTTTTCAGACAAGTTTCTTAGCCTGCCATTCCATTAGATCTTGACAGAACTGCCCATTGGTTCATATTGTCCACAGCATCTTTGGAAAATGTTCCAGATGCAAGGTTCCAGAATTCCCTTCTCTTTAACCCCTGTTCTTCAGAATTCCAAAAACGTTGATCTCTGACCCACTACCAGAAGGTGCAAATCCTAGATTTGTTCCAATGCAATTGAAAAGAAGATGACCCACAGCAGAACTTTAACCCTGGAAAAGGCCCAGCCTTTTCTGCTGACCCACTGCCCCCTTCCAGCTTGGGTTCGTGGAGAATCTGGATCCTAGGTTTTCTGACCACTATTGGGAAATTTAGAAGCCAATTCCCGTCTTCCTGCAGAAGCATTTTCATTTTGGGCCCATTCTCCCAATTTGTTTAAGGCATGCTCTCACCTGACTGGACGGGGAAGCCCCATGGGGGTGAGATTGACTTGGTGCCTGGCTGGCCTCTTGCGGATTCTTATGCAGGACACCTTCCCTTCTGTGTTCTCTTGAGATCCCTGCAGGTTTTAGGGGAATTAAGTGGGGATAAGCATGGACAGGATGGGAAAGCCAAGCTCTGTAGAGAGGTAAGGTGTTGTCTTAATCCATCCTCACCCCTCACCGCACAGCACTTCCTCTGTTGGGCCCTACATCAAACAGTGACTGACCTTCATCTCATCTTCTGAAAGCATCAACTGCTCTGATGCAACCATGCCCAGGCCAACCGCAGGTACCTTTTGCCCACCGTCTGGGGAGAGGGAGGCGTTCCTGAAAGGACAAAGGAAACAAATCACGTACAGGTCGAAGAGAGTTGAGATGTTCTCCATGTTGTAGAAGTCTGGTCATCGGTTCAGAGAGGACAGAACAAGAAAAGAACTTCAATCTCCACCCAGTTCTTTTCCTCCTAAACTTCCAGATGTGTCACAATTACAAAAGTCCGCATTCTCTGCGTGTACAACAGGAGGTCTGTAATCCAACACTTCTTGTAAGAAAAAGAAAGTGAGCTGACTGAACAGGAGGACCTATTAAATATGCAGCTCACCACGGGAGTTGGAGGAAAGGTGGAGCGAGGAAAAAAGCAAAGAACTGATGACTCTCCCTCTGCAGATTCCAGAACTAGTTAAGAACTGGAAACGCAACTGTGCCTTATGGAGAGAAACGGACCTTAGGGGAACATAGCCTGGTGTAATCTTGATCTTAAAAAACTGCTTTCCAATACTCTTGCTCAAAGTCTTAAACAGAAGACAACAGCCTCCAACATATTCTTGGATTACAGGTAGTCCTCGACGAACGACCAAAATTGAGAGCAAAATTTCTGTAGCTAGGCGAGACAGTTGTTAAAGCGAGTTTTGCCCCATTTTATGACCTTTCTTTGCCAAATTTGTTAATGCAATTGTTAAGTTAGTAATACAGCTGTTAAGTGAATCTGGCTTCCCCGTTGACTTTGCTTTTCGGAAGGTTGCAGGAGGAGACCACATGACCCTGGAACACTGCAACCATCATAAATGGGAACGATCTGAATTTTGATCACGTGACCACAGGGATGGTACAATGGCTGTAACTGTGAAAAACGGTCAGAAGTCACTTTTTTCAATGCCATTGTAACTTCGCTCAGTATATGAACTGTTGTAAATCGAAGACTACAACAACCCCTGAACAACTCCTTTATTCCAGGTCATGCTGGCTGGGAATGGAGTCCAAGAACATGTGACCCAAAATCTCCTAACATAAAAAAGATGCTATAAAACAGGGGTACCCAACCCCGGGCCTCAGCCCACTACCGGGCCATGGCCCGTTCAGAACTGGGCCACAGAAGCAGTGGACGAGAAGCTCCATTTGTGCAACCAGGGGGGCATGTGCCCACCACTCTTACAAATGGACCCTTGTGGGCTCCCCTGCCACTTTCGTGTAACCATTCTCTCATCAACAATCCCCAAGGCTGGAAAGGTTGGGGATCGCTGCTGTAATAGATCCAGACTTTCGACAGGGAGGGATAAAAAATCCTGTTCCTTTCTTGCCCTTCCTTTCCTAACAAGGAGCAGCCGGGAAATGAAGCATATGCCTGTGCCTTCAGGATCACCCTTAACTTGTTGGGGGCGGACCTGAGGTTCTTTGAGGGGATAACATACATCTCTGGGGAAGAGGGAGGGAAAAGTTTTTACCTGGAATGAACTGGGTCAGGTTCATGACAGCAGGATGGTGTCAGGGAAGAGTAGGAGGATGGATCACAGTGGGCAGTATGAACCAAGGGTCGTGGCAAGAGGCGAGCAGGGGGACTGCTGAAGGGGTACACTTCCTTACGCAGGCAGGGCAGCGTGGGACGGTCCAGTTCTCGAGATACTTCCAGACTGCAAACCGTGTGTCGGCGTTGCCGCAGCTGCGGCAAAGGAGAAAGCACTGAAGAGATGTTTTGCCAAGAACAGGCTCTAGGAAAATCAGGGCAGGAGTAGCTACGTCCAAGGTGGGGCTGTGGAGCCGGCTCTCCTTGGCTCAAGCGCCACTGGCGGATGGGGGGCCTCCCGCTCACCACCAGGTGGTCAGCTTCTTCTTTCTCTTCTTCATGGCAAGAGCTCCTCTTGCGGGGGCGTGGTTCAGAAATGGCGATTTTCACTTCAATTTTGACTCCCGGACGAGGGGTGGCTGGTGGAGTTGTTGCCACTTCGTCCGCATTTGCTGGAGGACGTGGTGATGGGGGTGGAGATCTTTCAGCAGGTGGCGGGGATGGTTTGGATGGGCTGAGGAAGATGTCAGCAAAGGCTTCCAGTTTCGAACGCATGCTTTGGAAGACTGGGGCCAAGCCCCAGGGCCTGAAACGCGGGACAATGGACGGACGCAAGAGAGTCGAAGCCGAGGTAGGTCTGGATGTTTCAGAGGATGGACCTGATGGAAGGGGAAAGATATGGCTGTTATACAGGAAGTATTTTGAGGGCCATTTACACGAGATGTTCAAACACAGCCATGCGATGATTTATTTATTTATATTTCTTACATGTAGTCCTTGACAATTGAGCCCAGAATTTATGTTGCTAAATGAGAAAGGTGTTAAGTGAGTTTTGCCCCATTTTACGACCTTTCTTGCCAGTTATTAAGTGAATCACTGCAACTGTTAAATTAGTAACACGGTTGTTAATTGAATGTAGATTCCCCATTGATTGTGCTTGTTGGATCGCAAAAGATGATCATGTGACCCGTCAGAAATACGAACCAGTTGTCAAGAATTCCAATATAAATCTCATAACCATGGGGGATGCTGCAATGGTCATAAGTGTGACAAATGGTCACTTTTTTCAGTGCCGCTGTAACTTTGAATGGTCACTAAGCAAACTGTTGTAAGTAGAGGGCTACATGTACTTCTTAACCGCCCATCTACCTCAGAGAGGGGCACTGATGATCTCAAAGCAACAAAGGGAGAGTTTGGAATATTTCTCTGGCTGGCACCTTTCAAAGAATGTTGTTGGTCAGGAAATCTTACTTCCAATTAATTAAGAGGGAAGTCCTGTCTTAGCAGGGGGCAGCACTTGGCTGATTTCAGAAGTTAACCAAGATCAAACCTGGTTAGTACTCAGAGGAGGGACTCCTGTCCCCCAGAACATGCCAGAGAAGTTACTAGATTTGGAAGTTGAAGAAAATCCTGCCAGGAGGTAGTGGTAAGCTTTTTTCATACTATTTACTTGCTAAATTTGTTTATTGATTAAATCTATATGCATCTCGCCACCATGTGATACTGGGCAGCTTCCAATGTCATAAAATAACATAAAAAACTATTAGTTCATTACAAATATTAATAATTAAATTTAAAACATTAAAGTTAACAAAAACACTAGGCCCATGATGGCGAACCTGTGGCACGCATAGCCATATCAGTGGGCTCAGCTCTGGCGCGCATGCACGCACTGGCCAGTTGATTTTCAGGCCTTCTGGGCCCACCAGAAATAGGGAAACAGGCTGTTTCCTGGGTCCGGAGGGCCTGGGGATGGGTGGGGAAGGCCTGTTTTTCTTTCTTACCTGGCCCCTGATCCTTTCTATGAGTCTAGGGAGGGTGAAAACAGCCCTTCCCACTCCCTCGGAGGCACTCTGGAGGCCTGAAAGGGCCCATTTCCCAACTCCTGGTGGGACACGAAGTGACGTTTTTTGCTGTCCCCAGCCTCCAGAGACTCCTAGAGAGGCTAGACAGAGGGTCAATTCACAGTCCCTCAGACTGTTGGGGGGCCAGACCAGCTGGGTGGGCATGGGTAGGTGGTCATGTGACTGGGTGGGGGTGGCCAATTTAGCAGTCCATTAAGCAATGCACACAAATTAAACTTTAATTAGTTTTGCTCTTGAGGTGTTTTATTTGTTTCTGATTGCATGTTGTGCTATTTTGGTTGACTTTTCTTTTTTACTAGATCATTTTTTCAGTTGTTTAGGAGTCTAGTGGTTCGCTTCAGGAAACTCAGTTTTGCAGCAATTCTTCTCAGCCCCAAGGAGCTTGAAAAGTCTCTCTCTATCTCTTCTCTTCTCTTTCTTTCTGTCTATCTCTTTCTCTTTCCCTATCTATCTTCTGGAGGCGGGGGAGGTGAAAAATGGGACCGTTTTGGGCCTCCCGGGACATCTGTATGCCCTGTTTTTCTCCTCTCCCACTTCCAGAAGCATTCTGCAGGCCAAAAACGGGTGAAAATCAAATGGGCCATTTTTTGGCCTCCTGGAAAGCCCCATTTTTCACCTCCCTCGCCTCCAGAAAGTCTCTGCAGGCCAAAATTGTTGGCCTTACGTTTCAGTTCCAGCTCGTGGGGCTCACGAAGGTAAGTCCTGCGCTCGGCTGAAGGGTGGGTGGGGTGATGTGAGCAGGGTAGCCTTGTGGTCCCGTGAGGCCGGATTAATGGCTTTGATGGGCTGCATGCAGCCCATGGGCTCTAGCTTGAGGATCCCTGTTCCAAAGGGTGGAAGCCACAGCAGGAAAGGCTCTTCTCCTGAATCCCCCGCCGACCAAAATTCATCAGCCAATGGGATCAACAATATGCCCCTTCTGCACATGAGGCAGGCCAAACCCATTGGGATGAGATGGCTCCTCAGGTAGCCTGGAGCCTCTAGAGCATCATCTTATTCTCTTCCTCATCTTTCGCCTCTCTTTTCCTTCCTTTTTTCACTGTTCCTCTTTTCTTGCTCTTTTTCTCACTCACAACAATATTGCTAAATATTTGCAAGGGTATAGTAATTCGCATTCATTTTTGTCCTCAACAGTGGTGTCTGTAATGCTAGCACATGTCAAGATTAATAAATAAAGGGAAGAGGAGGCATTCTCATCACAGATTGAAATAGAAAAAAATTCCTTTCCCTTTTCACTAGTGTTTCTTAACCATGGCGGGCTGGGGAATTCTGGGAATTGGAATCCACAAATTTTAAATCACCAAGGTTAAGAAATACTGCCTAATCCAGAATAGCTTGGCGACATAAATCCCCATCTTTTCTAAATAAGTTCAAGAACAGTGTTACATGACATGAATTCCTCCCTGCCTTTGCCATTCACTCAAACAGCTTATTTTAGTATTATTTCTTTGAGGATCCTTTCCCAAAAACACAACCCATGGCCACAGAAAGGTTGATCACTTTTGCTATCAGTGTTTAGGTATAAACATATTTTTTGCATACTACCAGACCCCTTTATTTAATTCAGAGCACCACCAAACCTGTGTGATGCTCCTGGTCGTGTAGATCTGAAGGCACTGGTGTTTCCATGCTTGATGACTGATGAGGCAATTCCTGCTGATCACTCCTGAGCAAGAACAGAAACAATGGGAAGTGATGGGCAATCGTTTTAGCTCTTCGGTCTGATGATGTTCTGGAACAGCCTTCTCCAATTAGAAATTTACCCAGCTACTAGCATTAAAGAATAAAAAGTGTTAATTCCTCCCCAATCCAGAGATTCCAAATAAAGTGGACTTCCATTCTGGCAATTGTCCTACCAGCATGGCATTTGGCAATCACAGTACCTGGAAGGCTAACACACCTGGGGAGTGGCCTGTTAAGGAAGACTACTCTCAAGATCTATTTGGCAGCACAACCATAATCCTGGTGAAGAGAAAAGATGGCTTAGTAATTCCTCCACCCTAAAGTGGAAACACTCACCTGCAAGGAGATGGAAAGTTCTCCAGACGTTCCTGGCCAACGCCAGCATCCTGCTGGTGAGAAAAGAGGTCTGAATCAAAATGGGACCACCTTCCTTCTGACCCCAACCTGCTAAAGGTTTGCCCATGTGCCCTTTCCCCAGGATGATTTCCCGCAGCAAAACTCACCTGGGCTTCGGTCAACTGACAATCCTCCAAAGCGGGGATTGACTGATGAGCCTCCTCTTCTGGGGTGGCCCGTATCCCCTCTCTCCCATTTATTAGAGGGACTCCATTCTGCAGGCGCTGCCTCTTGGTTTGCAGGCGCTCTGACTCACGGCAGTGAGGGGGGTAGAGTCTTTGGTCCCCCAACTTCCGGCATGTGTGAGCCTGAGGTTCCTGGCAGAGCCGAGAACCTACCTTAGGCAGAAGGGATCTGAAGGAGCAAGACAGACAGGTAGCTGCTGACATTCACAAGCCAAACTATCAACCTTTGTCTCCTGGATCCTTGCTCACCTGCACACAGTGCTATTCTGTCTGTTTCTTGGCCAGGAAACTTTGGTCTCATTCCCAGATGAGACCTGGAGGGGTTTTTGGGAAGGAAACAAGGCAGGCCTTTGTAAAAGGGAGCGTCTTTGTGGAATCTCCTAGACAGAGGGGGAGAGAATCCAACTTTCAAACATCTCTAAACATTAGATAAGAAGCATCTTTTCCTCATCCCGCCAGCCAGCCATGCATTTGCTTTAAAACAGACATTCTTCCTTGGGTAGAAAAGATGAACTAATCTCCCACCTGCTGTGCCAGAATGTCATGCCCCCTCGGAGCCTGAATCTGCGGGGGAAGATGAGCGGACAGAGATTGAGGGGGCAGCTCTGTTGGCTTGGGAGGAAACGGAGGAAGGGCAGAACCAGTCCAGCCAGAGCTGTTGAGGAGTAGAACAGCTCGTAAGTAGAGAGAGACAGGAACAGGAGAGACAGTGCTCAGGACAGGAACAAGGACCACCACCCCCTGACCTGAAAGCACGAAGGCGAGAACATAGATTGAGCCTGTTACGAGGGAGGAGAGTGCCCCGCCCCCCTTCAGAAGGCACACCTGGGGAATGAGACTTAAGGAGACACTGTGGGGAGGGGCATTTGTTAGAAACAAACATTGAATTCTTGAAGCGGTGAGTGCCAACGTTTGAACCTTCTTGGATTCCTTGCATTCCTTCAGGCTTTCTGGACTAATTACCTGGATTCTTTGCTTCCTGAACTCCTTATTTTGCCCTGCTGGATTTATTGCTGTGCAGCTGTAAAATATACAGTGCTGGACTGGATTTCTTATTTTGGCTACTGTGTGCTAACCTTGCTTACTGGACTACTCACAGCCAGAGGCTGTTGAAGGTGCTTGTGAGAGCTTTGCTCCAGGACTTATAGTAAGCATGGGGAAGTTTGGGGGCTTAGGTGGAACAATAAAGGGAAGTTAGACCTACTCTCTGGCTGTGTTGCTTTCGTGCCAAGCCCTGGATCATCACATAGAGAGCGCTACAGATCATATGATTAACTCTCCTGATTCAGTTATACAAAACAGAGCACTTAAATGATTTCCTGAACTCAGAGAAACTCTCGGCTGTGACGGGCATAGGCCATCAAATCTACCCATTTGTTCTGTGCAAGTCTAATTGTCAGAACACAAGTTTTGTGAAAAGTTTTAGAGAGACAAGAATTATAACAAATTTATTTTTTCCTATCTCATTCTGACCTACCATCATAGATCAGCCCTGAAAAATGTTAGTAATTCAATCCAAAAATGCATGTCATAGTATAATATCATCATCCCACAAATGGTTAGAAACAGGAAAAATAACTTGCAAGTTTGAAAAGAATTCTATACATAAAAAAGCTTGGATAAATCAAACGGTCTCTGCTTAGTAACAAACAAATAAAAAATCAGGCATCAGCCTGAAACAATCCTAGATAGTGTTTTTGGGGCATCTGGTATGGAAGAGAGATCTGTAAAAGGACATCTATTTTTTTTTTTTTTATTCTTTATTAAGCAAATTCATATAGCCGCCTAAGTCACGCCTAAGTGATGTCAGGTGGCTATATCATGTTTTGTATCATGCATCTCATTTGTATTCAAGACTTACAAGTGGATTTTCTATGTACCCAGTGGGTACATTTGGGGAAAGGAATTGTTTCAGCCAGAGGGCCCAGAAAAAGACTCAGCGCTGATTTAGCTGGCACAGCACCAGCTTATTACTTCAGAATGCCCAGTCTCAACTAGTAATGAGGGAAGTGCCATCTGCCTACGCAAAGCCTGGGAGATACATTATCCATTCAGTTTAGTAGCCTATCCCACAAATCCCTTTAACATTCATTCCAGGTTTTACAGCATCCTTACAGGCACTTGGGTTGTGGAAAAGTCTTCTACATCAATAGCCAACACCTTTCGCTGTTTCTTCTCCATGGGAGATGCCACATGCCACAGGGTCTCTCCCATCTCACCACAAGCATCCCTGCCTTCTTCCACCATTGACAGGGAGCATTGTTGGAGCCGCTGCCTCTTCATGGGTGACCACTTTTCATCCTCACGTAAGGAGGGTGAGGTTCTGCCTCTATCCAGGGGCTCCAGAAGATGTACAGGGGTTCCCTCCTCCTTAGCTTCAGGTCTGCAAAAGGATAGAGAGAGAGAGAGATGCTCAAAACAACAGCCTGATTCCTCCTCCCCTTCTCCCCACTTTGAATTCCCAGCACAAAAAACATGGCAATCTCTCACCTAGCTTTTCGCCACCTGGCTATCCTCTCAAAAGTGGACAATGGCAAACGACCCCTACTAGAGGTTCCTTCTGGAAAGTTGCATTCCATGGCTAGACTCAGACCCAACACCTTTTGGGGTTCAGGAATTGGGAAGCTGCCCCATTTTTCTACTAGAACCTCATTTCTCACCTCTCTGTGGTGAGACACAAATCAAATGAATAAATTTTACTTATTTCATTAAAAAACACAGGCATATTTACATAAGGATTCTCCTATGTGTCTGGAAATAATTGGCAATGAGAAAAACTATTAGCTAATTTAATTTAAAAATATCCCCAGATCGAGGTAAGAACAATGGGACAGTTAATGGCTGGAAAATATAACATTTTTAAAAAGATGGATTTTGTATGGTTAAAAAATAGTAAATTTGAGGGTTGGTGTGCCCCAAAGGGATTCTGCTCAGTTTATTGTAGTGAACTGAGTATTTCTGAAGGAAATATAAAACAATTTACAGAAGTCTAAAAAGAAAGGAAAACACTGGCAAAAAGTGATCACATTACAAAACTAAATAAGTTTAGTAGTGTCAAAACACTGAGGAACTTGAAATAGTCCCAAAGTGACTATTTTTTGCTACAAAGTGACAATTAGTGCTACTAATTGAAGACATGTTCATAAGGCACCCAAACCACCATAATAGAACCTCTTTAGGAAGGATTTAATTAAGGAAATAATTAAAACTGTTTTCCAATCTTGGCAGATTTTAAGACTTGTGGACTTCAATTCCCAGAATTCTGCAAGTTAAAGTTCACACATCACAAATTTGCCAATGTTGAGAAACATTGAATTAAACTCTTATGCCTCTTAGGTCTGTTATTCCCCACCTTCTTCAGTTTGGAATTTTAATCATGTTTAATTTTTTAAAAAAATCATTTTTAATAATTTCATCTTGGAATCAAAATGCATTTATTTAAAATATATTCCACCATCCACCAGTTTCTATTCTCATAAACTATTAACAGAGCTGAGCATCCTAAAAAGAAGAGGAATTCATTTTTATTGACAAAATAAAAATGAGACAGCCTATTTCTACACAAAGCTGCCCTTCAGTGGAAGTTACTTACTTCCTGTTTTTTTAACAGATCAGTGTGTGGTGGGGTGTGCTTTTCTAAGAAGAATGGCAAACCCTGCTCTCACCTTTGAAAGGTTTGGTATTTTAAATATTCTTCTAAACCAGTGTTCTCTACCTTGATAACTTTTAGATGTGTGGTCTTCAACTCTCAGAATTCCTCAATTAGTATGACTGGCTACGGAATTCTAGAAATTGGAACCTACACATTTTAGGAGTTGCCAAGGTTGAAGAAAAAAAAATGTTTTAAATGGTGGTGCACAATACACAGAGGTAAGCGAGGAGGTGGGATTACGCCTCAGAGAAGCTAATTATGAATCATTAGCAATCATCTAAATCATATGCTACTAAGACCTATTATTCCTCCCACAGCAGTTTTCCAGGATAAAGAAAAGTTAAATTGAGTTAAAATATCAGAAAATTTCTCTAGTTTAGTTTAGTTTAGTGTCATTGCAACTCGTACAATGAAATTAAATGCCATTTTATATTTATATAAATATAAATTTATATACAGCATGTGTGTATGTGTATGTATGTACTTTCAAGTCAGTATTGGACTCTTGGTGACTTCCTGAACTTGTCCCAGCAGTGTTTTGGACAAGATTTTTGGAAATGGTTTGGCACTGCCACTTTCCAGGGCTGAGAGAGAGTGACTAGCCCAAAATTATCCAGCTGGTTTTGTGCCTGAATGGGACTAGAACTCACAATCACCTGGTTTCTAGCCTGATGGCTTGTAGTCTGTTGCCTTAGCTACTACATAAAACTGATTGCCCTATATAGTGGGATACTGGCATTGTACTATATTAAAGGAATCAAACCAAGACAGAAACCATACCCCACCCCCAATCACTCTACATCTTTTAACAACAGCTGTACATAATTAACCTTTGCAGGACAATTTGAGTGACATGACAAAATCCAAAACTGGATGTCAATTTTATCACCAAGATTCAAAAAAATACAGAATAGTACAGCAGCTTTCAGGTTCTTTAACCTGAGGCAAGATGCCAGAAAAAGCAACTGTTCTTTTACCTCAGCTTTTTCTCACCAAGCTGGCAGATGACAAATTCCTGTGAAGTGAAAAGCTTTCCCACACTTTCCTAGTTTGGCCTTAATAATAAAAAAAAAACCTTAAAAAAATAGTTGGCCTTCATTAAAAGAATTTAGGAACAACAGATTTTTTTTCCTTACATGTAGCAACCCCAACCTTGATTTTTCCCGCTCTTTTTCTTAAGATAGCTGAAAACTTTCACCTCTCCACATATTCCCCATTATAGATAAAAGAGGGTTTTGCAAAAATCACAAGTGTTAAAAAATTGTGTGCTTGTAGAAGAAACAGCAAAAGCCAAATCATGGGACAGGATAGAAATCAAGATAATTCACCGAGTCCCACCAGGCTGAAATTCGAGGCCGACAAGAATACCAATCTTGCTAAAATGATAATTTAAGGAAATGTCCATCCTGGTGTTTTTTTGCTAGAGAGTTTCCACTTAGCAAGGAAGCAGCCAGTCCAACATCTCTCCCATCCCATTCTTCCTCTAACACAGTGGTTCTCAACCTTCCTAATGCTGCGACCCTTTAATACAGTTCCTCATGTTGTGGTGACCCCCAACCATAAAATTATTCCCAAAACCATTGAAAATATGTATTTTCTGAGGGTCTTAGGCGACCCCTGTGAAAGGATCGTTTGACCCCCAAAAGGGTTGCGACCCACAGGTTGAGAACCACTTCTCTAACAGGTGCTTTTTCCCCCCCCTCCCCCCTCCCAACTCTTTCTGCATCACTTGGCTGGGAGAAACACACCCAGAATCCCTTAGTTGTTGTGTTTGTGTGACTCTTGGCACCAGTTTTTACCAATCTTCCTTATTAAGCAAAGTGGTGGTGGTGGTGGTGGTGGGAAAGGACACAGCAGAAGGCATAATTAATCCCAGGGCTAGGGTTGAAGCAGCTTCCACCTCGGGCTATCGGAACAGACTCCCTTAAGCGCAGCGGAAACCACCCCACAGAAAAAGTCGTGGCTTGTTTTTAAACTTTTAAACACGGGTGGATTTCGATTCCCAGAATTCCCCAGCCTGCGTGGCTGTAAGGTGAGTTGAAATCTATCCACGTTTGAAAAAAAGACCGGCAAAGCCGAACATCGTTTTTTGCAGCCTTTGGGCACCCCCCCCCACCTCCTACCCAAAATGATGTCAGAGGGCACACACACACACACACACACACACACACACACACACATACACTTGCAGGTCCCTCCGCCCGGGCGACCCCCACCCCTCCCTCCTTCGCCCGGCATAGAGGAAGCCGTGCAACCGCTCCCACGCTTGACGGTCACCAACGGAGAGAGCCGAGGATCCCCGGCTGCCAGCGAAACAACAGGAGCCTTTGCTTCCCACCAAGGACTCCTCCCGGGTCATCCGCCAGGCAGACCCGACCGGCAATCCCCACCCCCCCCTATGCCCCCCGGGGGCTCTCACCTCCAACCCCCACAGAGAAGTGGCAGCAGTCGCGTCGCGAAATAGAGACCGGGGGTCGGGGAGGGAGGAGGAGGAGAAACACGACCACCCCCTCCCTCCGGTTACCAGTTTTTCCTCCTCCCCCTCAGCCCTTTTCTCATCAGCCCTTAAGACGGTCCGGCCGAATCCTGCTTCCAGATCCGGCCAATAGCGGCCCGCTTTGTTTCCTGCCGCAGCCAATGGCTTCCTGTTTCTTTACTCAAGTGGCGTCTCAAGAATCGCCATCATTACTTCGGGCAAGAAGGGTGATCAATCTGTCGTCAAGGCCTTTAGGTGTGGAGACCGAGAGCGCGGTCGGGAAGGGCGGGTCCGTTTTGGTGCCGGGGATTGAGGAGGCGTGTCTTTAGAGATAGAATAGAACGGATGGTTTTTAAACCTAATAAAGTCTTAAAGAACCCATTTCAATGTTGTTCCAGCCCCACCACCGAAACTGATCTCCCGGCTGCCAGTGAAAATCTCTCTCTCTCGTCCTGGTTTTCCCCCATTTTTTTTAAAGGGCACAGCTTCGGTGACGTCACTGCGTCACCGGTAGCGCCTCGTTCGGTTCCAAAGGCCTCTGTTTTTATTATTCTTCACAAGATAAACCTTGTTAGTTCCGGGCCAATGGCCAAAATATTTTTTTAAAAAAATGAAACTAGACGTTATGTTGTAAGAAAAGCGTTGTAATCGTCGTCTCGGTTCGGGTCAACGTAGTGTTGAAGTCAATAGGCCCACCATTTTGAGTGTGGGCAAGAAAACAGTCTATCAAAATAAAGGCACCCCATCAAAAGTCGGTAGCCATTTTGGAATAAGGCAGATTCCAGATGGCGCCGTTGAGGGCGCCGCCATTTGAGGGGAGGCCAGAAAGTGAAGATTTAAAGGGCCAGTGCTTTCGAAATCTCTTTACTCTTTGGAAAGGCGTTTTCGTTTCCGTTGCTATTTATGAACCAGATGACTCTGTTCGGAAGTGAAAGCTTGCTTTCAAAGCAGATTTTAAACGTCGGAGCCGATGAGAGAAAACTAAGGGGGAGGAATTGGATCTTAATCATATATGATTATAAATACTTTTTTTTTTAAATTTGATTTATATGCCGCCCTTCTCCGAAGACTCAGGGCGGCTTACAATGTGCTCAGCAATAGCCTTCATCCTTTTGTATATTTATACAAAGCTTATTGCCCCCACAAACTGGGTCCTCATTTCACCTACCTTAGAAAGGATGGAAGGCTGAGTCAACCTTGAGCCTTGGCGACATTCGAACCCTGCAGTAATTGCAGGCAGCTGGTCTTAATAAGCTTAATAACAGGGTGCCTTAAACCCCTGTACTACCATCAAGAAGAGGCTTGGAAAAAAATAATAGCTTTTATTTGTATAAAGAAGAGCTGGATAGACCATTCTACAACATACAGACAAAGAGCATGCAGTCAGTGAAAGGCCACACCTTGGGAAAAGTATGGCGTCCTTTTAAACCTTCAGAGACATCTGCTTAATACCCAGTTCTGGGCCCCCTGGTTCAGGCCTTCCTTTGACAGTGCTGCAAGGAAGAGGGGGGCTGAGTGCTTAGCAACACAGGTATTTGTCTGATGTAACCCTGCCAGGCCATGACATACCCTGCACCAGGCACTGAGTTGTACACAAAAACAAGATAACAGGAATTAGATCACTGATAAAAGCAAATGACAGAGGCAATTATAATTCAAAGCAATTCTTACAGAAGCGAAATAGCAAGTTGTTATTATGTCCCAGTAATTCTACCTATTTCTACTATTATGTCCCTTCAACATGATAGCAGTATTCCAGTATTTGAGGGGCTGTCACAAAGAAGAGGGGGTCAAATTATTCTACAAAGCATCAAGAGGGCAGGACAAGAAACAATGGTTGGAAACTAATCAAAGAGACAACAACCTGGAATTAAGGAGAAACTTCCTAACAGTGAGGACAATTAACCAGTGGAATATCAGCTTGCCTTCAGAAATTGTGGGTGCTCCATCACTGGAGGTTTTTAAGAAGAAACACTTATCTGAAATAGTATAGGTTCTCCTGCTTGAGCAAGGTCCCTTCCAGCTCTATTCTATTCAAATCTATTCAAGTCTCTGTAGTTCTTGACTTACAATTGAGACCAGAATTTCTGTTGCTAAGCCCTAGCTGTTGAGTTTTGCTCTAGTTAGTAACACAGTTAAGTGAATCTGGCTTCCTCACTGACTGTCAGAAGATCACAAAAAGTGATCACATGATCCTGGACAGTGCAATTGTTATAAATATATGCCAGTTGACAAGCATCCGAATTTTGATCATGCGAGAATGGGGATGCTTGCAACAGTTGTAACTGAGAAGAAATGGTCATAAGTGACTTTTTTCAATGCTGTTGCAACTTTGAACAGTCAGTAAACGAAGCGTTACAAGTTGAGGACTACCAGTAATTTCAGCTACAGACTTTTAGATATGCAATTTGTGATGAACACCCTTCGAATGGTGTAGTAGTATGAATGGATTTCCAGAAAAATTGCAGACTACAGGAACCAGGAGCATTACTCAGTGACCCTGCGGACACAGATAAACATCCAAATGCTTCAACCACCCTTTAAAAAGATGCAAATAACCAGCAAGGAATATAAATCCTTCCATTCTCCACCAATAAGAGCTGAAGAAGCTTCTTGGATGAGAAGCGAAACATCTTCAAAGAAAAAACAAGTCCACTTGCTTCCTGAAAAAGCACCTTTGGGATAACCACGACCTGGATGACAGAATCTCTACAGACTCTCAGGAAGATAGTACATGTTTCTGAACGACACTTTGCCCTGGGATTTGAGGCTCCTGGAATGTAAGATTCTGTTGTTGTTTGGGGAATTCTGGGAGTTGAAGTCCACACATCTTAAAGTGGCCCAGATTGAAAAACACTGAGTTATGGAATTGAGTTTCTGGAGAACCAGGTTTAAATTCACCCCTTTCCACGGATGATCACCCTGAGTGACTTGGGCCTCTCTTCGTTGCTCTCCCTTGTAGAGTTGTTACAGTGGAGGAAAATTGGAGGATGGGGCTCTGTGCAGGTCAGTGGCATCCACAGCATATGACAGTGACATCAAAATGGCGACGCACTTGGGAGGACATAATGAAGCATATCCCAAATTGCATACTAGTCTTGGGATATCTGCTACAAGGACAGAAATTATGGTATTTGCACAAAGAACATTGTTTCACAAGGGTCCTTATTCCCCCCCTCCTTTCTCACCCCAGAATTGCCCATCTGCTGTCCTCTCTGTCAAAAGTTCATATACCTTCAGCAGCATTAGATTTCCAATATTCTTACCACTGGTTCACTCTGCGTGTGTGCTTTCTGCGCATGCGCTCAACCTTATGCACATGTGCTTTGCTCGCACGCCTTACGCGCATGTGCCCGGCCTCATAAACGTGCCTAAATAGGACAGGATGGAGGCAGGGCGGGAGGGCAGTCCCGTGATCTCTGCTACTAGTTTGCCCGAATTGGTACAAACCGGCTGAATACCACCTCTGACCTTCAGGCAAGTCTCACTGACAGGATGACACCCCAGTGGCAGTTTTAGCAATAGCATTTAGACTTATATACCACTTCACAGTGCTTTACAGCCCTCTCTAAGCGGTTTAGAGTCAGCCTATTGCCCCCAACAATCTGGATCCTCATTTTACCCACCTCGGAAAGATGGAAGGTTGAATCAACCTTGAACTGTTCAGAATCGAATTCCTGGAGTGAGCAGTGAGTTAGCCTGCAATGCTGCATTCTAACCAATCCTCCCCCACAGCTCTTACTTCCAGCAACTTCCACTTTCATCAGGGCTCTTAACTTTTCACTTTGATCTTGTGACAAAGAAAATTGGCAAATTCTGCCATTCATACAGCTCCTTCCTAAAGACACACGGAAACCTATGCCAGGAAAGAAAATGATTGTATCTCTTCCCTCTCTTCAAATAAGGTTGGAACAAATGGGCAAGAAAGTTTTTTTAAAAAACGCTTCTTAAAAATAAACAATAGGATTGCAGTAGGAGTTAATCCATAAAAGACACAGTGTTGAGGAAGGCCGTCTCATCCTCAATCTCTATCAAACTTAATTTAATATAGAAATCCTTTTGTTTAAATGCCAGTTGCCTGAAGGGAAAAAAATCCGTTACAAGACAACAAGAATGAGAGAAGGACAGCCCAAAGCTTTCTATCAATGGCAACATGCAAAAACTTAAGTGAATTTCCTTCTCCTTTCAAAACAGAGGATACATTTGGATGGGACCATCTGCAGAGCAGGGGTGAAATTTACTTACCTTCCCCACTGGTTCGCCAATGTGGGCACGCCGTGCGCATGCTCACTCCGCTCACATGCGCCGTCATCTGCACCAGGGGTGGGTTCTACTTACCTTTACTACCGGTTCGCAACAGGGCCGCGCGCTTCTGCGCAGAAGCTTCCTGATGATGTTGGGGTTGGTGGACGGAGCCTCCCGACGGTTTTACTACCAGTTCATTAGAACCGGTCGGAACCGGGGGCAACCCACCACTGATCTGCACATGCGCAAAGCCTTCTGCGCATGTGCAGAGGCTTAAAATGTTGCAAAAAAGCGATGTCATGACGTCCGCGTGAGTGGGAGGAGTCTCCCGCAGCTGCCGCTACTGATATACCCGAGCCGGATAGAACCGGCTGGATTTCATCCCTGCTGCAGAGTCTGGTTAATGTCCTGAAGCCCTGTCTGATCAAACTGCCATGGCCATCTTAACTTTTTTGACCATGCTCTGTGAACACCTCTGCATTGAGAGCACACTTCGACTGATCTGAAAAGACACCAGTTGCAGAGAGGCAAAGTTGCTTTTCTTTGTTTATTGAAATTATGAGATTCCGTAATTTAGCTGGAAGCTAATTTTCCACCAGTGCAAGCATTGCTCCTGTTATTGAGTCCATGGGCCTTTTCTCTTATCCCCACCCCCCCACCCCAGTAAATTGATGGTAGAAGGACATATATCACAACCCAAAGCTGGGTTGTGCTTCCTGATGTACAACAGGAGTGATGGACACTGAAGTCACAAGTCCTTCAATGAGGTCCTCCAAATTGTGCTGACAAAGCATCCAAATCTGCAGTGAACCACACAGTGTTTGCAACCTAAGATGTATGGACTGTAGAATCCTGGGAGTTGAAATCCACACATCTTTAAAGTTGTCAAATTTGAGAAACACTGAACCAGCAGAACATTTCAATGTATCACCTTGTGGGAAAACACATTCAGGATGACTTTGTGAATAGTTTGAAACTATTCCTGATACAGGTACTCCTCAACCTACAACCATTCATGTAGTGACAGTGGCACAGAAACAAGTGACTTATGATTGGTTTTCACACTTAGGACCATTGCAGCATCCCAATGGTCACATGATCAACATTCAGGCACTTGGCCACTGGTATGTATTTATGAGAGTCTGGTGTCATATGATCACCATTTGTAACCTTCCCGTCCAGCTTCTGATAAGCAAAGTCAATGTGGGAAGGCAGATTTGCTTAATGGCCACACATGATTCACTCCACAGCTGCAGTGATTTGTTTAACAACCATGGCAAAAATGGTTGTAGAATAATAGAATAGAATAGAATAGAATAGAATAGAATAGAATAGAATAGAATAGAATATAGAATATAGAATATAGAATATAACAGAACAGAACAGAACAGTACAGAATAAAATTTTTTATTGGCCAAGTGTGATTGAACACACAAGGAATTTGTCTTGGTGCATATGCTCCAAGACAAATAAAATAGAGCAAAACTGCCTTGCTTAGCAATTGAAATGTTGGTCTCAATTATGTTAATAAAGTGAGAACTACCTGTAATTACATTAATTATAAAATGATAAAAGGAAAGGATCCATGTTTTATTACACAAACAATTTCAGAATCCTCCATTCTTTGCCCAGAACTTCAGGAGCCCCCTACTTACAACAACAGTAAATAGGTTTCTCTTTCAGATGCCCTCTCTTTTAGTGATCGCCTCAAGAGCAAGCGTTTCTCAAACTTAAGGCAACCTTAAGACATGTGAACTTCAACTCCCAGAATTCCCTAGTCAACACGCTGGGAGTTGAAACCCACCTGTCTGAAAGCTGCCAAGTTTGAGAAACACTGTACTAGAGGCATGGATCCTGATGTCTGCCATGCAAACGTGGCTTTACAGCCTCTTCCAAAGATCCCCCAAATGGTATGGAAAACAACTGTGGGAATCAAGACTTCCTACAGGCAGTTTCCAGGGCAGCCTTTCTCCACGCTAACCCCTTGCTTCTTTCTCAACCTTCCTTATCATTTATCTTGTGATTTATGATGATGGTGTTTTTGTGATCATGATTGATCATTTTGTGGTTTGAGAGCTTGTGCACCAGAGACAAATTCCTTGTGTGTCCACTTGGCCAATAAATAATTTCTGATCCTATCCCTATCCCTAAGAGGATGCCGATCCACCACCGGCTCCCGGGCTGGAAACCTTCCTAACCCCCCCCCCCACTCCACTTCTTTCCAGCCGCGCGCTCCGTTAAAGCGACGGGGAGATCCCAGCCAATGAGCGGGCGCGGTCCCGGCTCTCGGTGGGCTTAGTGGAGGAAGGGGAGAGGGAGAGGGAGTGGGCGGGGCCAGAACTCGGGCGTCCAACCTACTGCCCAGGTCGGTGCCTCTCCAGCGGTTGCCGTTCTCTGTCCGCTGCCTCTCTCTCTCTCTCTCTCTCTCTCTCTCCTTCTCTGCCAATTACAAACCAAGGAGGAGGGAGCCCCCACACGGCCACCTTAGCCAATCTGCACGAAGCGCCCGCCTTCTTTCACCCCCCCCCTCCCGCCGCCCTTCTTCTCCGCCCAGCATTCCTCCCGTCCCCCTCGGAGCCTTCCCCCCCCTTCCCTCCCCTCCCCTCTTCGAGGCAGGGTCGCTACTTTGGTAGGACGGGCGTAAAAGCGCCCCGAGAGCCGATCTCTCGCGGGCTTTGGGGCTGCTGCCGAGTGCTGGGAGAGGGATCCTTCGGCTCTTCTTTGCCTGGCTCTTCTCCCTCCCTCTCTCTTCCCCAGCATCTGCGAAGATCCCCTCCCCTCCTCTCCTTTCCCCGCCAGGGAGGCCCGGGTGAGCGGGCTGGCAAGCCGGATCCGCAGGAAGCGGTCACATCCTCTGGCTCAACGTCCTTCCCGCGAGTGGTCCCTCTCTCCTTCCCTCGCCCACCCATCTCTCTCTCTCTCTCTCTCTCTCTCTCTCTCCCCACACCGGCTTCAGCGCACCCACTCTCCGGGTCCCCGCCTCTCCGGGTGCTGCGCGGAGAAAGATCGCGTGGAAAGGAAAGCCGCACACGTGGGTCGGGGAAGCCAGCTGTTGCTGTGGATCGTCCCCCGCCCCCTCACCTCGCGCCAGCTGTGGAATGAAGGCTAAACCCTCAGGTGAGTGTCCGGGATACCCAGGCAGCCAAGCCACGGGGCTGAGGGCAGCTGGTCCTGAGTTCAGCCTGTCAATCGGGGCGGGGGGGGGGCTCTCATCCCTCTTTGAACCTCTTGGGAAGAAGCCTTCCTTCATAACTTTGATTCCCCTTTTTTAAAAAGAAATGCAGGTATCTTCGATTTATGACCACAATTGGGCCCATTGCTAAGTGAGATTTGCCCCCTTTTGCAACTTTTCTTGCTATATTTGTTAAGTGAATCCTGCAGTTGTTCAGTTAGTCACACATGGTTAAGTGAATCTGGCTTCCACCTTGACTTTGCTCCGCAGAAGGTTGCAAAAGGTGATCCCATGACCCCATCATAAATACAAACCAGTTGCCAAGCATCCGAATGTAAATCACATGACCATGGAGATGCTTGCAATGGTCAATGGTCATTGTGAAAAATGGTCAAATAAGTCACTTTTTTCAGTGCTGTTAGAACTTTGAATGGTCACTAAATGAACTGTTGTAAGTTTAGGACTATCTGTACAGGCAAACTCAGGGGTGAAATGCTCCCGGTTCAGACGGTGGTTGGCGGATGGAGGCGGGTGGTTCGGAGAACCGGTAGCAAAAATCCCTGCCCCCCCCCATGCCCAGCTGAGCCGCGCGATCATCAGAGGCTTTTTTTTTTTTTAGTTTTTAAAAGCATTTTTTTCTACAACCTCTTTGGCCAAAAAAAATGCTTTTAAAAGTTTTTTAAAAAGCCTCTGATGATCCTGCAGCTCAGCTGGTATCATCAAAGGCTTTTTAAAGCATTTTTTCTACAACCTCTTCAGAGGTTGTAGAAAAAATGCTTTTAAGAGCCTCTGACGATCCAAGCTGAGTTGCCTGATTGGCAGAGGCTTTTAAAAGAAAAAAAGCCTCTGATGATCAGGCAACTCAGCTGGAATCGTTAGAACCTTTTGAAAGCATTTTTTTACAACCTCTTCACCGAAGAGGTTGTAGAAAAAATGGTTTTAAAAGTAAAAAAAAAATTGCCACGCCCACCCAATCACATTACCTCCCCCACTAAGCCACGCCCACAGAACCGGTAGTAACAAATTTTAGATTTCACCACTGGGCAAATTCCTCAATTTTCTATGGATCACAGTCCAGACAGGATTAAGTCTTGGGGTTCTTACTTTGTATCCTCCATGGAGATACCATGTTGCCTTTAGGTCCTCCTGGAAACCAGGGTTAGGCTAAGGACTTAATAGAAGGCTGGACTTTCTTCAAGGATGCAGCCAATTTTTGGGAAAGCTTTGAGTGTTACACTCAAAATTTCATCTATTTATCTAGGGATTTGATTTGTATCCTGTCTTTATTATAGCCCCACTAACTTCATGGAGCTGTTGCAGGACTTGATGGCTGGCAATTGACAAGTTATTTGCTTCTCAGCAGTTATATTAAAGAGGGAGATTTCTTTTAATCTGGTTTCTCTCCAAAAGCCATTTAATTTTGTCTGTGCATTCACGATGGCCGAGGACAAGGTAAGCACAAGAAAAACCTGGTTCACGGGAATCTCTGTTCTACAAGCTCTGGATGATGACGGGACCAGGATAAATAACCACAAACTCTGAACATCTCTCCAAACACACCCAGTTTAAAAATGCCAAACATACTTCTTTCCACTCCGACTACTAGTATAAGCAAGACCTGAGTAGGATATAGGAAGTAATATTCTATTTTGATATCTAATTTGGACCTATGCCTAGCCTTTTAATGGATTCCCTTTTCTCCTTTCTGTATTTTCAGATGGATGGACCACTGGTGAAAGGTGAGGGCAGATCCTGGGAATCCTTGGGACCGAGTGCTAGACTGAAGAAGGGAGTAGAAAGGATTCGAGATATCAAGGTACACAAAGCCAACATGACAAGCCATGTGGTTTTTCCTGAAGTTTGAAGGGACAGACTAGATCTGAAACAGGCACATTGTTCTTGATCGTAACGTGATTACTAAAAGCATGGTTAGGTTTAGGGTGACAAATGCCTTATGCATGACTGAATACCACACAGATTTGAGAAAATGAATGCCGGAAAGAAACAAAACCAGGATTTTAGAAGTTGCGATATGAAACAAATTCGGTACTTCAAATGGCCTTCCCTGTGAAATGTAATGGGAACATATTTTAAACCTGGAATACACAGGCTTGAGTTGCTGAGTACTTAGCATTCATGTTGTGGTGTTTCACTTAAGAGCATTCCTTGTGGACACTTTAGCTATAGCAGTTTGCAACCTAGTGAAGTTATTACACCTCACTGTGTAAATTCTTGTTTGCATTTGCATGAGGAACTTGCAAGCTGAAATACGTTGTTGACGTATTAACTTTTAAGATTGGTTGTGAGATGTTGTCTCTATCTCTTTGTTTGGGAACAAACTGAACAAACTATCTCTTTGTTTGGGAACAAAAGATAAATGCCAAATCTCTCATTTTGCTCCCTTTGGGTTTCCCAGCTGGATTCTTCCTCCTTCCGGGATAGATTGTCTGCCAGAGCGCATGGTAATGAAGAAAAGCGATTGCTTAGAGTAAAGACTGAAAAAAAGAAGGAGGATCCGGAATTTGAGATGGAACTTTCTGCAGGGGGAAAACTGGTGAGTGGAGATAAAGAAGATAGAAACACTGAAGATTTAACTGGGTGGGTGGAAGAACTGACGTGCTAGGAAAGAAGTTCTTTAAGGATTGTTATTAAATTGTTTTGTCTCTGCCCAAACCAGCTGGGTCCTGCATCTTCACAAGGTCCCTTGGCTCAGGAAGAGATGAAGGTGGAATCTGAGGAGCAGACTGTACAAGAGTTTGAGGTGCAGAAAATCACAATTCCAATGGAGGGTTCGGTGAGTAGTAAAAGTAAAACTGTGGGAACTTTGAGATATATGGATTGGTTTAAGGACTCCTGCCTTGAGCAAAGGGATGGACTAGAAGACCTCCAAGATCTCTTCCAACCCTATGATTCTACACCTTGAGGAATTGTTGGGCTTTGTTTATCAATCATGGGAATGTGAGGTTCTCCTTCAGATCCTTACCTATACCCTGACAATAGTTTTTTGGGTAAACTTTGCAACAACATGGCTTGATCAGCAAAAACTGATCACATGACCCCTGGGACTCTGCAGTCGTCATAAATATGAACCAGTTGCCAAGCATCCAAATTTTGATCACCAGTCCAGGGAAATGCTGCAGTGGTCATCAGTGTGAAAAATAGTCAAAAGCAGTGGTGAAATCTGAACTGGTTTACTACCGGTTCGTTGGCTGCGCATGTGCGCCATAAACCAATTGTGTGTTGCATAAACCAAAAGTGTGCGCACACTTGCACAATATACCCCAAACATAAGCTGGGCACGTGCAGTGCGCGCCAAAAGGAATTTTGGAAAGGTAAGTAGAACAGTGTGCGGGGGGGTGATCAGCGCATGGGAACCTTTTTAAAAACTTTTTAAAAGTATTTTTTACTACTGGCTCGGGCGAATAGGTAATAAAAAATGCTTTTAAAAAGTAAAAAAAAAGGTCCCGACAATCACGCAGCACAGCTGTGATGGACGGAGCCTTATTTTTTTACTTTTTTAAAGCATTTTTTTACTACCTATTCACCCGAGCTGGTAGTAAAAAAATGCTTTTAAAAGGTTAAAAAAAAAGGCTCCGTCCATCACAGCTGTGCCGTGCAATCATTGGAGCCTTTTTAAAATATTTTTTACTACTGTTTCGGGCGAACCGACCTGAACCAGTAGCATTTCACCCCTGGTCAAAAGTACTTTTTTCAATGCTGTTGTAATTTTGAACAGTTGCTAAATTAACTGATGTAAGGTGAAAACCAGTGGTGAAATCAAAAATTTGTTACTACCGGTTCTGTGGGCGTGGCTTGGTGGGGGGGTAATGTGACGGTGGGCGTGGCCATTTGTTTTTTTTTTTACTTTTAAAACCATTTTTTCTATTGGCAAAAAGGTTGTAAAAAAATGATTTCAGAAGCCTCTGACGATCCCAGCTGAGTTGCCTGATTGGCAGAGGCTTTGCCTCTGCAGATCAGGAAACTCAGCTGGGATCGTCAGAGGCATTTAAAAGAAAAAAAGCCTCTTTCTGAAGAGGTTGTAGAAAAAATGCTTTTAAAAGTAAAAAAAAAAAAAGCCTCTGATGATTGTGCGGCTCAGCTGGGGTGGGGGGGCAGGGATTTTTGCTACTGGTTCTCTGAACCACCCGCCTCCATCGCTACCAGATCAGGCGATCCAGTCCGAACCGGGAGAATTTCACCCCTGGTGAAAACTACTTGTAGTTCCGCAGCTATGCTTCAGCACTATACATAACAGACTTTCCAGAACTGGCTGTATCACGGTTCACATATGTGCCGTGCACAATATATTTTACCCCAGAGCTTTGAAAGAGAATTTGGCCAGATGCATGTTTCACTTCAGAGGGCTGTAGCACTGGGAAAGCCTCCCTAGAACCAGACTTCCAAGCTTAGTATTCTTAAAATGGGTCAGGATTGCTGTTTCCAGAATTCTAAGATGATGTTATTCAGGTTTTTGTACTTTTTTTCCTAAGTCTCTCGGATTTGGAGCAGCCACTTCTAGCTTTGCCTAACTCTTGTATACCGACCAAAAGCATTCCTGTCAAAAACATTAAGATGGCTGCAGCGACAATGCAATCAAAGCCCACCTCTTTTCACATGACCCATTGAAAGTGGACGGGGCTTTGATTGAGTGGTTGTAATTGCCATCTTGAATTTTCTAACCCTGTCCCTTTCAGGTGTCGCTGATCCACACATAATAATAAATGAATGTATGAGAGGCCCACATAATTAGGAAAAGTTGAGCCAAGGTTTTTATTTTGGATATTGAGCAGAACTTAGTTTAGTACAATTAAGCTTAGCTTAATACGTACAGTATTCGTTCCTAGGCTGATTGAAAAAGAAATTCTAAAGTTTGCTTCTCTACCTCAGATGGAGTTGGGAGGCTGATAATTAAAATAAAGTGACAAGAAAGAAAAAAATAATTCTCCACTTGAGGTTTTCTAAAGTAGCACCCCTGACCTTCTTTTCCAAAATCCTCTGTTCACCAAAAAGATTTGAATTTCCATTGCACAACGCAAAACAAAAATGAACTTGTAGATGGGGACATCTTTCCCTATTCTGAGGCAGAAAGCTGTTTCCACCCCCGTTTTTCTGATTTTTTTCAAAGCTATCCCATCTCTAGTCAAAAGTCAAGATGGTGGCTACAGGAATGCACATACGAATAATCTTCAATTTACAACCACAACTGAGCCCAAAATTTCCCTAGATAAACAAGACAGTTGTTAAGTGAGTTTTGTCCCATTTTATGACCTTTATTGCCGCAGTTATCAAGTTAATCACTGCAATTGTTAAGTTAGTAACATGGTTGTTAAGAGGATCTGAGTTCCCCAATTGATTTTGCTTATCAGAGCCAAAGGTGATCACATGCAACCATCGTAAATATATTCTGGTTGCCAAGCATCCAAATTTTTATCACATGACTACAGGGATACAATAAAAGTCGTAAGTATAAAAACCTGGTCTCAAGTCACTTTTTGGTGCCATTGTAATTTTGAACAGTCACTAAATGAATGGTTACTGTTTCCCCCTGAAAATAAGCCCCAACATGATTTTTCAGGATGCTTGTAATATAAGCCCTATCCCAAAGATAAGCCCCAGTTAGGATTGTCAGCCAGAGGGACACATTTTAGTACTGTATTTTCTTGAAAATAAGACTTAACCAGAAAATAACCCCTAATGCTTCTTTTGGAGCAAAAATTAATATAAGACCCAGTCTTATTTTTGGGGAAACATTGGTATAACTTGTGGGATACCTATAAAAACTTGATTGTGCCATTTTGGCCACCATCTTGATTCTTCTTTTTTTTACCTCTGCAGCAGCCCTTGCTTGTAGAAATTCAGTTAGCTATTGTATTTTGCAAAAATGCCACTGCTGAAAGGAATGGGGCACAAATAAGCCATATTTTCCTGAGCACCCACTTCAGAAATAGGTGAACGAGGTCTAGAGAGGTGTAACTTTTTTCTCCAAAACACTACTACTTCACATTTTCTTCTCCATTCCTGCAGTCTTCCTCTTTGCACCCAAACACTTGTGGCGTGTGCGGGAAAAGTTTTAGCCGCCGTTCGAACCTGGCCAAGCACCAGATCATCCACACAGGAGAGAAGCCGTACCGTTGCAATGACTGCGGCCGCAGCTTCAACCAGAGCTCGGCACTCACCAAGCACCAGCGGACGCACACTGGGGAGCGCCCCTATGTCTGCAGCGACTGTGGCAAGGCTTTCACCGCTAGTTCCAACCTCCTCCAACATCGGCGTTTCCACACCGGGGAACGGCCCTATCGTTGTGAATTGTGCGGCAAGGCCTTCTCTCAAAGTTCCAACTACAACCTGCACCGGCGCGGCCACACAGGGGTTACACCTTACCAGTGCAGTGTGTGCGGTAAGCGATTTACCGGGAGCTCATGCCTTACTCGCCACCAGCGGACTCACACTGGAGAGAAGCCGTACCAATGCCAGGAATGTGGGAAGCGCTTTTCGGGAAGTTCCACGCTGGCTAACCACCGTCGTACCCACACGGGTGAGAAACCCTACGGTTGTGTTGAGTGTGGCAAGAGGTTCACCCATCACTCCAATCTGGTGGACCACTGGCGGGTGCACACGGGGGAAAAGCCCTACGTGTGCACCGAGTGCGGGAAGAGCTTTCGGCTCAGCTCGCACATCATTCGCCACCGTCGCACTCATGCCAATGCTCGCAGCTCCAGCATGAGCCATGGCCTTCTCTGTGAGGTTGACCCAACTTTTGATGAGGGCAGCATTGAAGGCCACCATGATGGAAGCATTGGGATCCCGTGCATAACTGGTCTTGATACTTTGTGTGCTAATACCAATGTTACCAATGGCAATAATAGCTCTGATGAAGAAGAAGGCGACCGGCTTCTTATTTGCGGCCACTGTGGTAAAGGTTTTCACCTGGAGCCTAGTCCCCGAAAAGCCAACCAAAATGACTTGGCTCTGGGGGAAGGGCCTTATAGTTGTACTGAGTGTGGTAATAGTTGTTGGACGTAGCTGGTTTCTTAAGATCCAAATGCAAAGCCCAATATGTAAGAGAAAATTATTGATCTGTCAATAACAAATTGAGACATAGATTAGGTCAGGGAGCAATTCTGATTCCTAATGGGCTTGATCTTGAGTTGGCCTTGAATTGGCTTCTCCAAATTCCTTTCCTTAGTTTTGGTGTGAAATTTAGGGTCAGTATTTTTCAATCTTGGCAACTTTAAGAAGTGACGTCCACAGGTTTTAAAGTTGCCACAGTTGAGAAACAATGATCTAAGTAAAAGGGTGGATTTCTCTGTTCAGCTTTCTTTTCTGACAGAGAAAGTTAAAATGGCTGAATGAGTACAATAGAGTAGAGAGGCCTGTTGGGGCTTGTCCAATTGAGCCAAAAGTAAACAAATAAACAAAAGTCTGGGTTTGTATCAGTCTCTCTCCTCACCTCAATTATTCAGGAGCTTCTAGAGTAGCTGAAAAAGTGAAGGATGATATGGATGTAACCTAGGACACTACAATGACAAAGAAGTGGAGAGGAGACTTTTTAACACCTGTCCCTTGATCCTGGGAAATAATTTGCTTTCTAATAGTGGCTGATGTTTGATTGCAAAGCAACAAAAGCTACGCACCTGCAGAAATTCCAGGTGGATGAAGCAAGGTTTTGCTGAGCCACGGGGCAAGAATCTGATCACTGAAGCAAGCTTATTTAGTTAGCATGCATATAGAATTTTTACCTGTCCTGGGGCTTTATATTTAGGTCCATGTTTAGCTTTGTACAGGAGACACAAAATGTCCCAAGATTGCACTTGTTTTCTCCAATACTTCGGTTAAGCTCCAATGCTCCGAAGAACAGCCTTACAAATTTTCTACTATGGAGACTGTTTGAAAGGCTATGCTTGTTCTGCTTGGATAAAAGTTAAAAACGGTATCTTAAGAAAAATGCACACTAGGCTAACCTGAATAAATTGTGCCAATTAAGCCTGTTGTACAAGGCTGCTTGCTGTGTGTTATTTAGCCTGTTTCCCCAACCCCCCTCCAGGTAAGGCGAGTATCTCTATAAATGGGAAGCTTTGAGTCATGAACATTGCAAGTCTTGATTATCTCCTTAGTTAACTTGGTCTCAGCAGGCACCAGCTTACACAGTATAGTAGCAGCCATACAGGGAGTCCTCGATGTAGAACCAGAATTGAGATCAGAATGCTAAGCAAGATGGTTGTTAAGTGAGTGGCATCTGATTTTTGTGACCTTTTTGCCGTTGTTGTTTAAGCAAATCACCACAGTTGTTGAATGAATCGTGCAATCGTTACGTTAAGAGAGCTTCTTCTATTGACTTTGTCAGAAGGAAAGGTCACAAATGGCGATCATGTGACCCTGGGTCACTTTGATTATTGTAAATACCTGCTGGTTGCCAAACACCTACATTTTGGCCATGCAATTGTGGGATGCCGCAATGGTCATAAGTGTGAGGACCAGTCATAAATCAGGTCTTTTGAGTGCCATTGTGACTGAATGGCCACTAAACAAATGGTTATAAGTCAAGGACTACTGTAGTTTATTTTATCTGAATTTATTGAAGAAAACAATTCAGCTGATTAATACAACATATTGCTTGAAAACCACAAAAGCTCATGAGACTTGAGTGAGTAGCCATGGAACAGACTGTTCTGCATCATCAGTAGGGCTATAAATGGTGAATATGTTTGAACCAATCTTTCTTAAGCTCAGTAACGTTAAAATGTATGGACTTCAACTCTCATAATTCCCCCAGCTACCATTATGTTATGCCAAAGGTGGTTTTTCAAGACAACTGGACTTTCTTGTTATTCTTTGAAGACCTTTCACTTCTGATTCAAGAAGCTTCTTCAGATCTGACTGGATGGTGGAGAAAGGAAGGATTTATATTCCTTGCAGATAGCTGGTCACTTGCATTCTTTTAGAGAGAGTCATTGAGGCCACTTGGAGGTTTATCTGTGTCCTCAGGGTCACCTGAGTAGTGCAAATGGGTGTGGAGCCTTCTTGGAACTGCTGAAAGGACTGTGTTGTAGATGGAGATAGATGATGTTGTATCCCTTCCCCTCTTATTGAGAGGGCTGTTCAAATTTCACATTAACGGCCTCTTTGAATACTATTATGTTAAGAATCTCTGAGTTATGTAGAATGCCAATACTTAAAAAGGTAGCTGTAATATTTTTTTTCTGCTTCTAATTATAATGCCCACTATATTTTCTGCTATCCCATGTAGCAAAATAGGTTGTGTATTTATGTATATTAAATTTCTTTCCTGTGGCTATCATTATATAGTCTCCCACAGTGATATAAAGAAAAACACTCCTACAGTGTAAATTCAAAAGCCAGCATAGTGTATAATAGCAGTTTAAAATAATAAACACAAGAGAAAGAGTGGCATAAGGCACTTCACAATTATTTAAAAAGTTTAGAATCATATTTGGTTAGAAAAACACCTTTCCTGAATCAGAACAAAGGAGCACACAGTTTGGGAGGAGGGGCCATTCCAGAATCTACTTAAAAGGATCCATAATATTTGTCAGCAAAGAGTTTCAGATGAAAACTGAAATGAGTAGAGAGCACCAGGTGAATACAACATGTGAGCTTTACAGAAAAGTACCAAAATTCTGAAATTATCAAAGCAGAAATGGGTCACAGAATCATTTTCAAATCAAGTAAAATACAAAGCTAACAATTGATTCCAAAATGACAATAAAGTAGGCAGACACAAATAAAACTGTTTATTAGATTTGTTTGCCAACCATCTTGGCAAACTCCCAGAGGCGACTCTGGGCAGCTTACAAACATTAAAACATACATATAGGTGGCTCTCAATTTACAACCATTTGTTTAGTGACTGATTAAAGTTGCGATGGCACTTCTCCAAGTGAGCAAAAAATGAATAAAGTGCTAAGGTAATCAAAATAATTCAGTAATTCCATCTTTCCCTTATTGCTTTTTTTCCAAATAACTTTTGTGAAATGATAGAATTGGAAAACATGAAGGTACCATTTTTCAGATTAAGACAAAAGATTCTAAATTGGTTTACAAGTAAGAGAGTCTGGTTCCTCAAGCTTACTTTCTTGTAAAAAATGCAACAAAAAGATTTTGGAAGAAGGAAGACAAACACTATTAAAGGCACAATATATAAAATAACAGTTTTGTTTCTGAACAAGCAAAGGCCATGTTTGTATCTTGGTTGCACTGCACAAGCCTTAGGCTATGCTTGGGTGATATTTATATAAGTAGCTGCTTTACTTCATTAAGATGTGTCCTAAAAATAATACAAATGCAAATAATATATTGTAAGAACAACAAATACATGCCTGTGGTAGTAATTCATTATATAACTGATGTTTTTTTTTTAAATTAGTTGGCTTAAAGGAAAAAGAAGCCTCAGTGGAAATAATCTATGTTACAAGAACCTCACTAAAGTAAATGATGCAAATTCTATTAATCGTATCATAATTTCCCATTTTTTTTAGCTTCTGCATAATTACTCTTTGGTGGTAGCGACATGACATGCCAGGAGGGGGGAAAAGGTGTTTAGCTATTTATATACATTTCCTTTTGTACATGTCTGTATTTATGGCCACCTGGTATAACTTTTGGTATAACTTTTTAGGTAAACCTTGGAAAGAGTCTTGGGCAATTCTGTTGCTTCATTGCTGTCACCTTTCTTAGAGTAAACATCTCCATGACCAGCAATCCTCCACCTGTTCCCCCCCCTTTCTGATACAGCCAAAAGAGCTTTATCATTAAAAGATGGGAAGAGCCAACCAGGGATAAATGCCGAAGAAGAACAGGTTGTGGATTCAGCTCGCAGGACCACCATTCTACATTTCCTTCCTTCTGCTTGAAAATAACATCTGTATTAAATCTCATTTGAGATAAAAAAAAGGAATAAATTAAATAACGCATGGATTAAAAACTAAAACTCAAAGACGCTCGCTTAAGAGTAAATCCTATTGAATTCACCGGGCTTTCCTTCCGCTATAATGTTGAGGTTCTATTACATCTCTTCACCTTTTTATTGGAAGACTCTACCTTGTACCACTCTACTCTATATATGTGTGTGGAGTTCTGAGTACTTATGACTTTACAGATTAACAGAATTGGAAGGGACCTTGCAGGTCATCTAGTCCAACCCCCGCCGCCCAAGCAGGAGACCCTAGTACACCATTTCTGACAGATGGCAGTCCAGTATCTTCTTGAGAGCTTCCAGTGATGAACACAACTTCCAAAGGCAAGATGTTCCATTGGCGGGTTGTCCTCACAGTCAGAAAATTTCTCCTCATTTCTAGGTTGAATCTCTCCTTGATCACTTTCCATCCATCCATTCCTTGTCTTGACCTTCAGGTGCAGAGGCGCTTTGCCTAGCGAGATGGGCGGCGTATAAATTTAATAAAATAAAATACACATTTACAAACAATGCATTCTTTTAAGAAGGGTCAGGATTGAAAATGTCGGCGTTTTTTTTTGTAAACATATTTGTAACCGATCGACCAACACGGTTTGCAATTGTAATGGATGATGGATTTATGTTTTATGTTTTGTTTAAAAAATAAAATAAAAATTTTCAAAAAAAGAAAAGAAAAAAGAAAATGTCGGCGTTTGGGTTCCTGCAAACGGTGCGATGATCCCTTTAAAGCCCCTTTAATGCCAGCACAGGCTCCGCTTCCCCTCTCCCTCCCTCCCTCCCTCCCTCCCTGCCTGCCCAGGATGGTATTTGGGGCATTCTGCTCCTTCCGCCAGGGAGTGTCCGCTTTTTCCACTTCGATTGGTGGGTCTTTAAACCGAAAGCAGCCAATGAGAAGGGTCCTTTAGGCTTCTTTGTTGGTTAGACAGCCAATCCGCTCTTTCCCCCGCCTTTTCCTGGACCAATCTCCGCCCCCGAAAAGCGGAAGGGGCTCCCGTGCATGTTTAGATGCGGGAGATGGGGAAAAAAGGATCGGTTTTTTTGGTCCTTTGTGTCTCCGGAGGAATCTTCCCTTTGAAACCCCTCCAGGCTTTTCTCTGCGTTTCCCTCCCCACTTCTGCCTTTGCCTTTCACCTTCCTTTCCTTGCTTCGGTGCTTCCCCCGGGCTCCTAGATCTCCTTCCCGCATTGCCTGATGGAGGGGCAACATATAATGGCCCAGGTCCACATCCAAGCTCCCTCGTCCAATTCCGTAGCCGGCGAAGAATCCAGGCGGTTGCCGAACCCCGTGCGAGTTGCAGCCAGGGAAAGTATGGCCGGAGGACGTCTGTTGGACAGTCATAGCCTGGATGGGATAAGCCAAGTATATGGGGCATCCAAGAACCAAGAAGGCAGGAGGGCCACTATATCGAGCGCCTTGGAATTGGAAGGAACCGTGAGCTACGATGGAGACCTGACACATTTCGTGGCCAACAACTTGCAAATGAAGATCAAGATGAGCTCTCGGGGCAGTCTGGATGATACAGAGCCTACCTCCTCGTCGATGTCATCCCAGCACTCTGTCCGAGGCAAAACTGCAGACATCCCTCCAGTGGATCCCCAGGTCCTTCGGGATCTGGAAAGGCTGACCACGGATGTGGCACAGAGAGTGGACCAGATGTTGAGAGCCTTGAACGGCGCCATCCAGAATATGACGGCTCTCAGCGTAGGCTACATCCAGACCTACCGAGATGCGGTCGACAGTTTGGGCGAATCCGTGGACATGAGCATCAAAGGGATGTACACTCTGATGGCCAGGTGCGAAGAGTTGGACCGCTCCATGCAGCCTGTTCACATCCTGGCTAAGCAGATCCGGGAGATTAAGAGGACTCTGGAGATCTTTGAGGCCGTCTGCAAATAAAACCCTTTTTTTGAAAAGGGTTTGATTTGTGGAGCAATGGGGAATAAACAAGGGCAAGCATTGGACTTCCAGGGATTTGGGCTTTGAAAGGGAAACTCGTGTTTTTCGTGAAATATTTCAATAAATAAATTATGGCAGTACTGTACTTGTCTCCTGTTGTGACATTTGCTCCTTTTGTTGTTTTCTAACATTTCCCAATCTAACCCAAAATTTTGGAGGCCCCCAATAATCAGCAGGATTCTTCCATCCATTTCTGTGGCTGTTTCTTCCCCACAAAATCTCACATATGCTACATGTCTCTTGTAGTTAACACTGGTTACTGCTATCTGTCAAAATATGATATGCAAGGCATGAAAGCTCTCAAGTAACTCCCATCTCTCCCTGCAGAGTCTCGTTGTTCATATTATATCTAAATTCCATTATTTTTTCATCATAAAACTATAATCTGAACCAAATAAGTCTATCAGGAGACCTTGCAGGCCAGTCACTCTCTCAGCCAAACCCACCTCACAAGTTTGGGGAAAACAGGAGGAAGATGCATTGGATATGTTTGCTGCCTTATTTGCAAAAATTAATAAATAAAAATTAATAAAGGCAGGATATAAATTATCATTTGTAAACAGCTGTGAGTCATTTTGGAACTGATGACCTGCCATCAATGCAGGGTTCAACTCTTAGCAACCACGTTTATTAAATTTATATAAACCCATCCCCTTTTGATTTTCCAAAGTGATAGTAGATATTTTTTTTCTCCAGAACTGAGCAGCCTAGAAATCGCAATCTTTAAATAAATAAACAGACCCCTATGTGTCACACTCGTATTAAACGCAAGAGAGCTGAAATTCAGCAAATGAATTGGGGGAGTGGGGAGAGGACTGGGGGGGAGGGTCAGAGTTAAATACTCCTCTCTTCTATGAAACACAAGACGGAGGAAAAGTAACCCCAAAGGTGAGAGTTTAGCTTAAGAAGACGAGTGCCTACCTAGGGCTATTTATAGAGCTGTCTGAGGAGGGGGCGGGGTTAAAGGTTAATGCGTGCCCTCAGCCATTGGGCGCCCCCCCCTGTCCACACACCTGTCCCCCCGGAAAGGCGAAAGTCTGCAATCTGTAGTAAAGTTTTCACCAGGTGCAAGGAAGGGATGCAATTATTTTGGTGGGAGCTCAATAAAATAATGGGAAACATTTCAGCTTCCCAGTGAGTCTGAATTACGCTTTATGCTTTACACAAATGGTATCTCCTGCTTGAGCAGGGGGCTGGACTAGATGACCTACAAGACCCTTCCAACTTCTATTCTATTCTATTCTATTCTATTCTATTCTATTCTATTCTATTCTATTCTATTCTATTCTATTCTATTCTATTCTATTCTACTCTACTCTACTCTACTCTACTCTACTCACAGGGCATTCTGTTTCCCCATAAAGTACAGAATATACTATTTAGACAAAGGTAATAGAAAAAAAAAGGGGGGGTGGAAGCAGAAGCAACTGAGAAAGAACTATTTTTGTTGTATCAATTATCAAACAATCCTATGTTCACTTGGAAGTAGCATTTATGGGGGGAATTCATTGATGTGGGGAGACTGGCTGTTTTGCACCACTGATCTGTGCTGAATTGTACACAGGTGGATTTAAAAGAGGGGGTGAAGGTTGTCAGTGGCTGCTAGTATTAATCATCAGTGAAATTTTTATTTATTTGTTAAATTTATTTGCCGCCCATCTCACCAAGGGGCTACTCTGGGCAACAAATAATAAATAAATAGTGACATAGTGTCCCAAAAGTCACAAAAGGTGATCACATGACCTTGGGACCCTGCAACCTTCATAAATACATGCCAGTTGCCAAACCTGTGAATTTTGATCACATGACACAGGGGATGCTTCAATGGTCATAAGTGTGAAAAATGGTCATGTCACTTTTTTCAGTCGCAAAAGGTGACTGAACTTCAAGTGGTCACTAAACAAATGGTTGTCTCTCCCAACTCTCTCTAAATGATTTTTTTCTATGGATGCCTAATGATATTAGATTTTGTTGAGATTATGAATCATGAGATTGTTTTGGCATGGAGCAGGGTTCATATGGACAATTTCCTCATCCCTGTCACAGGGCTTAAGGTCACAGAACTCTGAAATGAACCCAGAACAAAATAGAATGCCTGTATAAAAATTGTATGAAGATTGTAATTTGTTTATTTGTTCATATCCTCTCTATACTGAGATGCCATCCACAGTCTGTCTGAGACATTCTGGACAAAGAGCAGCTTTTGTTTCAAGGGCGCTGTAATAATATTAGTAGTACTAATAAGCATTTTGAATGCAATTTATTTATTTAAGAACATTTATATCACTGCCCAACTCACTGTCAGTAACTCCGGCAGCTTGCAAGGATAAAATTCCAATTCCAAAACATCTGGAGCACCATTTAAATACCACCGATATTGACAAAATCACCATCAGTCAATTACAAAAGGCAGCTTTACTTGGAACAGTAAAGTCCTGTGACAATGTCTTTTAACACCTTAGACATCAGCACTTGCCTATCTCAGGTTGTTGGGAAGAATACAGCTGGCTAAAAATGCCAAATCCAGTCTATAAACATCTTGCGGACTGTGCAACCAACCCTAATAATAATAATACCTTTAATATTATTAAACAATTTCTGCCTATCCCATTTCTGCTTTTCACAGTTATGACCATTACAACATCTCCATGGTCATGTGATTAAAATTCAGACACTTGGCAACTAGATAATGACAGTTGTGGCCTTCTGGAATCATGTCAGTCACCTTTTGTGACCTGACAAGCAATGTCAATGGGGAAGCCAGATTTACTTAACAACTGCAGTGATTCACTCAACAGCTATGGCAAGAAAGGGGCAAAACTCAACCGTATTCAGTTCTCTGGCCAAAGGCACCTGGCTTTTAAGGCCATTCTGTTTCTTAGCCCAAATTCAAGTTGTTGTCTCATATATAGATCATGAACGTAACTGTGTTAACAATGGCATTCAGGATTTGCCCTCCGAAACGGAATTATTTTAATCCATTCTGCTTTGACTGTATTTTTCTTGATAATCCTTCCTTGCAGGGTGACAGTTCTTTTTAAGTAATGAACTGTCACCCTGCAAGGAAGGATAGTTGAGAAAATCACAGAGAACAGTGTTTTCTTTCCAAATCCTGTTTGAATACTATATAAATATCGCTATATGCAACAGCAATAATACTGAATTAGTGTCCACAAGCCCTAAGAGGCATCTTGGGTGGGCATGAAAACGAATACAGAATAACAGAGTTGGAAGGGACCTTTTAAGTCATCTAGTCCAACCCCCTGCTGAAGCAGGAGACTCTATCCATTTTAAATAGGTAGCTGTCCAGTCTTCTCTTAAAAATCTCCAGTGATGAAGCGCCCACAACTTCTGAAAGCAACTTCTGTTCCACTGGCTGATTTTCCTCACTGTCAGAAAATTTCTCCTTATTTCTAGTTTGATTCTCTCCTTGATCAGTTTCCATCTGTTGTTCTTGTCTGGCCTTCAGGTGCTTTGGAAAACTAGCTTGACCCCCTCCTCTCTGTGACAGCACCTCAAATATTGGAACACTGTTATCATGTCTCCCCTGGTCCTTCTCTTCACTAGACTAGCCATGCCCACTTCCTGCAACCGTTCCTCATATGTTTTAGCCCAGGGGTCACCAACCTTTCGGACCACTTAATTCATAATTTTAAATCCCTGGGACCACTAATATGAATTTTTTTAAAAAGATAACTAGTATTTAGTGCAATATAAAAAATGCAAATAATTTTTCTGCAGACCACCAACATTTTCTCCAGTTGGTGACCGTTGTTTTAGCCTCCAGTCCCCTAATCATCCTGGTTTCTGCGCTCTTTCTAGAGTCTTGACATCTTTTTTTTTTTTTTAATAATAATAGTGTGGTGACCAAAACTGGATGCAGTATTCTAACTGTGGTCTTAACTAAGTCTTTATAGAGTGGTATTAGGACGTCTCGTGATCTTTGATTCAAGTCCCTCTGTTAACGCAATTTAGAATTGATTGCACTGGCTTCCTTGGCTGCCGCCTCAGAAAGAAACCGATAACTTTGAAATGAAGGACTTGTGTAAAGCTGCGGAGGAATAAAGCTGCATCCCCCCCGCCCCCCTTAAAACGAGGGTCGCGCACAAGCTGGGAGCCGACTGAGTTAAAACAGTAGAGCGGACAAGATTTCTGCTGCCTAGAAAGGACCCAGAAGGAAGTAGGTTTGGAGAAGGGTCTTAATCATGAAGGGACCTTCCTGTTCCAAGCGGATCTCTATGGCTAGGCACCTAGCAGCCTCCCCGTGCCCACTCTTAAATGAAAACAAAGCCAGTGGGGGGACAACCAAGTAATAAGGTTTGAAATGGCTGCGCTAGCAGCATCTCTCTGGACAGCCTGAAGAGAAGATGAAAGGGCTGTTGAACATGTGGGAATCAAAAGAACAACCTGGTCAGGAAATTGTTAATGACAGCAAACTGGGGTGGAAGAAGCTAAAGGAGGAAAGCTCCAATTCATCTCATTCTGTGTGTGTGTGTGTGTGTGTGTGTGTGTTTGATTGTCAAAATAGCCTTCGTTTGCTTTGAATTAAAAAAAAAAACCTAATGATTTTGATAAATACATTTTTTTTTTAAATCTATTATTGCTAGGTTCGATCTGTCCTGTCAGACCGAGGAGGAATGTAGTTGTATAAGAAATAGAAGTCTTGTTTCGAAGGGTTGGGATTTGTGAAATATATCTACTCCCGTAAAATGTCAGGGAATTTGAGGTTGTGAAGAAACTCAGGCAAATATGTGCCTGTGGGAGGGAGGCAGATAATCAATTTGGGGACCCTGGGGGCTCAGAAGCTGCTTTTTTTTTCTTTTCTTTTTTTTTTGAGACAGACAGGCATCTGCATTCCCCCTGCTAAAGAAATTTGGTTGTTTTTTTTTCCCTCCCCCAGAATCAGAATTCCTCAGAGCTAACTGTTGCAGTTTTCCCACATGGAAAGTGGAAAACAAGCCTATGTTCTGGACCTCCAGGGCTATAGTGAAAGAGAGACATTAAGAGGTGAGGAATAAATTGAATAAATTGAAGGTATGTCAGTAAGGGTATGCTGTGACTTGGAATTCTTATTTCAAATTTCATTTTTGCCTTACAGTATTAACTGTATTAACCTAGGCTAATCACAATTTCTTAGTAGCTTTTTGAAAATATATTTATATTGGGCATAAATCTTTAACTCGGATCTACCATATATAAATGTTGGCATAGATTTTGGATTCTGGTAACAAGATTTAAGTTAGGTTATCTTTTAAATGTAAATGTACTTCTAAGTTTTTATCATTATATTTGCTTTTAACATATTGCTGCTTAAAGATATTTTATTGGGGCTGCTGCTTTTATTATGGTGTGTGTGTGTGTGTGTGTGTGTGTGTGTGTGTGTGTACATACCCCAACCTGTGATTCACAACCATAGTCACTTTACAATTACCTCTTTTCTGAGGCTACAAATATTAAATTCTCTATGCCAGGGGTGGGCAACTATGGCCCTTTTACAACCTGTGGACTTCAACTCCCAGAATTCCTAAGCCAGCTTGGCTGTCTCAGGAATTCTAGGAGTTGAAGTCCACAGGTTGTAAAAGGGCCACAGTTGCCCACAGCTTGGCTGTTTCAGGAATTCTAGGAGTTGAAGTCCACAGGTTGTAAAAGGGCCACAGTTGCCCACCCCTGCTCTATGCACTTTATGGGAGAAATTCCAGACACTTATAATACCATTCAATTAAACTCTTTAATTTCTTTGTTTCATTACAAAGTACAGGAAACAAATTTTGATGGCTTTGTCTCACTAACAAATATGTTGTGAATAAGAGTGAAAATAAAACTGTATACTGAAATTGTTCACTATATTTTTACATTATCATTTTTCAGAGCTAAATTCTACTTCTTTTCAAGTCTTACAGAGATTCTTCTAGATGTGGATGGCAATAATATTTAAATATTTAAATATTTCTATGTCTTACAAGGATCCAAGAAAATTTATGTTTAGTCTTCATAACTTAAATGGGAAAATAAGTTAAATAAACTACTGATATCTAAATTAACCACTACACATCATCTTAGATGGAGTGGGTTTATAGCAGTGTAAATCAGGAGTGAACTTGGTTTTTTAAAAAATCCTTTTGAGTTTGCCATTGATTATTTTAAGATATAATCTGCTTTCCTAAAGTAACATATAGTAAAAAGTTTAAATTTATTTGGTGAGAATGAGATTAAACTGTTATGATATAACTTCTGACTGTAGACATTAAGATGACACATGAAAACAAAGAAGAGGAAGCAGAGTCACAGAAGAAACAGAAAGAAGACCAACAAATGCAACATAGAGACTCTCCAGCGAAAGGAATAGAAGACTATCAGATGGAAGGCACTCCGCATGAGGTCTGTAATGGTGAATCTATCATATCTCTGGAACAGGAATCTACAGATAATCTTTCTGACAATGACAAAATGCTCAAAGCTACCATTTGTCCTGACTGTGGGAAGAGCTTTAGTAACAGCTCTCACCTAATCCGTCACCGTCGCGTTCATACAGGTGAGAAACCGTACAAATGCCCCCATTGTGACAAAAGTTATCGCCAAGACTCTCACTTAGTTCAGCATATGCGTTCTCATACAGGTGAGAAGCCATACCGGTGCACACATTGCGGCAAGGGCTTCTCACAGAGTTCCAATCTCATCATCCACCAACGGACACATACAGGCGAACGACCCTTCACCTGTCCAGAATGTGGGCGGAGCTTCAGCCATAGTTCTGATCTCATTCAGCACAAGCGAATCCATACCGGGGAGAAGCCTTATGTCTGCTCCATCTGTGGAAAATGCTTTTCTCAGAGCTCAAAGGTTACCCAACACAAACGCTTCCATTCTGGGGAGCGTCCATTTTCCTGTGGGGAGTGTACCAAAACTTTTCGTCTCCGGGCTGATTTGGTCCGTCACCTCCGTGCTCATACCGGAGAGCGGCCTTTTGGCTGCCCTGAGTGCGGGAAACATTTTGCGGAGAGCTCCCATCTTATCCGACACCAGCGGATCCATATGAGCGAACGTCCCTTTCGCTGTCCAGACTGTGGGAAAGGATTCAATCAGAGCTCCAACCTCCAACAGCATCAGCGGGTGCACCGAGGCCAGAAACCCTTCAAATGTGATGAGTGTGGGAAAGGTTTTGGTGTAAGCTCGGCACTCTTGCAACACCAGCGAACTCACACCGGTGAACGACCCTACTGCTGCAGCCAGTGTGGGAAGAGTTTCAGTGTCAGCTCCACCTACCATATACACCAGCGTATTCATGCAGGGCAAAAGCCCTACTCGTGTGCAGACTGTGGGAAAGGCTTTGTGCGTAGTTCTGCTCTCCTTCAGCATCAGGCAACTCACACCGGTGAGAAGCCCTTTCGATGTCCCTATTGTGGAAGAGGGTTTGGACAGAAATCGGCCCTTTCTCAGCATCGGCGAGCCCATGTGAGGAGAGGAGAGACATTGACTTTGATGGAAGGATGGGAAACAGCTGGGATGGAAGAGGTTGGGGACCAGGGAGTGGGAGGGGAAGCACATAGCCTGTGGCAAAGGAACGGGATAGGTATTATGGAGCCCGAATGGCAGGGTGTTGGAGATGAGGCCACAAGACAGGAATGGGAGGATGACAGGGATGAGGCCATGAGGGTGGAGTGGCAGGATGACGTTGATGAGGGTCTGGAGGAACAGTTGCAGGATGATGGCAGAGAAAGCATGAGGCAGACCTGGAAAGACGGTGTGGAATCCTCCATGAGGACCGAGTGGCAGGACGATGAGGATGAACAATTGGAACGGGGATCACAGGGGGATTGTACTGAAAGCATAAGGCTGGAATGTCAGGAGGATGCCGATGCCGATGATGATGATGATGATTACAGGAGGGTGGAGGAGAGCTTCCAGGATGACAATCTGAGTATCAGGCTAGAGTGTCATGATGATGAAGATGGTGAAAGCGTAGAAGAATACGTACAAAGTAACAGTAATTCAAACATCGGGGGGAAAGGTCAGGACGAGATCACCACAAAGCACGACTGGCAGGATGATAGAGGCAAAAGCATAAGAGAAGAGTGGGAGACTACTTTAGATAATTTAAGGCAGGAGAAATTGATTGAGGAACAGGAATGGCAGGATAGCGAAGACGATAGTGAGAAGCAAAGTTGGCTAGGAGATGGGGAGGACATTTGGAGAGAACAAGACAGAAGTCAGAGACTGAGTCATCCTGCTGAAGCTGAGGAGCTTAAGGAATTGAAATAATTGACTGGGATATAGTAGGAGAGAGTAGAATGCCTACAACGCTCATAATAGCTCAAACCAGCAAGCCATCAAAAGTCATTGTGGACAAACAGCAGAATCGTACCTTGATGCAAAGCAGTTGTGTCCTTCTGCAAGAAATATAGTTGTATTTATATTTGTAGGGTATTCTGTGGTGTCTACTCTCCACTTGAACGTGTCCCTCACTCCAGTCCCTGCATGCCTGTGATACAGAGCACTGTGTGGTGGCTGCCTTATGGTCAAGCTCTATGATCTGGCTCCCTGTATCATTCCAAGCCTTGTGCTGTTTGCTGGTCAAAATAATTCCAAAGGGTGGTTTTAGTACAGTCCATTTTTAAATGTTACTCTACCTATGTACATGTTGTATTATACTTCCTAATCCAGCCCAAGTTTTGTTTAAAAAAAGTTTCCACTTCCAAGGTAAGATGCCTTTTTTATAAATAAGTGGGTGCCTTTCCTTACGGTGGCAATTCTTGCTGGATTCTAGGAGTTGATTTGGGAGAAATGTTCCTTCAATTCAGTCTAAAAGCCCATGATGGCGAACCTACGGCACGCATGCCACAGGTGGCACGTGGAGCCATATCTGAGGGCACGCAAGTCATTACCCTAGATCAGCTGTACTGCGCATGTGCGTGCCGGCCAACTGATTTTCAGGCCTTCTGGTCCCATCGGAAGTCAGGAAACAGACCGTTTCCAGCCTCTGGAGGGTCTCCAGGGGGGGCGGAGAGGCCGTTTTAGCCCTCCCCAGGCTCCAAGAAAGCCTCTGGAGCTTGGGGAGGATGAAAAACAGGCCTACTGGGCCCATCATGCCATCATGTGCCAAAAGGGGGAGCACGGGGTCACGCGCATATGCGTTGGGGGGGCAGGGTGCATTGAATTATGGGTGTGGACATGCACGCGTGTGACAACCCTCCTCCCCTGCTTCCCCTGCTTTTGGCATGCAACAACAAAAAGGTTAGCCATCACTGCTATAAGCTTTGAAATAATTGACTTAGGAAGTTGGGAAGGACAAAAAAGATAATACAGTTGTTTTATTTTCACAATTGTTACTTAGGAACCCAGCAGAATGTGGGGACGCTGTATAACTCCAATATTTAACTAGAACAGCTTTTGAAACTTCTGTTGCATGCTCTGAATCTCTCCCAACTGTAGCTATTTTTGTAACATTCTAATCCTTCTCTCTTTTCTGTGTCTTCCTCTGCTGAACTAATAAATGCTCTTTTTGATTCCACTCAAGCACCTGCATTCTTTTAAATTGAGCCAGGATTATTACTCAACATATTTTAAATCATTTTCAAGACACTTGTATATAACTTGCATATACACACTGAATCCTTAACCTTGATTCCCACACCCACCTCCAAAGAAGCAGCACAGCCAACCTCTTTTCAAAGTTGGGGGAATTTCATTAGTGATTTGTGATATATGGAGATTTTGGAATATATATATATTTTTTGTTCTGGAGAATTGTTTTCATTTATTAAGGTAAAAATTATCTAAGACATTTATTTTGGCCATCATCTGTGAAATTATTAACTAATGTAATTTTACTTTTTCACATTACTGTTAAAAGATTTTTTGAAAAAGTTACATTATAGCAAATACATTACCAAAATATACATTTAAAAAAGCCCTTACTGAAATATGGTGAAAAAAATAGAAATTCAAGAAATTTCCCAAAAATATCTTAACACAGATTACAAATAAGTGCAAAAGTGATCAATGAAAAGTTCAAACAATCCCAGAGTTTGAAAGCCATTTTAAGTTTGATGACACACACTGCCATTTTGTTTTGTTTTAAGTTGGATCCTAACTTACAGATTCTGTTCTGCTCCAGTTTTTCTGATGACAGAAAAACTGTCAGCTTTACTATTTCCAAGGGCTTAGCCAGCAACAGATTGTCATTTGTTACCCTTCTTGTTTTTTGTTTCGGTATTTGGGGGTGGATGTTCCCTTATTATGTTCCCTTCCATACTAAACACGGTAAGAAATATAAATCAAATTAAGAGTATTTAGAGACATCCTGCAGGGCCATAATGGTGCTTAAGATGGTGAAGCTCCTGACCAGGGTCCAAGCCATTTTGTCTTCTCTCCTTCCATTCATTTGAGAGCTGCCAAGATAACGATTTTAGACTCGGGTAAGAAAGCTGAAGTGATAAACTGGTGGTTGGATTTAGCCGCTGTAATCTCCAAGGGGAATTAATGTGGTGGAATGTAGTCTGGATTCCGAGGCTGGAAGGGCCGCATGCCAGAGGACCGAGAGACAGCAAAGTTTAGATAGTTTGATTGGGAGGAAAAGGCTCAAGGTAGCAACTTGGTGTATATCTTTATTGATGCTAGTAGTTTGCTTTACTGTGGCAAGATTTCTGTCCATAGAGGAGGAACAATGAAGGAAACTGCTTTAGAGTAATTCAGCGCATCTTTCTTGGTTTTAGAGCTTGACATTTATTTATCTAACCGTCTGTTACTGACCAGATTTCCAAAGAGTTTCTTTCGTCCCTTGCCAAGTGGGGGAAGGTAGAATTCGCCCAATTCCCTATTAAGTCTTACCCATTTCTGCTGTGCAACTGATAAGACAAACAAAGGCCAAAGGTCCAGAATCCCAAAATCTGCTATTCTCTAGAAAAAAAATCTCACGACAATATGCACACAAAACAGCAGATTTATCTCAGATCAAGGGGCTAGCAGAGAACGCAGACAAAACATGTTTGCCTGCCTGCATCTTATTCTGGTCCTCTTATCATGTGTACCTGCCATCTGCCTTGGCAAACACATATTATGGCTCTTTTTCTAAGACAGTCAGTAGAAGCACTTGAAATAAATGCAACAATAGCTTCTTTTTTCGTTTTTGAAAAGGAAGTCTTCATTACCAGCACCACAGTCTCCTGGCTCCCCACTTCCTCCCCACTCCCCCACCCCCACCCCCACTGAGCATTTATAACAGATAGCCTGGCTGTAGTCTCTGGAGAGAAACATGATCTGATCATTGGGTCTCATTTTCTGTGTTCAATGGTTCTGTAAGGAGATTGCTTTGGTTTTCTTTCTCGGTCTTAGAATCTTCCTTCTCTGCACCATCTTCTAGATTGTCAGCTGCTTGCACAGCATTCTCATTTTCTCCTTCAAGTTCTATCTTCTGTTTATAATTCCGTTTGAAGAACCCACACTGTAAGAAAAGCCATTAGAAGCAGAAATTAGGTCGAGAGATCTAGCCTCAGCTTAAAGATTTTGAATTTGTAAGGAGAGCCAGTTTAATCTAGTAGCGGTTGTGCACCAGGCTAGAAAGCGGAAGATCACGAGTTCTAGTCTTGCCTTAGCCAGAAAAGGCAGTTGGGTGATTTTGGGCCAATCCCTTTCTCTTAGCCCAAGTTACCTCACAGAGTTATGGGGCGGGGGGAATAGACGGCGGAAGGCGTATTGAATATGTTTGCCACCTTGAATTATTTGTAAAAATAATGGAAGTGGGATACAAATAAATAAATACGTTTACCGCTTATAATTATTTGTAAAAATAATAAGTTCTACAACTTTTGTGAGGTAAACAGTTACACATAAGCTATCTCACAGAACAACTGTTAGAAATGGAGTTTTTGTTGTATGTTGCAAAATAAAAAATAATTTGAAAAAAGTTTTATAAACACAAATACAGTTATCCCTTCACTTAAAACTATTCGTTTAGTGACCATTCAAAGTTACAACAGCACTGAGCAAATGACTTATGACCATTTTTCACACTTAATGATCGTTGCAGCATCCCCATGGTCATGTGATCAGAGTTCAGCCGCTTGGCAACTGGCATGAATTTATGACGGTTGCGGGGTCCTGGGGTCATGTGACCACCTTTTGTGAGGGTCCTGGGGTCATGTGACCACCTTTTGTGACTTTTTGACAAAGTCAATGAAGAAGTCAGATTCACTTAACAACCATGTTACTAACTTAACAACTCTGGTGACTCACATAACAACTGTGGCAAAAAAAGGTTGTTAAATGGGGCAAAACTCACTTAACAGCTACCTTGCTTAGCAATAGAAATTTTTGATTTCTGTTGTGTTCATAAAGCAAGGACTACATATAATCTAGCCCTAAATAATATAATTACCAGAGGCTGATGGTCTCTAATGGGAAATGTAAGCATTCTCCTTTTTTAGGCATGAAACCTAGTTTTACTGGGTAGTATAAGACTTTAGCTAAACAATCCTTTTAAATTAAAATGGGTTGGAATCTGATTCATGTCATAGATCTGTACGCCCATCTGAATAAGAACATTTTTCAGAGCTGTTCTGAGCAGTGCATAAGGCCACATTTTATAATCCCCAAATTATAAAATTTCTGCCCTAGGAAAAGATCTAATCCTAATATAAAAATTATTAGTTTAGACCTTAGTGTACTCTCCAGTATGCTTTTGGGAGAGCCTAGGAAAAGCAATTAATTATTGGTCATCATTGTGGAACTATAACATTATTATAAAAATAATAGATGAAATGCTATAAAAATACAAATGTTTTTTCTCTCTTCTCCTGAGATATATTTCAGGAAAATCTAAATATCAAAGCAGACCACAAGCATGCTGTTCTTCTGATTAAACTGCTTTTCAAACTTTGGTAAATTTGAAAAACTTAAGTAAATAAGTGGTAGAGCAACTAAGATCAGATTTAAGTCAGAACAGTCTTAAGAATGTAAGAATTCCAATAATTCTTTCTTGGAGCTGTGAAACAATTTTGCATGTCAGAGACAACATCAACAATAATTGGCAACAATTAGGAAATGATCCCTGCTCAGTGGTATAGTCCATGCTTTGCAAACAAAAGATCCTAGGCTTAATTTCTGACATCTCAAATAATCCTAGCTGAAACTGTAGCCTGACAATATACTTCGGACATTATAAAATAGTGATGGATAAGTTGAATAATTTGTGAATGTTAGCAATGCTAGTTTGAAATATTACTGATCCAATCATTTTTTAAACCCAACTGACCAGGAAGAGCCCAACTTTCAGTTCCTCAGAATTGCTCTGGATTTCTGAAATAAAGGAATTCTCACCTTGTAAAGTACTACAATGCAGAGAACAAGTAAGACCAAGCCTCCAATGGCACTGCCTATTATAATTGGGAGATAATTCATCATAATTATCACTTCTATGTCTGTGACCTGTGGGGCATATAAAAGAAAGAAAGGGATGCATAAAGTCACAATCATATCTTTACAGCCAGGGAGATCCTGTAAATAAGAAAACATTTAAGACTGGCATATGGCCATATTTTCTCCATCGAAGTTTTATTAAGTAGTTGCTTTAAATAAGAATAATAGCTAGTAGATGAAGTTTCCTTCCTATTCAGCTGAAGATTCTGATAATGCAAACTTTATTACCTCATAACATTTTCCCTTCTGTTCTAATAAATAATAATTATTATTAATATTTGACCTTTCAATCCGCTCAGTGACTTTAAAAAGTAGTTAAAAATTCCCCAAAACACTAATTTGAAGTGTTTGAACATACTTTGTAATAATGTCTGAAAATGAAGGAGATTTAGAGGATCTTGAATGTTTTATCCAGTTGTTGTGTTTTTTGATTGGTTCTAACAAAACCTACTTGCAAATTAGATTTTGGATTGTACTTGAAGGGATGATATGGTTTATTTAATACAGGAGGTGAAATTAGTAGATTGCATCAAAAAATGTTCAAAAAATCATGGGACTTAGGGTTTGTAGCCTGTTTGATCAGTTGACCACATTATAGCAAAGAAAAAAGTTCAATAACTTGGCCTAAATCTTCTCCCTTTTTAAATGTAAATTTTAATTTGTTTTTAAATTATGGGGTATTTTAAATTTGTCTCAGCCAAATTATTTAATTCGTTTTTATTCTATTTTAAACTTTTGTATTTATGTGTTTTATATTGTGGCTGTTCACCGCCCTGAGTCCTTCGGGAGTAGGGAGGTATAGAAATTTAATAAAATAATAAATAAATTTAAAACTGTTCTGCAACCTTTCTGTGAACCTTCTGAATCAAAATTCCCCGACCTTTTCAGCTTTGCAGAGTGGCGGGGAGTGGGGGAGGGGATGGTTCCGTGTGCTTGCAGGCAAGCACATATGTGCAGCTCTATTTGCACACAAGCATTGGGCACACGCATCCACCACTTCTGCAGTCTGGTTCTGAAAGGCTCAAGGCCCGGTAGTGGATGGGGATCCCTGTTCTGAATGGTTCTGAGAGCTTCCAGCCTAAAATACATGGATTGGTTGGAGGAATATTATAGCAGAAGAGATAACAATACCATAAGATTACAATATCATAAGAATACAGAAAATTCTTAGGGAAGAAGGGAAAGAAATAATTTCAGTCACAAACCCACCTGAATCTGAGCAAATTCATGACTGTAGACATTTTTATATCTTCCGGTATCAAATTCAACCCACAAGGCTGTGCAAAGCTTGGCCTGAAGAGATTGCTAACAAGATAAAAGGATAATGAAGTTTACATTGCATCAGGCAGCATAAATCATACAATGAATATGCCAGTTTTTATCAAAGCAAGTCATTTGCTTTCAAACATGTGGGTGCAAGTACTAAATTCAAAGTCTTTAGGAGTTCAAGTAGCCCGCCCAAAAATGTTTGTGTTTGCTTGAGGTTTTTAATTATAAACATAGTAGGTGGAAAGCCATGTTAGTTTATGATATCCCAGAACTGGAGGCTGGTATAAGACATACAGTTTTGTTACAAAATAACAATAGTCACTTCATCAAATGCAATGTAGATGGAAAGGGGGAAACAAGATTATGTGAGACAAATTACAAGTATTGTATGAATGAACAGCTGTAATGTGTTCAAAATCCATTAACACAACTGTGATCTTCAGAGATAGTTAGAAAACTTTAATGTATATAATAACCATTTGATGTTCAGCAATTTATCACTCAATTGTGCTGGCAACTGTGTTCCTATAGTATGCTAAGCGAAACCAAACAAATCATAACAAAATAACAGGTTATTTTAAAATCTGGATAATATCATGACATAACATGATAATATGATAGCTAGATTAGACATTTACTCCCATCACAGACTCTTTGCTAATACCTCATCTCAGTTTTTTGTAGGTCTGTAGTTTCTTTCCTTTGCAATCCACAAGCTTTATAAATGTCCCTGCCTACTGAAATATTCAGACATTTGATCTGCCTACTGAAATATTCAGACATATATTAGATGAGGGAAAATAAATTTTCCCATTCTCCAGGTTTCAGATATAAAAGAAATGGGTTAGAAACCACTGTTAATTATGGAGCTGTTTTTTACCTCTGATTTGTTTTGTGTAAACATCATCCCAGTAATATGGATCGTAGATGAATTTATCTGTCCAAGATCACATTTGTAGATAAGATATCCATCAATTGCACAGTGCTAGAAAAAAACATCACAGTTAAAGAAATGTTCCAGCTGCACTCACCATCTTTTTTAAGAATTGTTAGATTGCTTAAAATGACAGTTTATTTTGATCAAATTAATATTCCCATTAATATACTCCTGATATACTTCCTTGTAAATAATAATACCACAAAAGAAGAAACAGCGGAAGACATTTTCAGATCATAGCCTTGTCCCAAGTCAGTAAGAAGAAATTGTTTACTTCTTTCTTTAAGATGGGAATAATTATTTGGGGAGCTAGTTGTTTTAATGATCAAGCAATTCCATGATGAATCACACAATTTATTTAAAATCTTTAAGAAACTGGCTGTGCCCCAAATGATCTACACAAATAAAAATAAAAATAAAAAGGTAACTTATGGATGATACTATTCCAGAAAGATTTCAGTACATTTCAATCTATTCATGTCTTCCTAACATAGGACACCCAGTTCATTCAAGGAATCTGCTTGGATGGAAGAAGCTGAGGTGGTTTAGTTAAATTCTCTGAAGTAGAATTTCTATACTACTCATAGGGGAGGAATCCTACTAATTCAGCCTTTCCTGTTCTTTATCTCAGAGGGACTGGAATGGTATCCTCTGTGTCCTTTAGAATAATTTACTACTTTTGAGAGTGGTGTAAACATTCAGCTTTTTCCATCCAAATGGATTTCTTAAATGAATGAGTCTTTGTTAGGAACAGAAGAAGAAATTATTTCAAAATTAGATACCCATTAATTCTTGAGTAGCTGATTGTTAAACCCAATTCAAAATGAAGTTACTTATTCTTAGCCTTTGAGAGAAATAGGAATTATTCCTGTAAGGAAGTGAGCAAGAGGGAAGCCATATTTATCCTTAATATGACCTAAAACACCAGCTGTTAGATGTTAGATACTGAGTTGTGTCAGAGGGACTTTTTGAGGAGAAAAACAAAGCCATAAATTGATTAAGCACATTCCAAGCCAGGTCAGGCTAACTTTGGCAGGAATGTAGCTGTAATACTGAAATTAATGATATTGTTATGATAAACATGTGGTAAACTATTGGAAGATTTCTAGTCTGGGGAAACTGGTGCTATTGAGCCAAAAACCTATCTTACATAAGTTGGCAAAGGATAATGAGGAGCGTTAAAGTGGTGGTTGTTTTTGTCGTTGAAACTGTATTTAAATTTCTGTATTTGCATGCATAATTTGCTCTCTTTTGTTTCTCCACACATGAGCACAAAGGGGGTTCCTTTTGCAAAAGGTTATTAAAGCTCTTTGTATTGTTCATTGTTTCCTGATTGTTTCAATTGAGACATTTAAATCTCACAGCCTTCCTTCCTTCCTTCCTTCCTTCCTTCCTTCCTTCCTTCCTTCCTTCCTTCCTTCATCCCAGTATGTCCCTCTCTAACAACTTTGCTCATTTGTCTCTACCAACTTTTATTATCCAAATATCTCCATTAACTCCAAAATACTTTTTCTGCCTTACTGTCACTAACTCAGTGTCTAACTCCTGGATTCCTATGAAGACTCCTAATCCCTATGAAGTGAATTTCCTTTCTTCCTTCAAAGTTCTGCTTGAAGCCCACCTCTTCCATTAAACCTTTAACCTACTACCTTAGTTTCCAAAGTTACTTAAAACAATGGGTAAGCATCAGCACACAAGAGTTATCAGTTCCTTCCTGAGAATCTTTAGATCCTCTAGGTATCTAATCCACTCCTGACTGTTCTTCATCTCAGCATAATTTGGAGGGACAAATTCTGTCTTTGGGTTATTGTTAAGAGAAATGGGATTGGCAATCCGTAAATCCCAATCTACCCTATGCTAGTTCCTAATTTACTGAAAGCATGACTATTTCAGTGAAATAAGTACAGGCAGCCCTCGACCTACGACCACAATTGAACCCAAAGTATCTGTTGTTAAGTGAATCATTTGTTAAATGAGTTTTCTCCCATTTTACAACCTTTCTTGCCACTGTTGTTAAGTGAATCACTGCAGTTGATAAATTAGTAACCCAGTTGTTAAGTGAATCTGGCTTTCCCTTTGACTTTGTTTATCAGAAGGTCGCAAAAGGTGATTACATGACTGTGAGATACTGCAACCGTCATAAATATGAATCAGTTGTCAAGCATCTGAATTTTGATCACGTGATCATGGGGAAGCTACAAAGGTTGCAACTGTGAAAAATGGTTATAAGTCACTTTTTTCAGTGCCATTGTAACTTTGAACAGCAACTAAACGAAATGTTGTAAGATGAAGTCTACCTATACATGGTTTTTTTTGGTTTATCTCTGCTTCCTTTTCTGTTTCATCTCCCATCTGTTGTTTATATAACATGAACCACCCAGAGCATAGAGCTGCACATGTAAAGCAGCATATTTTTAATTACTTAATAATATTGCATCATATTTAGAGATATAAGCTACCTTAATTAACGTGGGATAATTCCTTACGGTCATGTTCGTTTCAGGCTGGCAATTCACATTAGGATCCTAAAAAAAAACACCAACTATTCCATATTATTGTCATGAAAAACATGTAACATCAAATGGATGGCTGAAATCGGCAGCGTTACTCCTATGAGACGGCAACCTTATTTTTTTGTCAGTCTAACTAAAGCAGCAAGTTGCTCCAGAGGCTGCTGGCATCAAAACCTTTAATTTATTGTGGATTTCCTTGACAGCAGGCCTTCAGATAATTACAGAAAGATTTTAAAAGGTTTGTAAATTACACAAGGAAACCAAGGTTTTCCCCCCTGTATTAGTGTTTCTCGACCTTGCAACTTGAAGATGGGTGGACTTCAATTCCCAAAATTCCCCAGCCAGAAACACTGCTCTACATTAATCTACCCCAAGAATGTTTTAAATGCAGGAAACAAGATAGCCTCAGATTATCTGTTATGATGATCAAGTAAGCATTAATTAAGACATTACTTAAGTACATATTTAAATGGGAACATAGCAGGGGTGGGATCCTACCGGTTTAATAACCGGTTCGCTGAGAGTGTGCTTTGCTAACAGTTCGCCTGAACCAGTCCAAACCGGTAGAATCCCATCACTGGAACATAGTATGAGAGTGGAGGTTATTACAGGAACCATTTCAGTGATCTGAAAAGGAGGCTCAAAATATTGGCTTACTTGTGTGTAGTATAAGCAGACGAAGTAAACTCTGAAGTTTTTAATATAGAAAGGTATGCCTGGATCGATTATGTCAAATGATGCTGTGTTAGCCACCCTGCCTTTGTAAACTTGGACATTATTTTTTCGTCCTGTAATTCCTAACACACTTCTATTTTAGAAAAAATGACATTAGCACTCTTTGCCTTAGATAAAATCATTTAAAGATAAGGGAAGATTCATAGTATTCTTTAAAAAATTTAAATGTGTCTGGTAATTGTAAAGTGTGTGCATGTCTGTGTGAAAACCTGTAAGATGTGGGTATGACATCACAATCCAAGCCTCACCTCTTTTACAGGTACACCATAGGTTTGGATCACATTGCTGCACCTGCCAAATTGCAAGTTTTGATCTTACCTCCAGTAGATCCTTTTGATGGAACCAACTGGATTGTCTAAAACAGCCTCGGGAGCTTAGATTTGAGCATAGAACAACAGTTCACATAAGTTTCCATTAAGTAAGGTGACGTACCTCAGTTAGGATTTTATCAATCTTCCATATCAGTCCAGAAAGAATTTTAGTTGGCACTTTGACATACACCAATACTTTAGGTGGTGGGAATGCCCCCAGGGCCCAGTTAGTTACCTAGTAGTGAAAGAAAGTGAAGGGCAAAGTAGCTACAATGGTGCATTGGAAAATCTGCAAGAAACATCGTTTGCTTGTAAGCAAAAACTGATGGGACCACCAAAAAGGCAAAGTAATAGGAAATGAAGAAGCCAAAGTGCTCTGGAACTTTAGAATTCAAACAGCCATGCATCTGCCACACCACACTTAACAACTGTCATTAAGAAAGACAAAAAAAGTCTGGATAGTGGATATTACAATACCTGGAGACAGCAGAAGAGAAAAGAAAGAACTAGAGAAAATCATCACATACAAAGACCTGCAAATAGAAGTAGAACAACTATGGCAAAAGAAAGCAAAGATAGTAAAAATAGTAATATACACCTTGGGTGCAATCCCAAAACATCTGGGAGCATCCCTTGAACACTATCGTCATTGACAGCATTACCATTGGTCAATTGCAAAAGGCAACTTTGCTTGGAACAACTTACATCCTGCGACAAGACCTGTAACACCTGCCTACAACATCTGCCTATCCCAAGTATTTGGGAAAGATTTGATAGATGGACAAAAGTACCAAACTCAGCCTAAACATCTGGCTGATTGTGCAACCAACCATTATAAAGTTGGTAATGTTTAATGTTGTAAGCCACCCGGAGCCACCTAAGTGTGACTTGGGCAGCCATATAAATTTCTTTAATAAATAAAAATAAGCCTTTGGGGCACTTTCTCCCAAATCCACTGGATTCTAAGCACCATGACAGACATTACAGAGTTCTTATTTTGGGAGAAATCTTGCAAGCACCAACTCACTTGGTAGGAATGTGTCACGGTCTTGTTTTCTTGCCGTTCAGAACTGAATTCAATGTATTGGTTAGATGTTTCTAACCTGCAAGAGACAAAAGCAGGAATGGATGAGCGAGGAAGGAAATGAGAAGGTGAGAAAGGCAAACCCACCCCAAAATGGAATTTATACCATAGCAACAGATCTTATTATTACTAGAACCCCCTTGAATTTACGGTCTCCAAGAGAACTTAACTATCCGCAATAAAAAATAGTTGAAAAGGGAAAAATAATTTTGCAGTACTTGCAGACAGAGGGCTCCTAATACTGTTAAAAGACATTATGCAGTCTTTTTAACTGGTTCTCTGTAGAAAGAAAGAAGCCAAGTGGTGAGGGGGGAAAAAAAAGAGAGGGCTGCACCTCAAAGCTGACAAGATGTGGACTCTGCCTAGTATTCCAACAGCAAATTCACAATAAAACCTCATTTAGAAGCCCAATCTTGGAACCAAGCAAAGTAACCCTAGAGCAAGGGTGAAATCCAGCAGGTTCTGACAGGTTCTGGAGAAACGGTAGCGGAAATTTTGAGTAGTTCGTAGAACCAGCAAATACCACCTCTGGCTGGCCCCAGAGTGGGGTGGGAATGGAGATTTTGCAATATCCTCCCCCCAGGAGTGGGGAGGGAATGAGGATTTTGCAGTATCCTTCTCCTGCCACGCCCACCAAGCCATGCCCACAGAACCGGTAGTAAAAAAATTTGGATTTCACCACTGCCCTAGAGTATATTCTGTATTTGTGATGATGCCACAACAAACAACTGTTGGAAGCCCAGGAAATGTTGTGTCTTCTGAAAAATGAGCGTGGAAGATTTTGCAGGAATTTCAAACACCAGGATTTGTAAAGTTACTAGATCAGAGTGCGACTTATCCAGTCACTAGGTTGTTCTGGATGTTAGATTCGTTCTGCTTAATTATGGAATACACTACAGTGGCATACAGCTCTGCTTTCATTTCCAGGAGGAAAATGGGAAGAAAAGGCAACCAAGAGTCTTACCTCTTGACAATGATGTTGATGGGGTACTTCACAGGGATGCTAAGAAGAGCTCTGTTGTTTTGAAGGGTTTCATTCTCCTCGTTCTCACTATAAGAGAGTAACGCACAATATAATCTTAGAACTACTCGTTCCAGAGATGATCCAGATTTCCACATCCAAAAGCAACAAAACAAGGACAACCTCCCCCTATGTCTGAAAAGTTTTCGGTCAGATGTGTGCTTCCTACTCTAACATGCCAGCGAAATATGGACACTGACTTCACAATCAATACAAAAGCAACTAGTGGCACAAAGAGCCATGGAAAGATATACGCTCGGCATTATAAGACAAGATAGAGAGACCTGCACATGGATTAGAGAACAAATGAAAGTATATAGGATGCCATCAAGGGAGTAAAAGAATTGAAGTGGAAATGGACAGGCCGCATAACAAGAAGAGTTGATGACAGCTGGATCAAGGCAGTCGTAGAATGGATCCCGTTTGATAAAAATCAGCATGAAAGCGACCTAACAGAAGATGATATCGGCAAGAATTGCGGGCCCAATTGGCAAAAAAAAAAGTTCAAGACCGTATGGCTTGGAAGCATGCAGAAGAGGCCTTCATCCTACAGTGGATAGGCTAGAATAAAAGCAACAAATATATTTTGTTGTAGCCAACATGTCTGTTTATAGCAGACAATTCTTCTCCAACATCTGATATGGATAGTTGGTTCTTGCTTAATACCATTTGAAGGTATAATGGATTACCACCACCACCCCCAAATGTACTTACAGATCCAGAGTTCTGAGGGCTGCACAAGCAGTTGCAGCATTCTGCAATCACATGGCCATGATATTTTGGCTGGTTTCCAGCCTTTTTGGTGGGTGTCCGTGGAAAAAACACTCATAAAATAGATTCACGTAATGATTGAGGTGTTCCCTTAATGAGCAACATGTTTCAATTAACAACAGCCACAAAGAAAGTTGTAAAATTGGATCCTGTCATGCCTTGTATGACCATCATATTTATGATGGAAATCCAGGATTCCATTATGGTCATAAGTTGAGGACTGTACTACATTATAGTAGTGTACATCATAATAAATAAATACTAAATAAATACTAAATTATAATAACTATAAGCTGTACACTGATGGTTTCTATTCTGGTTTTCTCTGCAGCCGCAATCTAATCTTTTTTTCAGTCCACTTTCCCCTTTTCATTTAAGACCTTTACATTTTTGGATCCCCCCCAATTTTATCTTGTGTACTCTGCCATTTATCCATGATTTTCCTTTCCAAAACTTTTTGCTACTTTTCCATCTTTCCTCTCCCTTCTCATCCTAAGTGGAGGATTTAAAATTAAGACAACTTATTTTACTTTCTAGGTGGCACCTAACATAGTAAGGCTGCAAGAGATAAAACACAATGGTTCAGTAAAACATGTAATTGAAGTTTACCTAGTGACATACGCCACCATCTCCAAGTTTTCTTTCCAGGCAGTGTTGTCAAGCACACCAAACTGAAGTTGAATCAAAGCCTAAGAGAGAGCAGGTCAACACTAAGATAGTTCACAATGCCTGCCAAGTATTTTACTGTTTTTTTCATTCTATGTCTCTAGCCTCTGACAATCAGATCAAGCTCCTTCACCCCCGTTAAGCTCACTAAACAATAGAAGATGCATTCAGACATTCCTTACATTCAGACTTACAAATATATATATATTGTTTTTAGGCCGAGGGTGCCAGGATTGTCTGAAGACAATTTCTATGGTCATATGGCTCTTATGACTATACACCAAAGACTCATGGAATGCTATTACCTTCCCACAGAAGAGTTACCTATTTATCTACTTGCATTTGCATGCTTTCGCACTGCTAGGTAAGCAGGAGCTGGGGCAAGCTCAGGAGCTCACTCTGTTGTGCAGAGTTAGGGTCTTAAACTTGGTCTGTCAGCTCTCCAGCTGACAAGCTCAGTATCTTTAACTGCTGAGGCATTGCACTCTGTGTGTGTGTATGTGTGTGTGTGTGTGTGTGTGTGTATTAAAAAAAATCACATTTTCTGTTCTTTCTACTTGATCATCTATATTCATGATCAAGACATTGGCAGGACTCACCCAACAGTTGCCAAATCTAAATGTGACATTGTTGCTTGACATAACGTTAGGTGAACACAACTGCCGTGGTTTGTAAACTCTTGTTTTTAATTTAGCACAATATATGAGCAGGTGTTGTGGATGGTTCAGAAAACCACGGCCAATAAGTAAATGGTGGCTTCTTGTAAAGTGTGAACCTGCACACAACTTATTTCAGTATACCAGTTTTGCTATAGGCGTCATCTTTAAGCAGCTTCTGCTTCCAAAAAATGGGGAAAAGTCATAATATCTAGTTTAGAGGATGCTATTAGACAACAACAATAACAACAACAATGCAAGATGGCCAACTGTTCCATATTGCTGTGATGAATTGCAACTAAACTGACTTGCAAATTATAACTCATCCTTAGGAGCACTTTAGGATCCTTGGTCCCTATATTGACTGACCCAATATAATGGTATGTGGGAATGACCTTGCCTTGTTCCTTCAACTATAGTGACTTCTGAGTGTAGTTTGTTGCCCGGTCATAGCACAGGACTGGCAAGGTTTGCAAGCAACTATCCATAAATTCTACAAACTTAGCATGTGTGCTTTTTTGACTAGATGACCTACAAGATCCCTTCCAACTCTATTAATCTGTTAATCCAGTGTGTCCTGCAAACCCAGGAAATGAGGTTAGTTGATTAAACCATGCTTTAAGGACCGGTAAGCATTTCTTACAATACAGGCATCATCCTGCATAGAAAATGGTGAAGATCCACCATGACCAGCCCCCTCCCAGCTCACTAGGGTGATTGTATACCTTTGTGCTATTCCTGTAGATGGGGTGACTGACGTTGCAAGCAAGGCCTTGAAAGTCCTGACGATGTAGCATTGCATTACACTGCAGGATGACGAGAGCATTGAACTGGGAAAGAAGAGAAGCGGTGGTGAGATTCGGTTTAACTGCTGCGACTTTCTCCTTTCCAACTCAAGACCGGTTATCCTGTGGTGGGATGTGGTCCAGGGTCACAGGAAGGAGGGGCACTTTTCCAGAGGGCAAAGAGATGCCATAGCAGATCTTGGAATGTCTGGCAGGCAGGAAGAGGGTGAAGGCGGAGCCTCCCTAGCAGTTCATATTTATTATCATAAGTTTTATTTGTCAAGCATATATAAGATAACAGGTAAAAGTATAAACATAATTTGAATACATGAAAACAGTAAGTAAAAAGGAATATTAGGACAGGAACGGTAGACACGCTGGTGCACTTATAAATATAAGATACACTCTGGTTCACAGAGTGTATCTTATATTTATGCAGATAGTTGCTTTAATCTGGCATGATTCATGTCAGGCCCAAAGAACCATAAATGACATGTGGAGTTACGGGTAATCCTTGACTTATGACCACAACTGAGCCCAAAATTTCTGTTGCTAAGCAAGACAATGCTTAAGAGAGTTTTGTCCCATGTTACACATTTTTCTTGAATCACCTCAATTAAGTTAATAACACTGTTGTTAAGTGAATCGGGCTTCCCCATTGATTTTGATTGTGAGAAGATCGTAAAAGATGATTATAGGACCCCAAGAGACTGAAACCCTCATAAACACGACTCAGTTGCCAAGCAGCTGAGTTTTGATCACGTGACCACGGGGATGCTGCATTGGTCGTAAGTGCGAAAAACGGTCATAAGTCATTTTTTTAAAGTGCTGTTGTAACTTCAAACAGTCACTAAGCAAACTGTTATAAGTAAAGGACTACCTATACTTCTGAATTTTCTTTATTGTTGTTCTCCTACAAACAGAATCTTGCCAGGCCAAATCTGTATAACAATAGATACCGTGTTTCCCTGAAAATAAGACCCTGTATTATATTTTTTGAACCCTGAAATAAGTGCTTGGCCTTATTTTTGGGGAGATCTTATTATTTTGGGGTACATGGAGCAAGATGGGGCTCCTCTTGCCGCCTTGCCTGATTTCCAGCTCTGCATTTATATATTTTTGAGGAGGGCTTATTTTCAAGGGGAGGCTTATTTTAGCGCATGCGCTCAAAAGCCCAATTGGGCTTATTATCAGGGGATGTCTTACTTTTGGGGAAACAGGGTATACAGTAGAACCTCTGGACATGAACACTTCTGACCACAACCAAATCGGGTGCCAACCAAAAAGTTCACTCCGCTCCCCCCTCCCCAGCCGATTTCCCCTTCTGCGCCATTTTTTTTTTGTAAGCACCAAATTTCCAAAATTAGGTTTGGGTCACAACCAAATCAGTTTACGACCAAAGTTATGGAACGAATTATGGTCGTCACCAGAGGTTCTATTGTACTCTGTGAATTGCTAGGGAGGGTCTGCCTTCGTTCTCTTCTTGCCTACCAGACATTCCCAGTCTCTCTGCTGTCTCTTTGGTCTCTGGGAAAGAGCCCCTCCTTTCTGCAGCTCCGAACTACATTTATTTATTACATTTATATGCTGTCCATCTCATCATCAAGCGACTCTGGGTGTCTTACAATGTCATCAAATTCTCCCTCATTCTCTCTCAGCTCAACCCACCTCACAAAGTGGTGGGTGTGAGGTAAATAGGAGAAGGAAGGTATGTTGGATATGGTTACTACCTTGAGTTATTTATAAAAATAATAGAGACAGGATACAAATAAATAATAAAGAAAGCAACAATATGAAAGAATTAGAAGGTTTAAAACATTAAAAGTGTTGAGCCTTAAAAGTTAAAACTTTAAAATTCTCAAGGAGCTGAGTTAAAAGGACCAATATGTAAATAGGATGCAAGTGGATCTTCTAAGCTACTAACCACCTCCATACAAAGATGCCTTCAGGCCCCAAAGCAGGGGTGAAATGCTACCAGTTCAGCCAAAGAGGTAGCAATGGTGGCGGATGGTTCAGAGAACCGATAGCAATGGCAGCGCGAGGCTTCGCCCACCCGCCTGGTCGTTGTTACTTCCTGGTTTTAACCGGGAAAGTAATGACGCAGCACATGCACTTCCGGACTGGTAGGGAAGGTAAGTAGATTTCACCCCTGCCCCAAAGCCAATTGTGCCAAGTGTTTTCAGTCCCTTTCAGAAGGCCAAAAAGGGGGTGGGGGGATGGATCCCACCTCGAGGGACAGGATATTTCAGAGGGTGGGAACCATGGCAGAAAAGATGGTTTTCTCCCTAACCCCTCCAGTCGGAATTACCTGGCTGATGGAATCCACAGCATGCACCTTTGGCCAGAGTGGGGGAGGTGGGTTAATCTCGTTGGGGTGAAACCCATGCCATAGAGCAAGGGTCCCAAACCTTTCTGGGTTGGCCCATGGGGGAGGAGAAGCCACCTTTATGCGTGCCTGTGCACGAGCGAACAGGGCCACGATTGCACGCACAATGTAAACGGGGCCATGAGCGCCCGTACGATGTTAGCATCCACGTGACACTGCAACACTAGTGCAAGTGGGGTGTGTGCACTCGTGCCAACAATAGTGCCCACGTGATGCCACGATGCTAGTGCAAGTGGGTGAATGTGTTCACTTGAGATGTCGATAGTGACCACGTGATGCTGTGGCACTAGCGCAAATGCAGGGAGTGTGCGTTCTTGGCGATGATAGCGCCCATGTGACCCCATGACACTAGTGCGAGTGGGGGGTGCAGGCACACACAGATGTATATGCACCTGGGGGTGGGGAGGATGGAACACACCCACTGCAAAATCCTGCCTTCAAAAGGTGGCATACGTACTTTCAGCACTGAATGTTTGCGGAAAGAAAGGCCTGGCAACAGGGGCACGTAGAGCATTGTAAAATAGGCATCTTCCCGCTGATTCACCAGTTCCAAATTCATTTCTAGCGGATATTGAGGAGATACAACCAGTTCCTTAGACCTGTTGTACAGGAGCAGAAGTGGATTAGTGCTATTCGATTCCCAATTTCAATAAATATACCGAAAACAGAATCAAATACAGAATAACAGAGTTGGAAGGGACCTTGAAGATCTTCTAGTCCAACCCGTGCTTGAGCAGGAGACCTACACCATTCTGAACAAACGGCTGTCCAATCTCTTCTTAAAAATCTATTCCAGATAAGGTTTTATCAGTATAATATAAAGCAGTACTAACACTTCACATGATCTTGATAATATCCTACTGTTGACTGCAGCCTTGAGGCAAGCTTGCTAAATAGCCACAAGAGTTGCTATTCAATGCAACTTCACCCTAGAGTCTTTAGAACTGTAGAAACTGGTGCAGAAGAGAAGCTAGGAGTTTTTGAAAGGTCATTTATTCAACTCCAGCAACCTAAAGTCAGAAGGATTCTTCTCCATACCATGTTTGTCATCTGTGGCTTCACTCAGCTTTACATTAAAATTTCAATATTTTACAAAGCTAAATATAAGGATTATTAAAACAATCTACAGATAGTCACTACAGATAGATACACTATAGATAGTGTATCTGGATCTTGATCCGTTCCAGTCGGGCTCCAGGCCTGGGTACAGCATGGAAACGGCATTGGTCGCATTGGTTGATGATCTCTGGAGGGTTCAGGACAGAGGTTGCTCCTCTGTCCTGGTCCTATTAGATCTCTCAGCGGCTTTTGATACCATCGACCATGGTATCATGCTGCACCGGTTGGAAGAGTTAGGAGTGGGGGGCACTGTGTTGCAGTGGTTCTCCTCCTTTCTCTCCGACCGGTTGCAGTCTGTGTTGGCAAGGGGGCAGAGGTTGACCCCGAGGTGCCTCATATGTGGGGTGCCACAAGGGTCGATCCTCTCACTCCTTTTGTTCAACATTTATGTAAAGCCGCTGGGCGAGATCATCCATGGTTTCGGGGTGAAGTACCACGAGTATGCTGACGACACTCAGCTGTACATCTCCACCCTGGACCACCCCAACGATGCCCTTGAAGTGATGTCCCGGTGCCTGGAGGCCGTGCGGATCTGGATGGGGAGAAATAGGCTCAGGCTCAACCCATCCAAGACCGAGTGGCTGTGGTTTCTGATGTCCCGATATAGTCAGTTGGTGCCATTACTGACTATTGGGGGCGAATTGCTGGCCCCCACGGAGAGGGCTCGCAACTTGGGCGTCCTCCTGGATTCACGGCTGTCGTTAGAAGAGCATGTGACGGCCGTGTCCGGGAGGATTTTTCATCAGGTTCGCCTGATCCGCCAGTTGCGTCCCTATCTAGATCGGGACTCCCTACACACAGTCACTCATGCCCTTGTTACTTCTCGTCTGGATTACTGCAACGCTCTCTACATGGGGCTCCCCTTGAGGTGCACTCGGAGGCTCCAACTGGCGCAGAGTGCGGCCGCGCGGGTGGTGATGGGAGTGACATGGAGTTCCCATGTGACACCTCTCCTGCGCGAGCTGCACTGGCTCCCGGTGGTCTTCCGAGTGCGCTTCAAGGTTCTGGTTATCACCTTCAAAGCGCTCCATGGCTTAGGACCTGGTTATTTACGGGACCGCCTGCTACCACCAATAGCCTCCCACCGGCCAGTACGCTCCCATAGAGAGGGGCTCCTCCGGGTGCCGTCGGCCAAACAATGTCGGCTGTCGGCCCCTAGGGGGAGAGCCTTCTCTGTGGGGGCACCTACGATTTGGAACGAGCTCCCCCCGGAGATACGTAGGATCCCGGATCTGCGCACCTTCCGCCGCGCGCTTAAGACTTTTCTATTTTATCAAGCTGGCCTGGCCTAAATCTTCCCCCTTTTTAAATGTGGAAATTTTAAATTTTTAAATTTTAAATTCGTCTTTTTATAGGGGTATGGGTAAGGCATTTTAAATTGGGGAGCCATTTTAGATTTAATTCTGTTTTAAATGTATTTTAATTGTTTATATTGTATGTTTTTAACTTTGGCTGTTCACCGCCCCGAGTCCTTCGGGAGAGGGGGCGGTATAAAAATCTAATAAATAAAATAAAATAAATAAATAAATAAATGCCCTCATCACTTCCCGCCTGGACTACTGCAATGCTCTCTACCTGGGGCTCTCCTTGAGGAGCACCCGGAGGCTCCAACTGGTGCAGAGTGCGGCCGCGCGGGTGGTTATGGGAGCGACATGGCGTTCCCATGTAACACCTCTTCTGCGCGAGCTGCACTGGCTCCTGGTGGTCTTCTGTGTGCACTTCAAGGTCTTGGTTACCACCTTTAGAGTGCTCCATGGCTTAGGACCTGGTTATCTACGGGACCACCTGCTGCCACCAGTAGCCTCCCACCGGCTGGTACGCTCTCATAGAGAGGGGCTCCTCCGGGTGCCATCGGCCAAACAATGTCGGGGGAGAGCCTTCTCTGTGGGGGCACCTACTATCTGGAATGAGCTCCCCCCGGAGATACGGAGGATCACGGATCTACACACCTTCCACTGCGCTCTCAAGACCTTTTTATTCCATCAGGCTGGCCTGGCCTAATTTTTTCCCTTTTTCCCCTTTTTAAAACGCAAATTTTAATTCGTTCTTAATTTATTGGGGTGTTTTAAATCTGTCTTCGGCCAAATTGTTTAATTCGGTTTTATTCAGTTTTAAATTTTGTATTTATGTGTTTTTATCCTGTGGCTGTTCACCACCCTGAGTCCTTCGGGAGTAGGGCGGTATACAGATCAAATAAACTAAACTAAACTAACTAAACTCTGTAACCAGTTGTGAACTGCTTGATGAATGCCTGAAATGTGAACACATGACTGCAAGGGGTGGGTCGTAAGCAACTTTTTGGGATCCATTGTAACTTTGAACAATCATTACGCAATTGATTTAAGTTTAAAATAACAGGCCACATAAATGGGGATTAATATTGACCAAACTAAAACCTTGCAGTTCCTAGATAGCTTCTGATTTTTCTCATATTCTTCGAAGAAAAGTGACTGACGGTATCAAGGAATTTATACTTACCCTGAAGAATGGAAGGTGATTTTCAGGTCAGCCACACACACGTCATCTGTTCCACAGTTCTTGTCAAAAGGAATCTGTTGTATTTGATAAGATAGGAAATATTTACACATGTCCGGTGTAACACATTACCCTGCTGACCTTCCTTGTTATTCTTTGAAGATGTTTCACTTCTCATCCAAGAAGCTTCTTCAGCTCTGACTGGATGGTGGGGAATGGAAGGATTTATATTCCTTGTAGACAGCTGGTCATTTGCATTCTTTTTAGAGAGTCATTGAGGCCAGCTGAAGGATTGTCTGTGTCCTCAGGGTCACCTGAGTAGTGCAAATGGGTGTGGAGCCTTCTTGGAACTGCTGAAAGGACTTTGTTGTAGACTAGAGATAGATGATGTCATATCCTTTCCCCTCCCCCACTACTCAGGTGACCCTGAGGACACACAAACCTCCAAGTAGCCTCAGCGACTCCATAAAAATAATGCAAATGACCAGCTGTCTACAAGGAATATAAATCCTTCCGTTCCCCACCATCCAGTCACAGCTGAAAAAGCTTCTTGGATGAGAAGCGAAACGTCTTCACAAACTATTCTTTGTGTCTTGATTGTTAGTCTAATATTAATGTGTTACCCAAACAAGCTAACAGTAGATAACAGCCCAATTAAGGAACCACCAAGGCCATTCCCACCAATACTGGCAGATAAGCAGAGAGCAAACCCCACTCTCTGCATTGATGATGTTATCTACTTTGGTACTAAAATGTCTGCCAGAAAACAACCAAGCTCAGAGAGCACTAAGGACACCACAGTTCAACCCTGATTTACATTTTCTTCTACTGATGGGTAAATCTGTTATTCCCATACCCCATCCCACCCCATCCCAAACATAAAGAGGGTCTCACCTCTACCATTGTCCTATTGCTTAAAGGATTCAGAATAGGCCTGGGAGATCCACTCTTCAGCACACCATCTTCCTCAAGGGACAAATTCACAAGGAGCTTAATGGCTGACAAGTAATCCTCAATGCAGTTCTGAAAGACAATGACAGGAGCTGCTTAAGCAAGGATTCTTGTACAATAATGTGGCTAGTAACCATCACATTAGCTATATCTGAGGGCAGACTAGCCAACCTTCTCAAGAAGATGCTTCACCAACACACAAGAGAAGAAATCTAGAATCTATGAATATGAGATTTAAAACTGAGTAGATTTGATTTACCGTGATATTAATTGCCTCCAATATGCACACTGGCTTTAGAGAGATTTCTTTGTCCCCATTTAGAATACTCTTGCCATTCCTAAATTCTCCTCGGTACTTCACCCTGTCTGGGTCAATCTCCAAGCGGAACAAGAGTTTTGCAGAAAGATGTCCTAGAAGGAAGAAAATGGCTGATGTGTAAAGGGCAGAGCAGACATTCTGCAGATCCTCTGTCTGTTTTGATGACTATCACAGCAAATCTCTAGATCCTGTTGTATCAAAAATACAATTCCAAACCACCCACCCCCAATCCTGTGCCTTAAAAAAAAAGAGTGAACAACCAGGAAAGAGGAAGCAGACAAGTAGTCCTCATAAGTTCCCTTTTTCAGGTAGGCCATAACTTCAAACAGTCTCTAAGCAACCTATCATAAGTCAAGAACAACCTACACAAAACCGATTAAAAACAATAAACATTTTTTAAATAAAAAGTACTATGAAAATGGATGCTTTCTTTCCTTTTAGATAATTAAAGACAAAATTGTGCTAAGGGGAATAAGTATTAGAAGGGAGAATTGTTAGAGAAAGTCCCCAAGGGGATTATTACAGGTAATCTTCCATTTACAACAGTTCATTTAGTCACCATTCAAAGTTACAATATCACTGAAAAAAGTGACACAACCATTTTTTACACTTAAAATTGTTGGAGCATCCCCATGGTCACATGATCAAAATTCAGAAAGTTGGCAATTTACGTTTATGACGGTTGCAGTGTCCCAAGATCATGTGATCACTTTTTGTGACATTCTAATAAGCAATGTCAATGGATAAACCATTTAACAATCATGCAACTAACTTAACAACTGCCATAATTGAACTTAGCAACTGTGGCAAGAAAAGTCATAAAATGGGGCAAAAACTCACTCAACAAATGTCTTCCTTAGCAATATAAATTTTGGGCTCCATTGTGGTCATTGGTCGAGAACTATCTGTATAAGTAGGGTTCTCTAAATTTGGCAACTTTAAGACTTGAATGGCCTCCAATTGCTTAAAACAGGGGTCTCCAAACTTGGCAACTTTAAGACTTGTGGACTTCAACTCCCAGAATTCCTCAGCCAGCTGGCTGGCAAATTCTGGGAATTGAAATCCAGGAGTCTTAAATTTGCCAAGTTTGGAGACCCCTATTTTAAGCAATTGGAGGCCATTCATAAAGAATGCCAATGGCATTGCTGCCTAAACAGAAAACTACTTTAAAAAAAGAGCAACATTAGAAGCCCTGAATGAAAGACAAAGCTGAGTCCAAAGCCTTGGCCTAACACTGCCATTTTAAGTGAGGGAAAAAATGAAAACTATATGTAACAAGGCACAAACACGGAAAAGACTCAAACGTAATGGACCAGCCGATTCTACATTTGGGTTCTTTCTAAAGTTGGCCATTTCATAGGAAAGCAACTAGCATCAAAGAAACCAAAGAAGCTATTTCGCCTTGTCCTCATATCACTTGCTGTGCAATTGATGTGAATTCTGGGTCAGGATCAGTCCCACAGTTTGGTTGTCCTCCAGATGACTCACCTGTGTATCTCTCCGTGGCAAAGCTGCTATTGAAGCAGATCCTGAGTTTCAAATTTATATTTTGCCAGGGTTTGCTATTCCCAGAACATTCAACATCTTTCACTGGAATTTCATTGGGCTCGAAAGTCACTTGTGTGGCCACGTTAACAATTGGTCTGGATCTGCAAGTACCAGAAAACAAAAATATTCTACTAGTCCCTGTGGATCAAAGCTTCTACATTTAGCTGAGAAGGGAAGGAGGTACCACTATTTATTACAGAAGAGAAAGAAATGTAGGAGTTTAAAATTGTGGACTATCTGTAGATTCCACAGAAAGGAAAAAGCACTGTGTCTATGCAATTAAAGGATTGTGGGTAGTCCTTGACTTACAACCATTCATTTAGTGACAATGTTCAAAGTTACAGTGGCAGTGAATAAAATGACTTTATATTTTTTATGACCATTGCAACATTCTCCACGGTCACCTAATCAAAATTCAGATACTTGACCACAGGTTCACATTTGTATTTTGTATTTGTATTTATTTATTTGTCAAACGTGTTCAGATGAACATGGACATGAACATAGGAAATGAGTACAAATAAATGGGGATGGTAGAACAGGGATGGTAGGCATGCTGGTGCGCTTATGCACGCCCCCCCTTTACGGACCTCTTATTTATTTATGATATTTATTTATTTATAATATATATGACAGTTGCAGTGTCCTGGGGTCTGACAAGCAAAGTCAATGGGGAGGCCAACTTCACTTAAGAACCATATCACTAACTTAACAACTGCAGTGATTCCCTTAATAACTGTGGCAGGAAAAGTCATAAAACTCATGACTTAACTCATGATTTTGTTAAGTGAGACTTAACAGATGTCTCACTTAACAACAGAAATTTTCGACTCAGTTCTGATTGTAAGTCAAAGACTACCTGTAATTATAATTTAATTTGAGAAATAATTTCCCAGCTCAGACAGACTTTTATCTTTCTAAAGTCAAAGGATTTTATTTCTAATAATTTACTTCTCCCCATCTCAGTCAATTAGAGAAAGGCCAGTCACCTTTCGAAAAAGTAAGAATGTTGTATTTTCTCTTTTCCCACAACTAATTACTGTTAACAAGAGTTAGAATTTCCCTTTATTCTGCCTTTAATGTTTAATTCTACTTTTGAAAGAGGAGAAAGAAGAAGTAAAATCAGATTGTTTCTCTTTCTGAAGCTACAGAGTATCTAACATAAATTTCAAATTCCTTATCTTCAGTACTGAAATGAAAAGTATATTTTCAAAAGTATATTCCCTCAAGAAAGGGAAAAAAAGAATCTTTCAAATGTCTAAAGCCTATTTTTCTTTTTTTAATAATATCTTTTGAAGGTAACAAAAAGTGAATTGCTTCCTACAAGCTGGGAAATTTCTATTCTGACGTTCGTTTAGAAGTTTATTGTTATTGCTATAGGAAATGAAAACTCTCCTAATAAATTCCCAGTTTAAGAAATACAGTAGTGGAAACTGAAAATATTGTTATGTGTCCTGCAATTTCTCTTTGCTTCACTTTCTGGTCTTTCTCTCACTTTCTGAAATCTTATGGCCTCATCTGGGACAACCCAAGAACATGAAGTCTCAGTCACTTACTGCAGCACCATCACCTTTCCCAGGGCTCCCACTGTAATGCTGGTGAGACCATCTCCACTGAGGTCTGTCTTTCCATAGATGGATTGTCCAAAGTATCTCAGGCCAGGAGAAATGCTGCCTCCAGTAATTCTCTGCAGGAGATAAATGCTGTTGACTTAACTGGAAGTGAAGTTCCAGACTGGAAGAGTCTTTAGACTGATTCTTTCAGAAAGCTGGTGCTTCAAAAACTAATCTTTTAGTCTACGTTTTACTGTGTTTTTTTGCCAGGTTTTAATATATTATATTACTTCGTTGGAATGACAATAGATGGTCATCCAAAAAGTTGGATTTTTTTTTTTAGAAAATGTAAGCTATCCTTCCAAGCTTGAAGTCAATGGTCTTCTTCCATTTGTAATTCTCCTCCTACCAATGGTGGGATTCAAATTTTTTTACTACTGGTTCTGTGAGTATGGCTTGGTGGGCATGGCATGGCTTGGTGGGCGCGGCAGGGGAAGGATACTGTAAAATCTCCATTCCGTCCCCACTCCAGGGAAGGTTACTGCAAAATCCCCATTTCCCCCTGATCAGCTGGGAGGCAGAGAATAGATGGGGGCAGGGCCAGTCAGAGGTGGTATTTACTGGTTCTCCAAACTACTCAAAATTTCCGCTACTGGTTCTCCAGAACTGATCAGAACCTGTTGAATACTGCCATCCCCCCAGCATTTCACATCCTTTTCTTCCTTATTACAAAAGATCTAATACGGAGTGATTGACAGAATAGATGCAGGATTTCTTTGGTCAGTCATGTTGGCGCTGTCTATTCAAAGACATAGTTGACAGACAGAAGAAACTTTGTAGACCACGGGTGTCCAACCTTGACAACTTTAAAACTTGTGGATTCCAACTCCCAGAATTCCCCAGCCAGAGTTGAAGCCAGAGAAGGCTTAACGTTGTCATAGTTGGACACTCTTTGCTGTAGGCCATCAACCCTCTAGTTCTAATGTCCTCCCAACCCAAGACTGTCTTTCAGAATGTGAAGTGAATGTGTCAGAAGTGTTATATTAACCCTTGTTGATGCATAGAAATGTCCAGGGCAGTCTCCTGGCGAAATGTCTATGGAGATTCTCAGTCATCCAAGTCATGGTTGTCCCAAAAGTGCTTTTTTAAAGAGGCAACTAGATTTCCTGGTTTTTCTTTGAAGACGTTTCGCTTCTCATTCAAGAAGCTTCTTCAGCTCTGACTGCTGAAGAAGCTCTGACTGATAGTCAGAACTGAAAAAGCTTCTTGGATGAGAAGCAGAACATCTTCAAAGAAAAACCAGAAAGTCCAAGTTGCCTCTTGAAAAAGCATTTTTGGGAGTCTCCTGGCTAGTTAAGTGTCCTGGGCTCATAGGATCTTTTAATTTATTTCTTTTACATTTCTTATTTGTTATATCCTTCAAACTGATTTCTCCCCTTGGTGATTTTACGCACACATCCATGTAGATTCACTGAACAAAACAGAAACACTTGACCGTTGGCGTCTTCTGAGATGCCTACAGCTGTGACAGTAACAGTAACAGAGTTGGAAGGGACCTTGGAGGCCATCTAGTCCAACCCCCTGCTCACACAGGAGACCTGTACTAGGGATTCAAACCACCAAACTGCCGACCTTTCTGATCGACAAGCTCAGTGTCTTCGCCATCTAGTCAGGCTAACATTTAGTAGTGGTTTCTAATCCAAGTATTACTCTGATTTGACCTACTTAGCTTTGGAGATCAGTAGTGAACAGCTGGATGTGGCATGTTAGCAAATCTCTCAGGTGAACCTAGAATGCAACATCATTGCTGTAGTCCTACCTGGCTGTACTCCATAGGCAGAGTCTTCTCATGGCTGTTGTAGATGTAGACAGCTCCCCTGTCTCCATCCTCTAAGGGAGCTCCTATAGCCACGTCCGTCTGTCCATCCCCATTGACATCTGCCAGATCTGTGATGGCTGCTCCAAATCTGCCCAAGGGGTATCCTAAATCCCCATTAAATTCTCCAAGGAGAACGAGATTATCCTGGAAGGAAAGGTATCTTTGAGACAGCATCCACTCTCCAAATCTAGGATACAATGTGGGCATCTCCCAGATATGTTGGATATGTCCAGGTAGTCCTCAACGTACAACTATAATTGAGCCCAAAAATTCTGTTGCTAAATGAGACATTTGTTAAGTGAATTTTGTCCCATTTTACGACCTTTCTCGCTTCAGTTGTTAAGCAAATAACTGCAGTTGATAAATGAGCAACCAGGTTTTCAAGCAAAACTGGCTTCCCCATTAACTATGCTTATCAGAAGGTTGCAAAAAGGGGATCATGTGATCTTGGGACATAGCCACCATCCTAAATATGAACCAGGTGCCAAGCATCTGAATTCAGATCACATGATCATGGGAATACTGGAAAGTTTGTAACTGAAAAACAACCATAAGTCATATTTTTCAGTGCCATTGTAATTTTTGAACAGTCCCTAAACGAACTGTTGTAAAGCTGAGGACTACCTGTATTGCCCTGCCCACCTTTCCTGGCTCACCTCTTCCCATCCATATGCATAAACCCGGCCTCCTCTCGTTTCAGTGAAATATTGCTGGGCCCCGATAAGCAGCAGGTCTGTTTCTTGGTCACCATCTATGTCCACGGCACAAAGCACCCCTCCAAAATAGGATCCAGTCTGCAAAAAGGGCATCAAAATGCATAAAGTGAAAAGGTAGAGTACCAGCACAGGATCCCTAATCATAGATAATAACAGTTGATCTTTGTACTGTACTTTAAAATGATCATGTACATATATTTATGTACTGTAAGTATATAGCATGTGTTTATGTGCATTAAGTTTGTGTTTGGGTAGATATACACTTTCTCTTGAGAGCAGGCAACAGAATTTCATTTTTCATGTGGGCCAGTAAAAAATGACAATAAAGTTATTTTATCTTGTCCTGTCCTGTCCTGCCCTGCCCTGTCCTACTCTACTCTACTCTACTCTACTCTACTCTACTCTACCCTACCCTACCTTACCTTACCCTATCTTACCCTACCCTACCTTACCTTATCTTACCCTACCCTACCTTACCCTACCCTACTTTATCCTACCCACCCTACCTTACCTTACCCTACCTACCTTACCCTTCCCTATCCTACCCTACCCTACCTTACCCTACCTTACCCTACCTACCTTACCTTACCTTACCTTACCTTACCCTACCCTATCCCTATCCCTATCCCTATCCCCTATCCCTATCCTATCCCTATCCCTATCCCTATCCCTATCTATCCCTATCCTACCTTACCCTACCTACCTTACCTTACCTTACCTTACCTTACCTTACCTTACCTTACCCTATCCCTATCCTATCCCTATCCTATCCCTATCCTACCTTACCCTACCTTACCACCTTACCATCTTATCTTATCACATACATTTACATTGTCTGACAAAGTCTGGCCTGTTTGAACACCTGAACTGTGGGTCTTAACACATTGCATTTGTTAATTGACAAGGTATTTGTAATCTTTTCCCTTAAATCTTCATCTGCAAAACCATCCCATCTCCCCACCATCACTGTCCCATCTCTCTCTCTCTTTCTCTCTCTGGGTACTCCATGTTTAACTGTTCCATGCACCTGATGAAGTGTGTTACAGTTCACAAAAGTCAGTGACTGCTATCTACTAGGGAAAGAGAAGGAGAAGAATCTTGATTAGGTTTTCTTGGGCCATCATGATGGTCCTTTTTCTATCAGGGTTTCTCAACCTTGGCAATTTCCAGGTATACAGACTTCAATTCCTAGAATTCCACAGCCAGCCTAGCCACTGCAGAGAATTCTGGGAGTTGAAGTCCATTAACCCTCAATTTGGCAAGGTTGGAAAACATTGGCCTAGTTCTAATAATGATGCTAGGCAGCAGTGGGCCAAAACATCTAGAAAGTTCCTTATGACTAGAAGATCTTCAAAGTTCCTTTCAACCCTATGATTCTATGATTCTTTTTTTTTTCTCCTTTACCTGTTGCCCTTTAATTTCTTGCTTTAAAGTCCAGTTCTGAGTTTTGGCATCGACCTCAAATATGAGGACCCTTCCCATATGTTGGTATCGAGGGGCACCAACGGCGTAGAATGCTTTCTGATGATGCTGGAGAAAACTGAGTGTGTACCCTGTGAAGGTTAAAAACATGATGGATGGACATCCCACAGAAGGGTAAGACCAATGTTTGTCAATCTTGGAAGCTTTAAGATGTGTGGACATCAACTCCTTAAATTCATGCTGGTTGGGAGTTGTGGTCCACAGATTTTCCAGCTGCCAAGGTTGAGAAACACTGAGGGCCTTTTGCACAACAAGGCAGCAGCTTCTTCAATTCTATAATAGGGAGGATTAGATTCTCTGCCTGGGTTTATACACTGTTTTACACCAAATCTTGTTTTCACTACGGCTTCTTAAATAAGATACAATAACTAGACTTACACATTACATTAGGTTTGGTGTACGTACTTGGGAAAGCTTACTGACTTACTTATCAGAACAACTAGGCTGATATAGCATGCTAACCAGCAGGCCATGGTTTATAAACCACAATCCCTGAGTTCACACATAATGTTAAATTGCTTTTTTTAAACAATTGATATTTAGAGACCTATATAAACTCATGAGTGTGCAACTTTCAAGGCAATAGGCAAAGATTTCATAGAAAAAAAATTCTTCATAGGGGTTACTGTAGTCACTTTATACCCAAATGCTTATTGAATATTACTATACGTAGTCCTCGAATTATAACTATTTGTTTAGTGACTGTTCAACGTTACAATCACACTGAGAAAGTAACTTATGACTGTTTTTCACACTTACAACTGGTATAGCATGCCCATGATCACATGATCAAAATTCAGACACTTGGTAACTCATATTTATGACGGTTGCAGTATCTTGGGGTCATGTGATCACCTTTTGTGACCTCCTGACAAGAAAAGTTAATGGGGAAGCCAAATTCACTCAACAAACATGTTACTAACTTAACAACTGAAGTGGTCCCCTTAACAAGTATGGCAAGAAAGGTCATAAAATGGGGCAAAATTCACTTTACAACCGTCTCACTTAGCAAGAGAAATTTTGGTAATTTTGGGCTCAGTTGTGGTTGTAAGTCAAGGATTACCTGTATTCATATTTGTGAATAATTTTAAGTGTATCTGTAATAACAAGAAGTAACCACAAGATTGAAAGACAGGTCTGAGTCATAACCCCATGTTCCATAGGAAAGATGGTTATATACCGCCGAATTCTATAGGATAAGCAAAATAACAAAAAACTAACTTCAGTTTGTACAGATCCAGATTCACCTTCTGTAAACTGGCACCCAGGATGGCCATGATCCTCAGCCAACATATGATGATGGATGGGGAAGAGTAGTCCATATTATATTGGGATGATGGCATTCTATACTCACCCAAGTAGGCCCCTTCCATCTCTTTCCGGACTGAGGGAGTTGTGATGAATCTTTCACCGGCAAAATCCTGCTGCTGCTCCAAAATGCCCCCAGCCCAGTTGTCAGCACCCACAGCACCAAGAATCACGCGATCCTGCAGACCAAAAGATCTTGCTTTACAAAGGCAGATCACAAGGAAGCAGAGATGGCAATGTTATAATGTGCTCATCCGGAAGTGTTCTCAGCCCTGATTTTGCTCTTAAAAACAAGTGTTCTAGGGATGATGAATCCGTACCAGTGTTTCTCAGCCTTAGCAATTTTAAGATATGTGATGGGAATTCAAATCCCAGAATTCCCTAGCCATCAAAATATGGTCATGTGATCAAAAGTCAGGCACTTGGCAACTAGCATGTATTTATGACGGTTGTAGCATCCTGAAGTCACATGATCGCCATTTTCGATCTTCCCAGCCAAAGTCAATGGGAGAAATTGAATTTGCTAATCAGCTGTGTCATTTACCTAACAACTGTGGTGATTTGCTTAACCACTGTGGCAAAAAAAGGTCAAAAAATCAAGCGAAATCAATTTAACAACCATGTTATTTAGCAATGGAAATTCTGGTCCCAATTGAGTTAATAAGTCAAGGACTACCTGTACATGGTAGGGGTGGAGTGGGGGGCAAGGTTTTTTTTTTTTCCAATCCTTCAGCCTTACCTGGGATATATCTGCACTGAATCCGCTTGATGACAATTCCAGGTGGAAGGATCTGCTGTCACTGGTACCTGTCATGAAGAAAGATGGGAATTTTTTTTAAAAAAAAAAAATCTGGGCCAGTTTCACAAGGGGTGAGAAAGTAATATTGTGTAATACATTAATCAGTGTTCAACTAGTGGGGAATATATATATATATATATATGTATGTATGTATGTATGTATGTATGTATATGTATGTATGTATGTATGTATGTATGTATGTTTTAAGACTTCCGGTTGATGTCGCAGCGCTATTGGACTCCAAGAGCAGGATTCCGCGAACTTGCACCGAATCCCTTCATTGGGGGGCCCTATAAGGGGCTAAAGTCATCCTGTAGAAGTGAAGAAGAATGGAGGAGAGCTCTGCAGGTTGCGGAGAGCGGCGACTCTCCTACTTGATCCACGGCTAATTCCTTCTCATCTGATGACGAAGAGGAGAGGCAGCCGTTATTGCTCCCGTGATGCTAGGGCAGCCAAAGAAAGAAAGAATGTGCTGGAGTGGTGCGGATGAACACTGACTGGAACTGGGTGAAGTGAGGTTTTTTTTTACCTAAAACCTACCCTACCCTAAAGAAAATACTCTGGAAAAGAGACTCTTTGAAGAATTTGTTTAAGCAGTGAGTATTTACAGAAAGAAAAAATATAGATCCAAAAGAAAAGAAAAAAAAAATTAAGAAGAGAGCACAAAACCTTTAAAAACATAGAAAGATTGGATCTCTAATTTTTATTGACAATAAGGCATTTTAAAATGCTGGAATTACTTGTCGAAACTTTGACTATTTGTTTGAATAAACACAAACGGAACCTGTTAGAATTTGTGTAACGTTGAAGTTAAGCTAAAGCCGCCACCTACTGGTGAATGGAATAGACATATTCCTATAACACTAGGAAAAGACTGATAAAACAGAGGAAATAACAGAAGATAAGACAGAAATAACACCTGGAGGACTGTTGTGCTATCTATTGCTCTATACTTATCTACTTTATGACTACTGGAGCTCTAATGGTGAAAACACAGAAGACATCTAATTAAAGTGACTTTCAAATATTAGGAGTTTTTGTTTTGTTTTTTTAATTTGATTTATATGCCGCCCTTCTCCAGAGACTCAGGGCGGCTTACAATGCATTAAGCAATAGCCTTCATACTTTTGTATATTTATATAAAGTCAGCTTTTTGCCCCATAACATGAGTTATGATTGAACTCATAGAGTGGACTTAAGGAGACATTTGGAAACTTTCCTGGATTACCTAAAAAAAGAGCTATAAAGAACTGTATTACTGTATATCCTGAGGAGCAACATCAGGACTGAGTAAATAGTTTACAGATTGACTTTCTGAGGGACTCTGGGGCAGTGACAGACTATTGACAGACTATTGAGCTATATTTGGACTTATCAAAAGAAGATAAGATGTTTCAACAGGGGGAGATAAATGGGCTGCAAAAAGAAATGATGTTGATGTTTCAAAGCATTTAAGATATTATGACAAGGAATCACAGGGTGATAATGGATTTAATGAATAACATAAATGGGAAGCTAGAAAGTGCTCCACAAGGGATAATGAATAATGATCAAAAAGCCCAGGAAATAGAGGAGATAATAGAGAGATCAGGGGAAAAGATAGAACAGACAAATTAACAAACAAAACAAGAAGATAAGAAGGAGAAGGTAATAAAAATGTATGAAGCAAGCCAGGGAAAATATATGCTAAAAGACCAAAAAATGATACTGGATAAACAGAAAGATATTTTTGAAAAGAAAATAGAGATTTGGACAGATCCTCTGGAGGCTTGGCAAAAGATAGTAGAGATGGAAGAAATACGTAAATTAAACAGGAAAGATGTAGAGAGGGATGAAGACCCAAGGAAGGAATTTGGGAGGCAAGTCAAAAAATGAATAAGAATTGAAATATTAAAACAGGCAAGAGATGATGGTTAGAGGAAATATTTTGTAACACAAAATTGGCTTTACTAGGAGCTAGAATAGAGGCAGAAACAAGAAATAGGGGGAATATTGTTATGCATATTTTTATATAACATATTAAAAGTAATAGCTAGATATAAGGGTTAGATGTTGAAAGATGATGACACTATGTATATTATTGTCACTAGAATGGGGGACTAAAATATTGAATAACTAAATAATAAAGGCCTGCATTTTGACATAAATATGTATAATAACATTGCAATTACATAACTATGGTCTAAATAACAAATAATATTACTGTGTTTCCCCGAAAATAAGACCCTGTCTTTTATTTTTTTTGAACCCCAAAATAAGCTCATGGCCTTATTTTCAGGGAGGTCTTATTATTTTGGGGCACGTGGAGCAAGACGGGGATCCTCTTGCTGTCTTACCTGATCTCCAGCTCTGTCTCTCTAACCTTAACCAGAGGAAATGGCAGAGACCAGCTGCACATGCACATAAATATTTTCGGGGAGGTCTTATTTTCGGGGGAGGTCTTATTTTCAGGGGATGTCTTATTTTCAGGGGATGTCTTATTTTCGGGGAAGGTCTTATTTTCGGGGAAACACAGTAATATTATCACTATTACTGGTATTCAAATGAATGATACCCAGATCAGAGGTGGATTTCAGCAGGTTCTGACCAGTTCTGGAGAACTGGTAGCGGAAATTTTGAGTAGTTTGGAGAACTGGTAGTAAAAATTCTGACTGGTCCCGCCCTCATCTATTCTCTGCCTCCCAAGTCCCAGCTGATTGGGAGGAAATGGGGAGTTTGCAGTAACCTTCCCTTGGACTGGGGACAGAATGGAAATTTGGCAGTATCCTTCCCCCGGAGTGGGGTGGGAATGGAGATTTTACAGTATCCTTCCCCTACCATGCCCACCAAGCACACCCACCAAGCCATGCCATGCCCACCAAGCCACACACACCAAGCCATGCCATGCCCACCAAGCCACACCCACAGAACCGATAGTAAAAATTTTTGAAACCCACCACTGACCCAGATGCCTCACTGTTCATGTATTGATATTGATGTATATTTTTTTAAAAAGGACTCTGTTTTAAAAGCAGACTGAGGTAGCATTTTTCCTTCAATCTCTCCATGGTGATTCCCAGTGGACCCAACTTACCTTCAATGGCAAAGATATTAGACTGGAGATCATTGAAACTGTCTTTGAGCTGATCAAAGCTGGCAAGAATTTTAAAAAATTGACTTGTGGGTTCTGAGGCAATCCGTTTGAGATTCTTTTGGGACTCAGCTGCATTAAGGTGATTACCAATCTGGAGAGACAAGGAAGGAATTATTGAGATAATATTTTGCATTTCTATAGTCAGTCTTTAAAAACGTTGAAAGATGCAGAAAAAGGAAAGAGCAATAAGGGGTGGGAAGCAGTAAAGAATGAAATACAGGTTGTCCTTGACTTACAGTACAACAGATCATTTAGTGACCATTCAAAGTTATAATGACACTGAAAAAAAGTGACTTATGACCATTTTTCACACAACTGTTGCAGCATCCTATAGTCACGTGATTTACATTCGGATGCTTGGCAACTGGTTCATACTTATGACCGTTGCAGCATGCCAGGGTCATGTTTTGTAAAACCTTTTGTGACCCTTTTGTGACCTTCTGACAAGCAAAGTCAATGGGGAAGCCAGATTCATTTAACAACTGTGTTACTAATTTAACTACTGCAGTGATTCACTTAACAACGGTGACAAGAGTGGTCATAAAATGGGGCAAAACTCACTTAACAAATTTCTCACTTAGCAACATAAAGGATATAAGTCCCTTTTTTTCAGTTCTGTCGTCACTTCGAACAGTTACTAAATGAATGGTTGTAGGTTGAGGACTACCTGTACATGAACATTTGATACATATGGGTAGTCCTTGATTTACAACCATTCCTTTAGCAACTATTCAAAGTTACAACAGCACTGAAAAAAAAGGGACTTATAACTGATCCTTGCATTTATGATTCTCACACCATCTCCAGGGTGACGTGATCAAAATTTGGGCATGTGGCAACCGGCATGTATTCACGATGTAGCATCCCAGATCATGTGTTTCCCACTGGTTTCCAACTAGCAAAATCAATGGAGGAAACCAGATTTGTTTACCAAAAGTAGCCAAAAAAGGCCATAAAATCAGGCACGATTCACTTAACTTGCCTAACTTAGCAATAGGAATTCTGATCCCAACTACGGTCATAAGTCGAGGACCATCTGTACAGGTGTAAAATTAACTTTTATTAATGGAGAAAAATCTGATCTTATTAATTGAAATGCACTTCTTCATTTTTTCCCTTTTGAGCTCATGTTTACATATTAACCATTAATGTAATGTTTATATGGCAGACTACTTCGATACTGCTTGGTGGATCTCTCCATTAGCCAGATGGACAACACCTTTGGATACTTTACCCCAATGATTAGGCGCAAAATGTTCTTTTTCTTGACAGCTTCTATATGTCCCCTGTCCCTGTCTGAGGCGTCCCCATCCGTGATGATGACAATCACTTTGTTTGCTTCTTTTCGGGTCCCACGTTCGGGAATGAAGACTTCATTTCTGCCACCAACAAACACAGGAATTATTATCTAAACCAATGTCCTTTGAACTTGCCAACTGGGTGTTGTAGTCCATACATTTGACAATTGACAGTTTTGAGAAACACAGATCTAAACCGAGGAAAATGCTAAGCGCACTTTAATTATTGGGACCGGAACATTTATAACTTTAAACGTGCATTTGGCCTCTAGTGGCCTTGTCATAATTTGATCCTCCCAGACGCCGTCAGGCTAAAACTATGCTAACACAACACGGCTATCTGCTGAGGTGAATTGAGGTTAAGGCTACTATTTATGGAAGGTATCTAATTTGGAAAGTTGTACCAGCTAGAAGCTAATACAGGTAATCCTTGACTTACAAGTATTCGTGTAATGACCGTTCAAATTTACAACGGCAATGAAAAAAGTGAGTTTTGATCATTTTTCACACTTACGACCATTGCAGCTTCCCTATGGTCATGTTATCAAAATTTGGACGCATGGCAACTGGTTCATATTTATGACGGTTGCCATTGCAGTGTCCCGGAGTCATGTGATCATCTTTTGAGAACTTCTGGCCAGCAAAGTCAATGAGGAAGCCAGATTGACTTAACAACTGTATTACTAATTTAACAACTGCAGTGGTTCACTTAACAATTGTGGCTAGAAAGATCATGAAATGAGGGCAAAGCTCACTTTACCAGTGAGCTTGGCTGTCTCACTTGGCAACAGGAACTTTGGGCTCAATTGTGGTTGTAAGTCAAGGACCACTTTTACCTTTTGCCATACCACAGTGCAGAATTCGTACTACTCTCTTCACTCCCATCCCCATAACCAAACTAGATGCGGAGAATAGCATTGTTTATGAGCTGGTTTGTACAACACAGTAAACTAAGCCAGGGAATAATAATGGCAAAACCATTTAACCATGGCTTTAGCATCAGATAAAATGGCAAGCCACAGCCACCTGTGGTAATTCCACTTCATCGTGGCTGGATGAATGAAACATCTAGGTTTTGTTTTCCAAACATTTTCTTAAGACAGTAAAAAATGACTTGCAAGATAGGAAAAACTGCATATTCCTTCTCAGCTTTATGTTCCCATTTCATCCTGTGGGAATATCAGAACCAGGAATGCCACCCTAGCTTCCCACTAATCTAACCCGCGATTAGAAACATTATCGAACTACAATAAACCAGCTTTGGACAACATGCCCAAGTGAATTAGGCAAAATGTCATTTCAAATTGTAGTTAAAGCCCCTTTATTCCTCCAATGCAATGCACATTACAGATCTGGATGGCCTGCTTGATTAATCACCAGATGTTTCTACGCAATTGTGATCTAAAACTTTAGAAAAGACACACCATTTTAAATCTCCAACTTGACTGGATTTCTTCTCAAGCTGGCCTTCCCTCCACCTCCAAACCTCCTGCCACTGAAAGGAAAACTACTCACGCCACAAATTTGATAGCTTTGAAGGTGTTTGTTATTTGCTCAGCATGAATAACATTGGCCAAGAGCTTTTCAGGATTTGGATTGCTGGTATAGTTGTTAAAATCAAATTCGAGTTTGGCATCTTCTGAAAACTGCACGGCAGCAAACTAGAAAGATGGAAAGAGAAAGAGACTGGTGTTAATGGTCTGGCTGGAAAGGTCTTTTGCAAAACACAGCACATCTCTCATCGCCAAAATGGTTGGATGAAAGGGTGCTGTTGAAAATCATTAAGGTTAATCTGGAGTCAGCACAGAATCTTGAAAATCATAAGAAGAATTTCCCAGCCCTGATGATAATTATGGCAGTCTCCTTAATGAAGGCAGAGTCATTTTGAATGATTTTTTTTTTTTTACCAACGTCTCGTAAGTTGTTGCCCTTTATGAAATCAGTCAATGGACCCACTTTCTGCCTGTGGATCCACAATTAAAACACTGGAGCAGAAGTGGGGAGATCCGACATCAAGTGCCTTCCCTCCCTCCCTCCCTCCCTCCTATTGTGTGAATTTATAGGAGAGGCAAATTAAGGTTTTTAATGGTTATTATGTCCTCTGATATACCAAGTGAGCCTAAACATTTTCAGGCTGGAATAAAGAAATACTCTAGGAAGGAAGGAAGGAAGGAAGGAAGGAAGGAAGGAAGGGAGGGAGGGAGGGAGGGAGGGAGGGAGGGAGGGAGGAAGGAAGGAATGGATAGAAGGAGGGGAGGGAGGAAAGGAGAGGGAGGGAGGGAAGAATGAAAGGAAGGAAGGAAGGAAGGAAGGAAGGAAGGAAGGAAGGAAGGAAGGAAGGAAATTTTAAAATGGCAAGTAAGTTAATTCTGCCTCATAAAAATTCAAGGTTCTTATGCAGAACCCACCCAGTACATGGTACTCAGTAAGAACACCTTACATGCACAGAACTGTTCCACAATTCTTTCATGACGTCAATCATGAACTCCTTGATAGTCATGAATTCAGATGTTTTCATGCTTGCTGACCCATCAAAAAGAAACACCAGGTCCACTTTTCCTTTCAGGCACTCTGTAGGGTGAAAGAAAATAAAGAACATCTCAGGTGAAAAAAGGCATAGGTGAAGCTGAACAGAAACTAAACTGGATTGGATTAAATATTCCCCAAGTGTTTAATAACTCCTTTCTGCTGTCGTATTAACCATTACAATTAAAATATTAATAATAATGCATCTCCTTACTTTGATATCCAGTTGTTATGTTCTTGGGGTTATGCAGGTTGGTGTCAAACAGGTAGCAGATTCCACTTACATAAAGATTTTTGTCACAGTGTTGTTCAATGCCTGGGCTACATGCCTGCAGAGGAGAAAGTTTTACTGTTCCTATTGTTATCAAGAAAATGAAGGAAACTGGAGACAAAGAAGTGCAGAGGTTAGTGGCCATATAAAAAGCAAAAGGGATTTTAGGATTCTCGGTAAAGAGATCCAAAAGAGCAATGAAGATCATCCGACCAGGATGAACCACTCCTATGACCTATGCCAGTGATGGTTAATCTTTTTGCCATCGCGTGCCAAAAGCTGGGGAATGCGGGGTGGTTGTGCGCGTGCATGCCCACATCCATAATTCTATGCACCCTGCCCCCCCACGCATGCACATGCGACCCCCCCCTGCTCCCCTTGCTTTTGGTATGTGATGGCCCAGTGGGCCTGCTTTTTGCCCTCCCCAGGCTCCAGAGGCTTTTTAGGAGTCTGGGGAGGGCGAAAACAGCCTTCCCCTGTACCCAGAGGCCCTTTGGAGGCCGGAATCAGCCCATTTGCCGACATCCGGTGGGCCCAGAAGGCCCAAAAATCAGCTGGCCAGCACACGCATGCGTGCTGGAGCTGAGCTAGGGCAACGCTCACGTGGCCACCAATATGGCTCCGCGTGCCACCTGTGGCACGCATGCCATAGGTTCGCCATCACAGACCTATGCTCTTCTATATGTACTTAAATTGGTACCTTTTAGAGATTTTTTTGGGATTGCAATCCCAGGAGAGATTCCAAAGACCCAACTCATCTAGAAATCAACAAATTGGAGAGGTCTGAGCTAAATTAAATGAGTTATTCCACCTTTGGCCCTGAACAGAATGCTGATATAATGGATGGAACAGACTTTCTCGGGTGTGACCCCTTCTCTCTAGAACTCATGGCCCCCAAAATCATGCTTGGCTTTCTCATTCTTGGTTTTCTAGAAGCTTCTGAACAGTTATCATTTTAAAAACATTTTTGATTATTCCAATGTTTAGTGAGATTAGAGCAGTCATCAGATTTTATGTTTCTTTATGTTGATTTTGGGGAGTACTTGGTGTTCTCTAAGCTTGTTTTCCTTCCTGAAACCTTTCATCACCAGGCTGAAGAACATCATCAATACAGGGAGGAGTAGAGTTTGCTGGCTCTTTATATGTGGTATCTTGATTGGGGTGTTGATTCTTCCCTGATTGTTTTTTGGGTGGGCATCATCTCTCCTTTGATTATTCTTGTTCATTTGGTGCTTCTCTTAATAGGTGTGGGATGAAAAAGGATGTCTGTGAAGATTCTCGGTCATCCCGGTCATGGTTGTCCCAAAGATGCTTTTTAAAAGAGACAACTGGACTTTCTTCGTTTTTCCTTGAAGACATTTCGCTTCTCATCCAAGGAACTTCTTCAATTCTGAGTCAGAATTGAGTCAGAACTGAAGAAGCTTCCTGGAGGAGAAGCTAAATGTCTTCAAGGAAAAATGAAGGAAGCCCAGTTGCCTCTTGAGAAAGCACCTCTGGGGCGATGAAGAAGGTTGTGAACCTATTAAAAAATCCCAAAGAAGCGCCTGCAGGATTTTTTTTTTTATTTGATTTATATGCCGCCCTTCTCCAGAGACTCAGGGCGGCTTACAATGCATTAAGCAATAGCCTTCATACTTTTGTATATTTATACAAAGTCAGTTTATTGTCCCCACAAACTGGGTCCACAATTTACCTATCTTAGAAAGGATAGAAGGCTGAGTCAACTTTGAGCCTGGCAAGATTCGAACTTACTAATTGCAGACAGCTGGAGTTAAATTACAATGCATTAGTCTGCTGAGCTATCCAGGCTCCTATCCAGAATTCTCTGATATTTGTGGATTTGGCTTGATCTAAGATGTCTACATTTCTCTTTTGCAATTGGGATTGAACATATCAGTGTGTTGTGAAATTAAGGAGTTTTTAATGTGTCTCCTGACTGTCAGTTGATGTTCATGCATGCATTCTCTCAATTTTCTGCCTGTTGTGCCCCACATAGTGGTTTTTACTGTCCTTCCACTTATAGATGACTCCTGTTATATCTTCCTTGGCTGAGGGCCTTTGGGTTGCTTAGGATGGTCTGGATAGATTTTGTTGCTTTTTATGAGCTATCATGATGCCTAGGATTCTACGGTGGAAGCTTCAAAGATATATTTTTCATATAGGGTAAATGTATCCCTTTCGTGGTTAGGAATTTGGATAGTTGTTGGATGCATAGATAAAACTTTTTGATGAAGTTGTACAGATATCCATTATCTTGGGATATGTTATACAGATAGTCTACTTCTGCTTTTTGGAATTCTGGATTATTGCAGTGTTTTTGCTTGGCAGTAGACAGTTTTTACATAGCTTCTCTCTCTTATATACTATTGGACTGTTGCTGTGCTACTTGAGTACTTGATCAGTGCGAGTTTTGCAGCCCGTTTGGGGTTGTTGTTTGCCATAGTTTTCCTTGGGTGTGCAGGAAGACTCATTTCTTGTTGCTCTCTTCGTTCTGAATCAGGTTCCATGAAAGGAATTGCTGATGGTTTTACCTTTTTTGATAATAATGATGAATGTGCTAGTCATATGACTTAGATTGTGGATAAGGGATTGGATTGGATAGATCATATTCCTGATTGTATCTGTAAGGTTATTGTTTCCAGATATCCCATCACTGGTTTTTGCTACAAGTCCTGAAATAGGTTATCCTCTGGATATTCCTTTGATCTGTTTGCATATCTGTCCATCAAATTTGAAGTAGATTATGAGAGAGAGGACAGTAAACTTCAAAAATCTGGATGTTTCAAAGTTTGTGTATTCTGATAATAAGGCAGGGCAGGGCAGGGCAGAACAGAACAGAATATTCGATCCCCTGCATAAGCTCTCAGTGTACATACATATAACAACAAAGTGATAGGTCATAAATCATAAATCATAGTTATAATCATTAATCATAAGATACAAACAACAAGTGATAAATCATAAGATACCAATAAATCATAAGATATAATCATAATCATAAGATACATAAGGCTTTATGGGTGTCCTGTTAGGTTTCAGATTGAAGATTTGGGGGAGATTGTTTTTTTTTAAATTTGATTTATATGCCACCCTTCATCCTTTTGTATATTTATACAAAGTCAGCTTATTGCCCCCACAACTGGGTCCTCAATTTACCTACCTTAGAAAGGATGGAAGGCTGAGTCAACCTTGAGCCTTGGCGAGATTCGAATCTGCAGTAATTGCAGGCAGCTGGTCTTAATAACCAGCTTAATAACAGGGTGCCTTAGACCACTGTACTACCAAGGCTCTTAGTTATCTGAGATTCTTTACTACTCAGAATAATTAATTCATAACACATGAATTAATTAACTGCCAAATAATTCCCAGCACAAGTTTGATCACAATATATGGAAGCTGAGTAAATAAATGTCTGCAAGAAATGTTGCGTGCATTTTAATTCATGTTCACTTAAATACTGCTTTTCTTCCAACATTGATTCAGGGATGAGAAGCAGTTTTAAAGATCTATCTCTGCCTGTCAGAGAGCAGTTTAAATCCATGCCCAAATTTATCCTCCCTTCCTGATCAAACTCACAATCATTTTATTTCCCTGCATATTGCTTGCCAGGGTCATGCCGAGATGGGGTACCGGAGAGTTCTCTGCAAAAAGAGAGCGAGAGAAAGAGATTGATTAGTTAATTGGAGATATTACCTAAATTTCTTCCTTACAGGTAGTCCTCGGTTTATGACCACAATTGGGAACAGAACCTGCTAAGCGAGGTAGTTTAAGTCAGTTATTGCTGGTTTTATGACTTTTTTTTGCTACGGTTGTTAAGTGGATCACTCTGGTTATTCAATGAACCACATGGTTATTAAGCAAATTTGGCTTCCCTCATTGAATTTGCTTGTCGGAAGCCAGCTGGCAAGTCTCAAATGGCAATCACATAACCCTGGCACACTGCAACAATCACAAATAAATGCTGATTGTCAAGCGCCCAAATTCTGATCACATGACCAATGCTGCCTGCGATGATTGTAAATGTATGGACAGGTCATAAGTCACTTTTTCAGTGCTGTTGTAACGGTCACTAAAAATGGTTGTAAATTGAGGACTACCTATATCCATAGATATTAATCCTTTAGGTTTAATACCAGCCTCTGACCACCTCCTTCTTTTCCCCTGCTGTCCTCACACATACATACATAGAAGTACCCTACAATCATGATTACAGATTTTAGCACTAGCAATAACACTTAGACTTCTGTAGACGTATAGGACTTTTTGGAGCCGTGGTGGCATAGTGGTTGGAATGCAGTACTGCAGGCTACTTCTGCTGACTGCTGGCTGCCAGCAATTTGGCAGTTCAAATCTCACCGGCTCAAGATTAATTCAGGGTGGGTTCTACTTACCTTTACTACCAGTTTACAATGGGGCTGCGCATGCGCAGAAGCATCCTGATGATGTTGGGGGCGGTGGGCGGAGCCTCCCACCAGTTTTACTACTGGAGGCAACCCACACTGGAACTGTCATATTTAAAATTTTATCCTTGTGGCAAGGAAGATTGTAGCCTACTTGTATAGCAGGGGTGGGTTCTATTTCCCTTTACTACGGGTTCTCAACAGCAGAGTAAGCCTGCAGTACTGCATTCTAACCACTGCGCCACCACAGCATCTCTACTTTTTAGAAAATTGTGGCCTTTCTCCACCATTATACCCTTCAATGGGCCTTTTACTCACAGCCACGAAGAATAAAATTCTTCATTTTACCCTCAAGTGGAATGTCCTCACATTCTTGGCTCTTCAAATTACACTGGTACACTTTGCCTGTCGAGTTCTGCTCACCGGGGGCTCCTACAATGACCCTGGAAGAGAATAAATAGAGGAGGTGGGATAATTTTAATAACAACAAGTTAATGTTTTTCCTAATACCTCCAACAACAATGCTGCATGGTACTGTTCCCCACCCCCCCAAAAACCAATTTTGGAATTTTAAACTTGTCTTTTTTTAATTATTATTGTTCTTCCTGTTAACTATTAATATAGAATATAGATGACAACCTGCTGCTAATACTGTAGAATTAGTAATTTAGCAGTTTAAAATTATTTAGGCCTCTTTTGCAAGGGGTAGGAAACTAATATTGCAATATATTAATTAGCATTCAGCTAAGGGGAACTATGTGTACCAATATATGTGTTAGTCTTTTTTAATACACTTTTTTCTTTTTAATGTCTTGTTTGTTTTGTTTTTTCTTTCTTATTTGTTTCTTTAAAAAATGTGGTGTTTTGTATTTTAACTTTTTTTTTTATAAAACAAAAGTAGAATTAAAAAGAAACTGTTGGAAAACCAATTCGGTCCTGTATTTCTTGGAGGAGAGAGAACAGGCAGGGAATGATTGACCATGAGCCAATTCCTGCTATTTTACCAAATGATAAAAAAAAGTAAATTCTAATTTGATATATAAATAAATAGGTTTCTGCAGGTCCCAGAAGAACATTCTCATTTGTCCTGCTCCATGCAAAGAAATAAAATAAATAGCTAATCTCACCCTGTCTATTTCCATGTTTTTATGACAGATTGTGTGCATTTACCTAGTTATTTATTTTAAAAAATCTGAATATTTGCAAGTCTGGATTGCCAGACTACCAAGCTGTCATTCCCCTATATTAAAATTCCCACTGAAAGCAATGAATGGAGCAATACAGTTTATCTTGGCCTTAATGTTGTACCCAGCTATCGTATTTCCTTCCAAACATTATTATGTTTTACAATTTCATCACTGCAAACAGAACTGTTTATGTTTCTGGATACAGTAAATAAGCCAGCAGAAAAATCAACTCAGCTGCTGTACACAGATGATGGCCTGAAATCACCAAGGAGCAACCTTGAGTTTGGAATGGACAAAGAACCTGTAACTAAATCTATCAACAAAATCAATTAATTCAACAATTAATCAGCGGAACAGCTCAGAGGTGAAATGCTCCTGGTTCGGACCAGATCGTCTGATCCGGTAGCGATGGAGGCGGGTGGTTCGGAGAACTGGTAGCAAAAATCCCTGCCCTCCCCCCATACCCAACTGAGCCACACAATCATCAGAGGCTTTTTTTCTTTTAAGTGCCTCTGACGATCCAAGCTGAGTTGCCTGATTGTCAAGCTGAGTTTGACAATCCAAGCTGACGATCCAAGCTGAATTGCCTGATTGTCAAGCTGAGTTTGACAATCCAAGCTGACGATCCAAGCTGAGTTGCCTGATCGGCAGAGGCATTTAAAAGAAAAAAAGCCTCTGATGATCAGGCAACTCAGCTGGGATTGTCAAAGCCTTTTGAAAGCATTTTTTTTACAACCTCTTCACCGAAGAGCTTGTAGAAAAAATGGTTTTAAAAGTTAAAAAAAAAAGAAGGCCATGCCCACCCAGTCACATTACCACCTCCCACCCCCACAAGCCATGCCCACAGAATTGGTAGTAACAAATTTTAGATTTCACCACTGAAACAGCTTGCCTCCAGAAGTTGTGTGTGCTCCATCACTGGAGGTTTTTAAGAAGATGTTGCTGCATAGAGCTATCTTCTCAACAAACGGGCTCCTTCACAGGACCAAGACATAACCATTTGATGTCAACCTTAACCCAACTTCACCCCAAAGCAATGGCTGTCTTTGCCTTTTCTTGTTCCACGTCAAAAGTGGCATTTTTTAATTTTAGTCTGCAGCAAATAAGGTAAAGATAAAAGTTCCACAGCAAATGCGTGCTAGTTGTTTTTGGCTCTAGAGGTGCTTATCTCCATTTCAAAGCCGAAGAGCCAGCGTTGTCTGAAGATGTTTCCGTGGTCATGTGACCGGCATGACTAAACGCCGAAGGCGCACCGAGCACTGTTACATTCCCACCAAAGTGGTCCCTATTTTTCTACTTGCATTTTTTACGTATTTTCGAGCTGCTAGGTTGGCAGCAGCTGGGACAAGTAACAGGAGCTCACCCCGTTAAACGGCACTAGGGATTCGAACCACTGAACTGCCATCCTTTCGATCGACAAGTTCAGCATTTTAGCCATTTAGCCACTGCGTTCCTTCTGCAGCAAATAGTTCCAGGCTAATATTAGAGAGGGGGACAGTTCCTCCCTACCTACCCCCCAGGGCATCTTCTTCCTGATTCTTGACCAATGATTTTTAAGGTTGTTCATCTTAAGGCACTGAGGGAGTCAGGATCTTCCCACTGTGTTAAAAATAGCTTCCCCACTTCTCATGAGTGGCAGGAGATGGGAAAAGGAGAACTCATTTTCCCACAGAGAGTGGGCGGAGAATGGCTCTCCCAGGATCTCTTCTCAAAGGAAAGGCACTTAGGTGGAAATGGGTTTTCTGTCTGTGCCCCTTTGTACAGTAAGCTTTTAGGTACTTAGTACCAGTGGTGAAATGTAAAATTTGTTACTACCAGTTCTGTGGGTGTGGCTTGATGGTGGTGGGGTAATATGACTGAGTGGGCGTGGCCAAGTTTTTTTTTTTACTTTTAAAAGCATTTTTTCTACAACCTCTTCGGCTGAAGAGGTGTAAAAAAAATGCTTTTAAAGCCTCTGACGATCCCAGCTAACTTGCCTGATCAGCAGAGGCTTTCTTTTTTTTTTAAAGCCTCTGATGATGCCAACTGAGCCGAGCGATCATCAGAGGCTTTTTTTTTTACTTTTAAAAGCATTTTTTTCGGCCAAAGAGGTTGTAGAAAAAATGCTTTTAAAAATAAAAAAATAGTCTCTGATGATTGCGCAGCTCAGCTGGTCAATGGGGGTGGGCAGGGATTTTTGCTACCAGTTCTCCGAACCACCCACCTCCATCGCTACCGGATTGGGCGATCCGGTCTGAACCGGGAGCATTTCACCCTTGCTTAGTACCTCAGTACAGGTAGTCCTCAACTTACAACAGTTCATTTGATGACCAAAGTTACAAAGAAAAAACTGACTTATGACCATTTTTCACACTTACGACCATCGCCGCATCCCCATGATCACATAATCAAAATTCAGACGCTTGGCAACTGACTCATATTTATGACAGTTGCAGTAACCCAAGGTCACGTGATCACCTTTTGTGTCTTCCTGACAGGGAAAGTCAATGGGGAAGTCAGATTCACTTAACAACCGTAATTTAAGAACTGCAGCGACAGGAAGTTTGGGCTCAGTTTTGGTCGTAATTCGAGGACTACCTGTATAAGGTGGAGGAAGAGATGTGGCGCAATCTGACTTGCAAGATTCTCTCTCTTTTTTTTAATAGCCATCTTAAAACTATTTAAGATTGTTAAATAGTTAAAAACTATTGTATATAGTTTTTGCCTTCTTGGTTTGGTTTACCTAATGGGCTGAACACCTAAGACCTGATCCCAGAATTTTGGAAGTGCAGTCAACACTTCTTTAAGCCAGCCTAGTTTCCTACCAACTCTTGTACCGGATGGCAGCACTTAGCTCTACTTAAGTTTAAGTTTATTTATTTGTCAAGCATATGTAATATTATAGGTAAAAAGTATAAACATAATTTGAATACATGAAAAGAGTAAGTAAAAAGGAATATTAGGACAGAAACGGTAGGCACGCTGGTGCACTTATGCACGCCCCTTACAGACCTCTTAGGAATGGAGTGAGGTCAACAGTGGACAGTTTAAGGTCAAAGTTTTGGGGGTTTGGGCAGTGGTGAAATGTAAAATTTGTTACTACCGGTTCTGTGGGTGTGGCTTGGTAAGGGGGTAATGTGATGGGCGTGGGCAACTTTTTTTTTTTAACTTTTAAAAGCATTTTTTCTACAACCTCTTCGGCCAAAGAGGTTGCAGAAAAAAATGCTTCTAAAAGCCTCTGACGATCAGGCAACTCAGCTGGGATTGTCAGAGGCTTTTAAAAGTATTTTTTTCCTACCACCTCTTCAGCTGAAGAGGTTGTAGAAAAAATGCTTTTAAAAGTAAAAAAAACAGCCTCTGATGATCCCGTGGCTCAGCTGGGCATGGAGGGGGGGGCGCAGGGATTTTTGCTACTGGTTCTCCAAACCACCTGCCGCCATCGTTACCGGATCGGGCGATCCAGTCTGAACCGGGAGCATTTCACCCCTGGGTTTGGGGAAGAAACTAGTGCATTCCAGGCATTGACCACTCTGTTACTGAAGTCATATTTTCTGCAATCGAGTTTGGAACGGTTTACCTTGAGTTTGTATCTATTATTTGCTCGTGTATTGTTGTGGTTGAAGCTGAAGTAGTCATTGACTGGAAGGACATTGTGGCAGATAATTTTATATACTATGCTTAGGTCATACTGAAGTTGGCATAGTTCTAGGTTGTCTAAGCCCAAAATTTGGAGTCTGGTGGCATAAGGTATTTTATTGCGGTTAGAAGAATGGAGGACTCTTCTCGTAAAATATCTCTGGACTCTCTCAATTGTATTTATGTCCGATATGCAGTGCGGGTTCCAGACAGATGAACTGTATTCAAAAATTGGTCTAGCAAATGTTTTGTATGCTCTAGTTAGTAGTATAACATTACCAGAGAAGAAGCTATGCAAGATTAGATTAACAACTCTTAATGCCTTTTTGGCAATGTTGTTACAGTGGGCTAAGGCACTTTGAATTTTAGAAATGAGTACTCCAAGGTCCTTGCCAGAGTGAGGGTCATCTACAAGGTCATGTCCATTTAATTTGTATTTTATGTTTTGATTTTTTTTGCCAATGTGCAAGACAGAGCATTTGTTGGTTGAGATTTGAAGTTGCCACTACCAATCTGACACATAATCAAGGTCTTTTTGAAGGGTAGTTGCATTGTCGGTGGTGTTGAAAGTTTAACATTATCAGTGAAGAGAACACAGTTGCTTTTAATATGATCACAAAGGTTATTTATGTAAAGTATGA